GGTGCCAGATTGCGAGGTCGAGAAAGTGAACCACACCCTGCCCAATGGACACCCCTCGGTTCATCTCTTCAAGCTGTCGTTGTCCGAGGACAAATTCCTCGAAGAGTCGGATAAAATGGATGCCCTGTTCCAGCACCCGAGTATTGAAGGTGTTTATGAGCGGAACATCACCCCCAGCCTTCGAGCAGTGCTCAAGTTGGGAAGTCACTGTACCTTCGATGAAGAACAGCGTGGTGTCCTTGGTGACGGTTTGGAGAAAGGGTTTGATCTGTCCACGCTGCTCCACACTACTTCCGACCAGCCCTATCTAATGGACTCTCCTCTGGCATACCATTATCTCTACCATGTTGCTTCTGGCGATCGACAAATCTTTGCCCTTTTCTCGACAACCAAGAAAGAGGCACATATTGTCATTCTCAACCGCACGAGAGATGTGCAGGGCTTGCCGAATGTTGACAAAATCTACTCAGAACTGCTTTCTCGGAAATTGCAGGATGCATCCAGCGATGAATCGCAGAACGCCTTCGAGTACCAGGACAAGATTCATTTCAAGACCATCCAGGTGATGACTCGACGAAAGGCTCACCTCGAAGTTGGCGATTTGGTCCGTAAGCTTCGTAGCGACGAGCCCCAGCCTGCCATTCTGGTCATCCAATCTCAGCAAAAGGATCGCTTGTGTCACGACATCCCTATTCTCAAGGAGTATCCCACTCTGTCCGTGAAGCCCGAAGTTTCGGATATGGATCTCCCCCCGCTTGGGTGGCAGGCGTTCATCGCTCGGCGCATTGTGACACACTATCTGTACTTGGCAGCTTGGGTTCAACACTTGACCTTGCTCGCTCGTTATGGAGATGTTCCACTTTGCAACTTGGAGACCGATGATCCTCGGTATCTCATCGATGTTGCATATGCACGGCGCCTTCAGCAGAGTAACGTTGTCCTTTGGTGGTCGAACGCACCCCGACCAGACCATGCTGGCTTTGAAAAGGATGACATCGTCGGGCCGCTAGAGAAAGTCACCATGCCTTCCGTCAATACGCCGAGTGCTTACTCAACGGTGTGCATTGAGTTGGATGTGCGCAATCTCGCTATCAACACTATTCTTACCTCGTCGATCGTCAATGAGATGGAAGGCAACGATTCACTACTGGCGCCATCTGGGAATGGAGGAGATGACTCGGGCGTTTTGTATTCTGAGAAAGCGTTTGCATCTGCTGGTGCTCTGGTGCTGCGCGAGATGGTCAAGAATTGGTGGACCGAGGCATGTGCAGGAAACAGTATGGCCGACATTATGGTCCAGCATTTGATTCGATGGGTGGAGAGCCCTGTTTCCTGCCTCTACGATCGGTCTCTACACAACTACGTGCGGTTGCTCTCACGCAAGTCGTTCCAGCGATTGATGGCCGAGTTCAGACGAGTTGGCTCCAATGTCATTTTCGCTAGCCCGACCCGTCTTCTGCTCCAGACAACCAAGACCGAGGTGGGCAATGCCTACGCCTACAGCCAATACGTTCTCAAGTCGATCCGAGCCAATCCCTCTTTCCACTTCATCGACCTGGACATCAAGGAGTATTGGGACTACCTCGTCTGGTACGATGAGTACAATTACGGCGGTAAAGGGTGTCGGGAGGTGGTCGAGGCCGAGAAGCAAGAATTAGAGACGGTGATGCACTGGCAGCTCAGTCGATTCTTACCAACGCCCATGCAAACCATCTTCCATGACTGGGTCGTCGAGTATATTGAGCTGATGCATGCCGCCAAGCATCCAGATCTTCAGGAGAACGAAATTTCCTCCACGCCTCGCCTGACCCAGATTCCTATTGGGAAACCAAATGATGTCGACGATGAAGGGCTAACTGCTATCCTTGCCGAGCGATTCTCAAAACCTCTAAAGAAACAAATCTCCGGTCTCATTCGCCGTCAACGTGACGAGATGCTCCACCCCGAGCTGGCCTCCGACTATGCCTTCCCCGTTCTTCCCGGTGTGCTCGTTGATCCCAAGGGGGATAAGCGAAACCCAGCACTGGAGCTTGTCAAGCTGCTCATGCAGGTGCTGAGTCTGAGTAAGACCACGACACTCGAGTCTCGGCTGCTGCGCCGCGAGCTTCTGGCTCTCTTCGAAGTCCGCGAATTCAGCAAAGAGGGTCGCTTCGAGAACCCTAGTGCCAGTCTGAAACTGCCCGAACTTACCTGCAACGCTTGCTGTCTCATCCGTGATCTAGACCTTTGTCGCGACGAGGACGTCCTTCCCGACCCGGGCACGGACAACAGCAAAGGTCCCACGCCATGGCGCTGCCCCTTCTGCCAGACGGAATATGATCGATTGGCGCAGGAAGAAATTCTCATTGGCCAGGTGCATGGGCTTGTGGTCGAATGGCAGACGCAGGATCTCAAGTGCTCTAAATGCAACACGCTCAAAGTGAGCGAGTTTATGGAGCATTGCTCCTGCAGTGGTAAATGGGCTACGACGGTTGATCTCAAGGAGACCGAGAAGAAACTGCGCGTGTTGCAGAGCGCTGCCAAATTCCACAGTCTGCAACTGCTGGAGGGTGTGGTGGAGGAGGTGCTAGCCCGGCTGTAGGAGGAATCAGCATTTTGATCTTGTTAATTTTGGCCTGCCTTCATTCTAGTCTAATATTTGGTTTGTTAGGTGTCGTATCTCTCTGGAGGGTGGTGTGCTTGGGTGTTTCGAGAGGGTTTTGCATGGAATTCGCATTTGGAGTTGGGGCCAAAGTTGTAAATAATCGGAGCCGTTGGCGATCCTCGTCGATCCCCGCGATCAATCCAACTCTTTCCTTTCAACCTCTCCCCCTTTCTCTCTTTCCTCCCATTCTCCATTAAACCATCCACGCCTTCTTTGAATACCCCCAGTGGAGGATTGTCGCACCATAGGAAGAAACGTTTATAATTGAGGACTATTTGGACCTGTGGGTAGATGATCCCCTGCTGCCCACACCCTGGCGGGGCTGAATCGCTTGGCTGTTGTTTGGCGATTGACACCTCGCGCGACGTGAGACATAAGGCTGACTTGACCTGGACTCGCAGGTACATAATAACGCACACTCTCCTCCACTTTCCTTTGGATCCGCCGTCTCACCTCGTATTCACTCCCTCATTGTGATCGGCCTGGGTGTGTCTCGTGTGCACCCCTCCAATTCCCCCTCCGCATCCTTGTCCGCGGACCCTCTCCACCTCAACTTCCCAATGGCGCAACCCCAGAGACCTCAGGTCCAGCCGTGTCGCTACAAGACTGGCAAGACTCTTGGTGCGGGCTCATACTCGGTCGTCAAGGAGTGTGTCCACATCGACACCGGTCGTTACTATGCGGCAAAGGTGATCAACAAGCGCCTGATGGCGGGGCGCGAACACATGGTAGGAGGACCTGCGTCTGCTTCTGGGACAATGCGCGCAATACTGAAAGTCGCTTTTTGGGGAGCTCCATAGGTTCGAAATGAGATCGCCGTGCTGAAGAAGGTGTCTATGGGTCACCAGAATATCCTTACGCTGGTCGACTACTTTGAGACAATGAATAACTGTGCGTGGCACGAGACCTTGCGAACTCTCCTCGAGAGGCACTAGTACGCCGGGGCCTGACTAACATTTGGATTGTTCAGTATATCTGGTCACCGACCTTGCTCTCGGTGGAGAGCTGTTCGATCGGATCTGTCGCAAGGGCAGCTACTACGAGTCCGATGCCGCAGACCTCATTCGCGCCGTCCTCTCAGCCGTGGCTTATCTCCATGACCACGGCATCGTGCATCGCGACTTGAAGCCCGAGAACTTGCTATTCCGCACTCCTGAAGATAATGCGGACCTTTTGATCGCCGATTTCGGGTTGTCTAGGATCATGGATGAGGAGCAATTCCACGTGCTGACCACTACATGCGGTACACCGGGATACATGGCGCCAGAGATCTTTAAGAAGAGTGGCCATGGCAAGCCAGTGTAAGTTACCTTTCACTCTCTTTCGCCAGGAGATCTGCCCTAACCAATATCTCCAGCGACATCTGGGCTATCGGCGTAATCACCTACTTCCTCCTGTGCGGCTACACCCCCTTCGACCGAGACTCGAACCTGGAAGAAATGCAAGCGATCCTCGCCGCCGACTACTCCTTCACGCCCCTCGAGTACTGGCGCGGCGTCTCCCAAGAAGCCCGCAACTTCATCAGCCGATGCCTAACCATCGACCCGCAAAAGCGAATGACCGCCCACGAAGCCCTGCAGCACACCTGGATCAACCCGCCCTACGACCTGGCCCAGATTGGCTCCGGCGAGGATCTGCTGCCGACCGTCAAGAAGAACTTCAACGCCCGGCGTACCCTGCACCGCGCTATCGATACCGTGCGCGCTATTAACAAGTTGCGCGAGGGTGGTGGCTTCATGATGGATGGGGTCATGAGTATTGATCCGAAGCCGGAGCGGGTGAATGGACAGGAAGTTGTAGAGGAAACTCGTCATGGTATGGCTACTGGGAACCATAGAGATGGTGAGCCCATGCAGATTGATAGTCGGGGTAATGCTCGTGGGCAGACTGAGGAGCAGATTCGGGAGCAGGAGCGGAGAGTGAAGGACATGGTTGCCGGGCTTTGGAGCCGTGGACATGGCAAATGAAAGGTTCAGGCCTTGGTGGATTGATGTCTAGTTCTGGTGCTTTTTTGGTGGCTTGCTCTGGAAAGTATCTTCCTCGACATTGGTTCCGGGGGTGTTCATTGGGGGATTTTTGAATATTATGATCCAAATGCGATGACTGATGAACTATTTCTTATGCAGGGCTCTTGACGGAGCCTTTTCTACTAGCCAAGAGTGGATGCATATTGATGTCACTAGGACTGGTCAGGTACAAGGCACTTTTAAAGTAGTTCTGAGAAAGCCCGCTGTAGACTCTGACACAGTATCATCTAAGAGTAAAAGGTAAAAATGTCATAATGGTCATTAATCCAAGTTCTATGGAATATAGGACATGGGAGATAATTAGAACGGTGCCGAAGAACCGGGGCAAATCAGACCGAATCCAAAATCTCCCGTCCATCGTCTAGCGAAAGCACCCAGTTCCGCCATTCCTGCCACTCCTCATAACTTGCGCTCGCCTTGAGGCCCTGGTACCGGACTGTGCGGAAGTCAGACACTTGATCCCAAGGCTTGGTGCCACTTGCGCTCGCCCCAGTGCGCAATAAACGCCGAGCAACTCCACCTGCGCCGCCGTCCCAGCCTGCCTTGCGCATTAGACTCTCGACGGTCTCCTCTTTCGACCAGCCTTGTTCCACGGCGACGTCGGGTAGATATGTGGCACCGTATCGACGGCCACGGTGAATGAAGGATATGCGGATGCCATGGGTGCCGAGCGTCCAGTCCATAGCGTTGGCACACGGCTCAAATGATCCCAGGAGAGTCAGGGAGCATGAGAGCGAAGGGAGGAGAGACTGGGGAATCGGGGAGAAGCGAGTATCGTCAAAAGCCCTATAACCCCGAAACATGTATTAGTCTTGGCATGAAGTTGGGGGAAATTGCAGGCTAGAGCTACAATATGAGGAAGAAAAGCGTGGAAGGTCACATACGAAGTCAAAGCGTAGGACTTCAGTCCCGCTGCGAGGTCCTGTGCTTCGAATGTGCCTATGCACCCACGCAAAGACTTGTGGCCGTGAGAAACGGTATTCCATGTCACGAACAGCGGATATCGCTGCTCGCTTGATTTGGCCCTTGAGCTTGTCCCCTCTGATTGTGCACTCGGGGTCGTGGCAGTCGTGCTACTAGACAACAGCGAGTTCGATGAAGTGTTGGATGCGCAGGAAGGCGTCGTGGCTGTGCTGGACGAGTCCGACGATGATACCTGACTCTGTAGCCGGCTGATGCTGGGTAGTTTCAGGCCATGGGGCCTATTAGAAGTTCGGGAGGACCGTATGGCATCGGCATCGGCGTCAAAGTCATTTACAGACTGAGCTAGCCCTGCGTCAACATCTGCGTCCTCTTGCTCCTCATCCAGGTTCTGATCTCCAAGATACGAGAGCTTCTTAGATTGCTCATGCTGCCCCCTAAGGGTTTCTATGGTAGCCAAGGAAGGGGGCTCGCGATCTTCAAACGAGGCCCAAAGGCTTTCAAAGCAATAGAAGCACTGAGCGGTGTTTGCCATGTCTGTAGAAGCTTAGTTGAAGATGTGATCGTTTCCCGCAGATCCGGGAAAGTCGAGACAAGAGGCGGCGGCTAAATTGCACCGCCGTATCAGATCCCCAGAACAACCACCGCGTGACTGTGACCTCCGCAATGGCCCGGCACCCGATAAGACAGAGGCGGGGGTCTTATCGCGAAGGAGGAGGTGGGGCTGCGTTCGATCTAGAACCGACTCAAAAGTAGGGCCGAGGTGATCTGAACGGAGGCGAGAGAAGCTGCAGCACGAGGAGGAGGACGAGGGAACGGAGTATGGATGTTGGGCAAAACGAACGCAGACAAGGAAAAGAATGAAGTGGACGAAGGCAGCCACGTTAGCACAAAGCTGGCGGAGGTGTGACCAGGAAGTTACACGTGACGGGACCTTCCTGACTAACCCATCCAACGGTGACCGCCCAGCTTCAGATAAATTTGAGTAGGTTAAGTACTTGATGAATACCTGGAAGAAGACAAGAAATTGTGGATCAACCATATATATATGGTTGTATTTGATTTCAAGGGTGGTGATGTACAGCAAATAGTACAGCAAAATCAAGAGGCCCACGCGCCAGATTCATGTTGAACTTTTGTCTCTCCTGAAAACCATTTCCTCCCGCTGTTGAAGAAGCGCAGAGGTTAAGAAATTGCTCGTTTCGCATGCTCATCATTAAACAAAATCAAACAGAAAAAGATTACCAAAATCCCAGATGTCCCTAAGGTTGAAAAAGCAGACCTGTATATAAAAACCCCATGTAACGCACCGTGTGGTATTCACATCTCCCGACACTTCGTAGATGATGTTGAACTCGCGAGATCTCAAGTTGATTAGAGTTCTCTCTTCGTAACTTTCATATTCATATCCAAAACAATCCATCCTCGCCCAATTAGTCCAAAAAAGAACGACTAACTTAAACGGGGAGGGGGAAGGTGCTGGCCCAGGCGGAGATCTCCTTGCGGAGCTCCAGGATCTCGGGAACGCTCTCGGAGGCAACCTTGGCCTTGAAGTCCTTGAGCTTGTTGGCCTCCTTGGGCAGCTCGCTCTGGATCTTCTTGCAGAGGGTGATGGACTGGTCAATGTAGCCAGCAATGCGCTTGAAGTCCTCCTCACCCATGCCACGGGAGGTCATGGCCGGGGCACCAATACGGACACCGCAGGGGGTCAGAGCAGACTTGTCACCGGGAATGGAGTTCTTGTTGCAAGCAATGTTGATCTGCTCGAGAACAGCCTCAACACGAGCACCATCCAGGCTCTTGGGGCGCAGGTCAACGAGGACCATGTGGCTGTCAGTGCCGTCAGAGACGAGCTTGTGACCGAGGGCCTTGAACTCGTTCTCGAGGGCCTTGGCGTTCTTGATGACCAGCTCCTGGTACTGTTTGAACTCGGGGGTAACAGCCTGCTTGAGAGCAACGGCCAGAGCGGTGATGGTGTGGTTGTGGGGGCCACCCTGGTGACCGGGGAAGACGGAGAAGTTGATGGGGCCCTCAAGATCGTACATGATCTCCTTGCCGGACTTGTCGGTGCTGCGGACACCCTTGCGGAAGAAGATCATAGCACCACGGGGACCACGGAGGGACTTGTGAGTGGTGGTGGTCACAACATCGGCGTACTCGAAGGGAGAGGGGATAACGCCAGCGGCAATCAGACCGGAGATGTGGGCCATGTCGACAACAAGGTAGGCACCAACCTTGTCGGCGATCTGGCGCATGCGCTTGTAGTCAATCAGACGGCAGTAGGCAGAGGTACCAGCGACCAGGATCTTGGGGCGGTACAGCTCAGCGTTGGCCTCGAGGGTGTCATAGTCGATGATACCGGTCTCCAGGTTGACACGGTAGGGGAAGGTCTCGAAGTAGGTGGAGACAGCAGAGATCCTGATAGAATTGGTTAGATAAATGACCCTGATAAAAACTCCATTTATCATGACCGCGGGATGACTCACTTGCGGGAAGGAGTCTGGTAGCCGTGAGACAAGTGACCACCGTGGGGGAGATCAAGACCCATCAGACGGTCGTGAGGACGCATGAGAGCCTGGTAGACCTGCAGGTTGGCAGGGCTACCGCTAAGGGACTGAACGTTGACACCCCACTTGGCGGGGTCCAGGTTGAAGGCCTTGAGAGCACGCTGCTGGCAGGTGATCTCAATGGCATCGATGTACTGGTTGCCACCATAGTAACGGGCACCGGGGTAACCCTCGGAGTACTTGTTGCACATGGGCGAGCCAAGGGCATCGAAGACGGCACGGGAGGTGAAGTTCTCCGAGGCAATCAGGACAATGGACTCACGCTGACGCTGAATCTCCTTCGCCTGTAGGACAAGACGTGGGTCAACAAAAAGTCACAATGGAATCTCATAACCTAACACAATTGACCAATCATCTGATCAAAGTAATTGGGGAGTTACATACCATGATCTCGGCGACCTCAGGGTCAGACTCCTTGAGGGAGTTGTGCATTTGCTGTTTTGGCGGGATGAGTCAATGATGTAGTCTAGATGTGAAGTGGGGATCTGACGAAGCACTCACGTCCTTGTGGGACTCGGAAAGAGCGTAGGTGGCCATTGTGAATGATGTGAATATCCTTGGGTAGGACTGGATAGGGAGAAGGAGGGAGGATGAGAGAGAAGATATAAGAGGTTGGGGATGAGCGAGAAGAAAAAAAAAGCTGGATGGTGGGGGGGAGGGGTGGAGGGATCTGCTGGGTGCCTCAGGCCATGAAAAAGCACGAAAGTTCGACGATATCGGAGACTTTGGCCGAATTGGGTTTGGGGGTCCTGAACGGGCAAGCAAATTGGCTCTAATTTCATCTCGTAACGGTTGCTAGGTGGCTGTTTTCTACGTCTATGACAGAAGACGAGACCGATTCTTTTTCTTGTGTTTCCGAAGTACGATATGTGCCTGCCATTGTAGACACCGATGGAGACGAAGCTCTCGTAAATTAATGCTTGCTAAAGTCATATTGGGTATTCCTTTCCATAACGCCAAAACAAAGAGACAAAGAGAGCAGTGACGGCTGCAGGGAATATGCAAGCGGTTTATTTTATGACCTCCGATGGTTTCTCTTCGGGGTCTTCTCTCCCCGGAGTTTTCGCTCGCTCAGCTCGCTGTAACCTCGACACGGCCCTCATTAGGCTTCCTTGCTCGACTTCCAAAGTCTGCAATCACCGAGCGCAGGCGAGAAACACGGTCCTCAAGCTCTGCAATCTCTTGCTGTTGCTCTTCCACGGACCGGTCCACGTCGGGGAGAGCTTCCACCACCGCCCGCGCCTTTTGTATCCGAATTCTGACCGAGCTTGTTGCGGTAGGAAGATCTTTGACATCGAGAGGGGGAGGCCATTGGAATCATGGACAGGGACTTCTGGGATAGCTTGCGAGGTTGCGAGGTTGGTGGTATCACCGCCAGCGATGCTTGAAGGCGCTTGCTGTTGCTGTGCCTGTGCGTCCACCGAGGACCCCGGAGCTCCTGTTGTCTCTCCAGGGACGCTTGGCCCAGTCTGCGCGGGCTTGGGAGACAGCAAACGAAGTAAGATGCCGTGCAGGGATGGGATGATCTCAAAGGTCTGGGGTGGAGGGAAGGGCACTGTGTCCGGGGCCTCGGACGCGTTTTTCAAAGGACTCTGGGGCGCAGCTGAGGATTTTGGCAGCGGCGTCGCTGCTGTTGGAGACCTGGAGGTCATTGCCGATCTTCAAGCAGGTTGGCGCTCGGGGAAGATGTGAAGAATCAATTGGAAGCGGGCTGGGGTAAAATGTTTAGGGAAGAGTCGGAACGCAGGGTGACGTCGGGGCTAGACAACCAAAAGCGTCACCGAGAACTGCCCCTCCTTCACCGGCCTGCCAATTTTCGACTCTCTGGAACTTCTTCTTCGTTCACCCCTTTCCCTCTCTTTATCGATTTAGAGGTAAGCAAAATAGACACAATTTGAATCATTCTACACTTCCAGCTCAGCCATTGATTCGCGATCTAGGTGTAATTTCGACACCTCCACCTCCACCATGGCTGCGGTTGACCACAAAGTCGCTTTGAGTATGATCCGCTTGTCCCCCAGGTCCCCAAATTTACCCCGGGCTAATATGACCTTGCAGTTGTTATCGATGGCTGGGGCATTGCTGGACCCCAGTCCCCTCCCCAGGGCGATGCCATCGCTGCCGCCGACACCCCATACATGTCCGGTTTCGCCGAGCCCAACTCCAAGACTGCCCAGGGCTACACTCAGCTTGATGCATCATCGCTTGCTGTCGGCCTTCCTGAGGGCCTCATGGGTAACAGTGAGGTGGGCCACCTGAACATTGGTGCCGGTCGTGTCGTCTGGCAGGACAGCGTCCGCATTGACCAGACACTCAAGAACGGCGAGCTGAACAAGGTGGACAACCTTGTGAAGGCCTTCACTCGCGCCAAGGAAGGCAATGGCCGTCTACACCTGTGCGGTCTGGTCTCCGACGGCGGTGTTCACTCTAACATCACCCACCTTTTCGGCCTGCTCGAGGTCGCCAAGGAGATGCAGATCCCCAAGGTCTTCATCCACTTTTACGGTGATGGCCGTGACACCGACCCTAAGAGCTCTGTGATCTACATGGAGCAGCTGCTGAACAAGACCAAGGAGCTTGGTGTTGGTGAGATTGCCACCGTCGTGGGCCGCTACTACATCATGGACCGTGACAAGCGCTGGGAGCGTGTCGAGGTTGGCATGAAGGGTATGGTCACTGGTGAGGGCGAGGACAGCTCGGACCCGCTCCAGACCATCAAGGAGCGCTACGAGAAGGGAGAGACCGATGAGTTCTTCAAGCCCATCATTGTTGGTGGCCAGGAGCGCCGTGTGCAGGGTACGATCTTCGAAGCCAACAAGGCTGCATCCGCTGGGATCTCGAGACTAACTTGGCACTAGATGACGATACCCTCTTCTTCTTCAACTACCGTTCCGACCGTGTTCGTGAGATTACCCAGCTCTTGGGTGACTACGACCGCTCCCCTCGTCCGGACTTCCCCTACCCTAAGAACATCTCCATCACCACCATGACCCAATACAAGACCGACTATACCTTCCCCGTTGCCTTCCCTCCTCAGCACATGGGTAATGTGCTTGCTGAGTGGCTCGGCAAGAAGAACCTCCAGCAGTGCCACGTTGCCGAGACTGAGAAGTACGCCCACGTCACCTTCTTCTTCAACGGTGGTATCGAGAAGCAGTTCCCTGGCGAGGTCCGCGATATGATTCCCTCACCCAGGGTTGCCACCTACGATCTTGATCCCAAGATGAGCGCCGCTGCCGTCGGCACCAAGATGGCCGAGCGCATCGGCGAGAACAAGTTCGACTTTGTCATGAACAACTTCGCCCCTCCCGACATGGTCGGCCACACTGGTGTGTACGAGGCTGCCATTGAGGGTGTTACGGCCACCGATAAGGCCATCGGTGAGATCTACGAGGCTTGCAAGAAGCACAACTACATCCTTATGATCACTGCCGATCACGGGTAAGTTCTCTTGAAATCAATGGTACGGTTGATGTTCTCATTACTAATGAAATTTACTACATGTAGTAACGCTGAGGAGATGCTCAACGAGAAGGGCACCCCCAAGACCTCCCACACCACCAACTTTGTTCCCTTCGTCATGGCCAATGCCCCCGAGGGCTGGAGTCTCGCTAAGGAGGGTGGTGTGCTTGGCGATGTCGCCCCTACTGTCCTTGCTGCCATGGGCATCGAGCAGCCCGCTGAGATGACCGGCAAGAGCTTGCTCGTCAAGGCTTAGATGGAGAGTTTTTTTTTCTCATATACGGGTCTGGCTACGAAAATTAATCAATGAACGGATATATTGAAATGTTGATACACATGTTGCAGAAAATAGATGGCCTTAGTTTCAGGTTTAGCTAGCTTTAAATAGGATTGAACATATGATCCAATGCTTTTAGATTGATTGAGTCTGTGATCGAGTTCTAGTTTTGTTGTCAAAGCTCTCCATGGGTATATCTCTCTCGGCAAGTTCTGCCGTTCTCATCTAGCGTGAGCTGACTTCCTCTCACATAAACCATATACTTCATCTGATGCAGGTCGTTGTCCTGCATCCTAACCACTTCCCATGCTCCCCCTGGGCTCTTCTGCTGGTCTCCTCAAGCAAGTGATAAGGCCAAACGTCATATGTGGGTTGATATGGTTCCCTTCTAGTCTCAAATCCACCCCAAGATAGCATCTCTGCGTATATCTCATCGACTCCAAGCTTAAGCGGAGGCCTGTGCAGCTTGCTGCTGCATCTGGCTCTGGAATTGCACAATCTAAACATAGGACATTTAGTATGTAGCTATGGCGAGGGACTGTGATGTGAAGGGCCCGCTGGTACCTCTGTGCGTTTCTTCTCACTAGTTTCCTGCTTCTCTTCAATCTCCTTCTCGATGCGCTTGCTGTAATAACGGGTCAGCAAAGGGTAGCCTCGCGAAAGAAGGCCGAGACACCCACATCTCCTTCTCGATGAACTCCAATCGACCGCTGACGGCCATCACAGCCTCGGTCTTGTCTTGCTTCAACAGCACAGGCCCAATAAGTTTGTAGATGTTGGAATCGTCATCGAGCTCTGCGAATTCGCTTTGCACACCCTGGTTCTCCTGCTGCTGCGACTCCAGCTTCTGGCGGGCATCGACCAGGCCCTCGAGCTCTGAACGGGCCGAGACGATTAGCCATGGATCTTGATAGGTAAAATTAATTCATCCCGGTAGCGTACCAGTCTGCAGCTGCTGGAACTCGTCCGAAAGTGCCTGAAGCTTTTTCTGAGCGTCCATGGCGTCGGTTGGCGGGGAAGTGGGAGAAGGGAAAACCGATTGTCTGCTATCCGCCCGTCAACACTGATCTCTCTCCTCTTCACAACCCCCTCCGATCCCATCATCCACGTCCACCCCTGCAAACCCAGCTGTATTCACTCATTGCTGGCCCCTTCTATCTAATCTTCGCCTTCGATACGCCGCGATCTTTTGGTTGAACCGCTGCCTAGACAGCCCCGAACACCCCTGCGTCTCCCCTCTTCTCCCCGCTTCACCACTCCGCGGTTGACTTGCCACTCCACCGAGACGTCACGAACCAGGCAGAACCCCGCCGACCAGCATGAGTAACAACACGGACTTTTTGGGGCGGGCGATTGACACGGTCAAGAAGGCCATTGAGAACGACAATGAGGGCGAATACGAGAAAGCTTATCAGCTCTACTACTCTGCTTTGGAGTTGTTCATGCTGGCGCTCAAGTGGGAGAAGAACCCCAAGTCCAAGGAGATGATTCGCGCCAAAACTGGAGAATATATGGACCGCGCCGAAAAGCTGAAGAATCACCTAGCGTCAGCAGATAAGAAGAAACCAAGCGCCGTGGGCGCGAATGGAAAGGTCGCTCCAGGAAGCGGGAAAGGGTAGGATCTTCCTGTCTTGGCCTCTCTGGTCTGTATTTGGTAGCTCCGTTGAGAAGACACGTCTATCAGTGTCGCCAGCGACGAGTGCTGCTTACGATTGTTCTGCGCTAACTGTATCTTGGGGATAGGAACCAGGAGGACGACAATGGCGAGGATGCAGAGTCCAAAAAGCTCCGATCGGCGCTCCAGGGTGCCATCCTGTCAGACAAGCCGAACGTGAAATGGGAGGATGTTGCTGGTCTGGAGGGCGCGAAGGAAGCCCTGAAAGAGGCAGTCATTCTTCCCATCAAGTTCCCACACTTGTTTACAGGCAAGCGGCAACCCTGGAAAGGTATCTTGCTCTACGGGCCCCCTGGTACCGGAAAGTCCTATCTTGCGAAGGCCGTTGCGACTGAGGCCAACAGCACCTTCTTCAGCGTCAGTAGTAGTGACCTGGTGTCGAAGTGGATGGGTGAGAGTGAAAGGTAGGGAAATGGCCCAGATTACCCGCCCGTATGACGCATGAGGCTTATAGACTCTGGCAGACTTGTTAAGCAACTTTTTAATATGGCCCGTGAGAACAAGCCAGCCATTATTTTCATTGATGAAGTCGATGCGCTGTGTGGGCCCCGTGGAGAAGGCGAATCCGAGGCATCTCGACGTATTAAGACGGAGTTGCTGGTTCAGATGGACGGCGTTGGAAAGGACTCTAAGGGTGTTTTGATCCTGGGCGCGACCAACATTCCCTGGCAGCTGGATGCTGCTATTAGGCGACGATTCCAACGCCGAGTTCACATCAGTCTTCCGGATATCAATGCGCGGATGAAGATGTTCATGCTGGCCGTGGGCTCAACACCGTGCCATATGACCCAGGTGGATTACCGGACATTGGCCGAAATGAGCGAAGGCTATTCTGGTAGTGATATCAGTATCGCCGTGCAAGATGCGCTGATGCAGCCAATTCGCAAGATTCAAACCGCGACGCATTATAAGAAGGTTTGTTGTCGTCATGGTCACCCTCCTCTGGTCTCGCCGCTTACACTGAATCCTTTTTCTAGGTTACTGTCGAGGGTGTCGAGAAGCTTACGCCATGCTCACCAGGCGATGCCGGCGCAGTCGAAATGACATGGCTCAACATTGAAGCAGAGCAGCTCTTGGAGCCTCCACTTGTGCTGAAGGACTTCATCAAGGCGGTTAAGAATTCCCGGCCTACTGTCAGTCAGGAAGATCTTACAAGGAACTCGGAGTGGACCAAGGAGTTTGGCAGCGAAGGCGCATGATTCATCTCTTCCGTCAATTCTGTCGCTTACATCTCTACCTCGATTCCTTGGGAGGGTCCCTGCCCAGCGCCGCCATTCATGGTTATGGCAGCTTTTTGGTTTCGTTTGCATTCATCTCGAGAGGAGGGCACAGCATGGAATAGACCATGTCTTGCTTGGATAAATACTGTTGCTTGTCGTGACTCGGGGGGTGTTTGAAGAGTTTGGTGTTCAGAAGCGGTTTCATCTGTTCTTGTTTTCAAATATTTTGGCAATGGCGAGGCGTTTCCTTTAGCAAATATTCATGTGCCTATTTTGGTGGGCTTCGTCATGAGAAAACGACAAACCATAGCACACATACTATGTCACTTCCACATTGTAAATCGTCTCCATCATGAAACCAGTTTCCTTGCCATCTGAAAATGTAGAGAGAAACTAACCCACTCTCTTTATGCTTAGAGATAGAGACAAACGTTGAATTTCTAACGACAGATTCATGACATTCGGATCACCCAGTCCATACTAGAGTGGTTATGCTCGACCTCAAACCCATGACAGCCTGCATATCGGAAAAATCAAACCCCAAAGCACCTTAAACGAACGCATGAAACCAAGTCCTGGAAGGACAGAAAAAACCATTTATAGGAAACAGACATGTCGGGGAATCTCTCGTGGCAGTAGGGAAGAAGAAGACGCTGGAAAATGGGACACAAACAACGATTTGAGAAAACAACAAGACGTATAAAGCAACAAAGGTCCAAGTTATGCAAGCTATTGGCTCAGACTCTTATTGGAGCTCTCGCGGCGCTTGAGCAATTCGCTCTTGGCTCGTTTCAAGCCCTCGCCGATCTTCTTGGTCTGTCTCCATTCCTGGCCCATCCGTTGCATGCGAACGGTAGCCATGACTAGTGAGATAGCAGTCTTGAGCTTGCGGCGTGGTGTTCGGGTAGGATTACGGTCACGGGCTTGGACGCCCATTTCAGAGATCATGCGAAGGTCGGCCTCGTTACTGTTTGAGTTGAATCAGGTTAGGGGGTTCGCTATACGTAGACAGAAATAGAAAGGCAATACTAACCAAGCAACGCGGACACGTTCGCCAAGCTCCATCAAGCCTTTACTCCAGGCCAAGTCATGCCGGAACTTCTCCTCCCGCCGTAAGCGAGCACGAAGCCATATGATTTCTTTGCCTAGACCGCGCATCTCTTTCTCGTGTTGACCCTTGGTGGAAGCTTTTGAAATGGACACCTTCTTGACAGCCTCGTCATACCGTTGTTGGAGTGCATTCAACTCCTTAGTGGCAGTCTCAGCTTTGCGAGCACAGAAGGCTCGCTCTTCACGGATTCGATGGACCTGATTCTTGAGCTCATTCAAACGGGAGTCTCGTTCAGAGACCTTGAGAGCCAAGGCCTCCGCTTCGAGAGTTGATGATTTGAGAAGTTCATGAAGATCCCTTTGGTCCTCCTCTCTCATCGCAGCATGCTCCAGATCCCGATTCTTGGCTTTGATCTCCTTGAGAGATCGGTGGGCATCCGAAAGCTGCTTGCGCAAATTTCGCAGCTCATCATGAAGCTTGTTGGATGGCGAATTTCGCGGCGAATTTGAGTCGAATTTATTCATCAATGCCTCGTGGAGGTCTCGCTCTAGATCAGCGACTCGGGATTTCAACGTACGTGCGGAAACCTGTTGGTCAGCTTCACGCTGTACAAGAATCTTCTCTCGCTTCCGAGCCTCATCAAGACTATGTCGGATCAGAGATAGGTCATTATGGGTACCAGAGTGCTCAGTCTCCACAGTGGGCTTCTGGTGCTGAAGAAGGGCCTCGAGCTCTTGAATGCGTCGTTCAAGGCGCTGAACCTTGGTCTTAGCAGTAGTCAATTCACGGTCTCGGTTGCCTGAGCCCGCAAGGAGCTTGTCTTGAAGATGATCGATCTCGGCTGAAAGACGGCCCTCTTCTGCGGTAGCCCGCTCAATCTCAGAACCGAGTTGCTGTTCAAGAGTCTCTTTGGCTTCCAATAGGGAGGCCCTGTCATCTTTCAGACGCTTCACTTCATTCTCAAGTCGAGTTGCTGTCCTGCGAAGTTCAAGTTTTTCGCGGTCGAAGCGAGTGGCATCATCCGGATTCTCAGGACGATCAAGCCGAGCTTGGAGGTCGTCGCGTTCCGCTTCAATTTCACCAACAGAAGTTCGCAAGTCATGTAGCTCGACGTGGGCATTCCCGAGCTGATCGCGAAGGGCCTGTCTATCGGCAATGGCTTTTGCAGTTGCGCCTCCACTTCAGACGAGCCCTTCTGCACGCGGCCTTTGGCATATTCCTGCTCATCTGCTAAGCTCGATTGCAGAACGATGACTTCATCTTCCAGAGCCTGCACTTTCTCCTTGAGGGACTGCTCCTCACGCCGAGACACACGCAGCTCCTCTCTCACAGTAAGGATGTCATTGCGCTGTTCATCCAAGATGTGTCTTTTCTGTGAAAGATCATCACCGAGCTCCTTAATTTGGCGATTGAGCACAGCTTCTTCCTGTAGATGGCGTTGCTTCTCACTGTCAATGGCTCCCTGTAATTTGAATTCTTTTCCGGAAAGCGTGTGCTCTGCCTCCTGGAGCTTTTCAATGGTACGCTTGAAGCCAGTTGCTTGCTCCTCGGCACGCTCTTTTTGAGCCTGCAAGGTTCGCTTGACGTTTTCCCACCTATCCTGCTCCAGAGCAAAGACGCCTTCCTTGTCCTCAATTTCGTGTTGAAGAGCCTCAATCTCATCTTGAAGTCGATCAATATCCGTTTTGTGTTGCCAGCGAAGGTTCTGACTATCCTGGGCACGGTTTGTGGCCTCCTCGACTGCCTTTTGGAGTTCGCGTATCCGGGATTGTGCTCGGGTCAGCTCGGCTTGCAAGCCACCAGACTCGTCAGTCAATGCATGGTGACGGGTTTGAAGAAGCTCCTTCTCTTCAGTACGGCGCTGAACGTTATCGAGGGCTTCTTGAAGCTGGGAAGACGTTATTTGAAGCTCATCGCGGAGCAGGTCTCGCTCCCGCCTGGCAGATTCAAGGTCTTCTCCTAGTTTCCCGGCGTCGTTCCTGAGGTCTTGTTGAGCGGTCTGATAACGCTCCTCTAGGCGAGTCACGGTTTCGTCTTTGCTATGGACTTGTGCCCTGAGGTTGTCGTTCGCCTGGCGTAACTCCTGCACTTCTTCCTCAAGCTTATCGGCTCTTTCCTCAAGCTGCCGACTGAGGCCCCTTGTCGTAAAGGACTTATCTGCCATCTCATCCTGCAACTCCCGGAGGTCGTCCTCAGCTCGGTTTTTCTCGTCCGTGGCGTTCTTTGCGGCAGCATCCGCTTCCTGGGCCTCTGATCTAGCCTGCTCAAGGCGATCCTGTAGTTCTTGGATCTGTTCCTTTGCACGGTCAAGTTCGAGTTGAAGTTCCGCCCCCGCCTCATTCTCCTGACGATTCTCTCGTAGCTCCTCTAGTTCTTCATCGCGTTCGTCGATGGCTCGGTCCTTCTCTCGTACGGTAGCCTCGAGATCTTCGATTTCGTCCCGGAGTTTTTCGATCTCTTGAGACTGATGGTCTTTGGCCATCCTCAATTCTTCCCGGAGTTCCCTGAGCTCATTGTCCCTCGATTCGATCTCTTCCCGCATAAGGTCCATTTCACGTTGAACCTCCTCATCGGTCTGTCTCCGCCGAGCCTTATCCTTCATTTCCATGAGTTGTTGTTGATAGTCCTCCAAATCGCGCTCGGCTTGTTGTAAGCTTTTCTTGTATCTGGAAATGTCGCGTTGCATAGTCAACCTCAAGACTTTGAGCTCAGTATTCTCTTTGAGGGCTGCACTGTTGTATTCAGGTCCTGCTTTCTCGAGTTGTTCCTCCAGGTAGTGAATTTTGAGTTTGAGGTTCCAATTGTCCTTGTCAAGCCGGTCAATGATCTGGGAGAGTTAATACGTGCCCTTCAAGTATCAAGAACGCTTCAAACATACACGCTCTTGCTCCTTCAATGTCATATTTTGTCCATCGCCCAGGATACCTCTCCCATCGCGCCCCAAAAGAGACGGCATGGGCGTGCTTTGAGCGCTGCTGCTGGCCGCCTGTGGAAGTGGTGTAGGCTCATCAGCATCCGCGTCCTCCTCGTAAATATCCGACATGTCAATGGCGGGTAAACCGGGGTATGAGCAGCGCCTCGGCTACTCTCGCGCAGGTATGCTGGGGTCTTCGGGTCGTCGGCTCCTCGATTCGTAGACACATTTCTTAAGAAATTATTCTTCGTCGCGCTTCGCATAAGCGGCGTGAACTCGCCTCTAGCAGGTCCAGCCGTTGGGAGTTGCCTCAACGCGCTTCTCGTAGACTTTGTCGCGGCACTGGCGCGCGGTGTGCCCATGTTGGAGCCTCCCGAAACGCGTTTTCGTCCTTCTCCAAAACCTTTGATCACGTCATTGTCCCTGGATGGCGTAGCGAATGAGTTTTCGACTGAATCAAGCGCTGAAAGGTGTGTTCGCCCCACGCTGCGGAAGCCGTTGGTGAGATAAGTCGCGTTTCCGTCGAGTTCGGTGCGTGGCGTGTCAATATATGGGAACGCCATTGTGCCAAAACCGTGTGGCAGCTATCCAAACTCATTTAACACGCGACCATAGCCGTCAAAACAAGAGAAATAGGTGGAAAACGCCTAACTTGACTGTGTTGTGTCGAGACCCAACGAGCAGAGCGTCGGAGACTGTTGATGTCTAACCCGATTGGGACTAGTGCACGAGTCACGGGTGGGTCGCGACCCTCGCCGCTTTTTTTCTTTTTGCGGAATGCCATGAGGTCATGGTCGCTGGCATTCAATTAAAGCACCTCATTGCAAAATCATGGCGACCGCGGAGGATATTGCGTGGTTCCAATCGACTTTCCGTCCTATCCCGAAGCCTGAACTTCCTGATGATTCGGTCGAATATTTCATTTATCACTTGCCCTCCCCCGCCCCCGCCGTTATCGACGAAGCCGCGGAGGCTCGAGCCCGATTGCTCGAAGTGCAGCGCACCGCTGCTGAGTTGACGAAAGAGCTTTTGAAAGACTACATTTGGCAGCGCGAAAGCTTCCGCTTAGAGATTAACAAAGAAAATGGTATGAGGAGTTCCCTGCCCATCGGAGCCGCAGCTCTCTGCTTTCCAATTCCCCACGGCGACCGTTAATTGCGGTATCAGGCATTACCTCACTTCACGGGCGTACCAACTACGGCGACTCTATTGAGGACGAGTGGGTGATTGTATACCTTCTCCGGGAGTTGACAAATCGGCATAAGGACATTTGGGTCAAGGTTGTGGACAGTGATGGCGAATTCTTGCTCGTCGAGGCTGCCGGCACTCTTCCCGCATGGCTGGAGCCTGAAGTTGCAGACAATAGGGTGAGCTTTTGATTTGGTGTATACTCCAGTCACGTCTCAGACACAATATCAACTAACTAAATGTTGATCAGGTCTGGATCCACCAAGGACAACTCCGGATTATCAAGCCAAAGCAAGACAAGGGTCGAAAAGTCACCGAAAAACTTACACTCGCCGACGCACGAACGATCATTCAGAATGAGCCAGATCGCTTTATGAAGTCCACGATAATTCAAGAAGAGGCATTTTACCGTCTACGCAATTACCCCAAGCAGATTACCGAAAACCTTCACTCCGCGATCCTCACAATTCCACGCAAGGTCGCATTCCTCCTACATCAAAAGCCAGCATACATATCCCCCGCAGTGGAGGCATTCTATATCCGAGATCCGATCGCCCTACGGCCGCTTCGAACGAAGGATATTTCTGATCTGACTTTCAGCCCCAACGACTTGGTCACCGTGAGCGTTAGATTCACGCGAGTTGGATATGCTCAGTTGAAGAGCCAAGAATTTCCCGTTCCAAGCAGCTGGGCTTCCAAGTTACCACCAATGGATGATCAAAAAGCATACGCTCGCGCTGAAGCGGGGATGAAGCTTGCCTGTGGCTTTGAAATGCTGCTCCATGATCCTCACTACCAAGACAAAGGCTCTGTCCGCGAAATGAAGCTTCTTCTTGAGGACATTGAGACTGGGGATGAGCTGCTACCTACCGACGAGGAAATTGAAAAGTCTTGGGACAAGCGAGAAGATGATGAAAAATGGATGGATATCAACTTTGAGGATCTAGACAGAGAGCTCAAAGGAAAGGGAAAATCCGGCGAGAAAACCGGAGGCGATTTTGGCGATGCAAGTGCACAAGAAAATTTACAGCGGATCGTGGCTCGCTTTGAAGAATTCTTGAACGACAACTCGGCAGGCTTTGAAGGAGCCGATTTTATTGATGATTTCGACTCTGACTCAGATGTCAACGAAGACGATGATGACGATGAGGTCAGCAGTGATGGAGAAGACAAGGATGCCTCCTTTGATGAAGAGGAGTTCTCTCGGATGATGAAAGAAATGATGGGCATGCCGTCCGGGTCTGGCCAAGGACCAGACATTTCTACACCTCTGCGTAACCGGATCAAGGAGCTGGATGATCTCGAAGAAGAAGAAGACGACGATACCGAACAGATTCAAGCGTTGTCCCGACAGATGGAAGCCGAACTTAAAGGAACAGGTGTGCTTGATCTCAACAAACACCAGCAGAAATTGGCGACTGGGGCGAGCTCCTCCAAGGGCAAGACCGCAGTGTCATCCAATCCCGATTTTGAGGGGGATGACGAGGATGACGACGTCAACATTAACCTCGCAAAGAACCTGCTCGAGGCGTTACAGGGTCAGGCTGGTAATGCTGGCCCGGCTGGGAACATGTTATCCATGTTGAACCTGCGCATGCCCAAAGATGACCGCTGTTAAATTGCACAATTACAGGCAATCGCACCATTACTTGAGAAACCCCAGTCTGGACTCGAATTGCAAAATGTTATCAGGTCCTGCACCGAAGCCAGTGTGTTTTGCAACATATCACACATTGTCAGCAATCTGCCAGGCGGAAGCTTCGCATCTCTTGAGGAAAATCCCGCTTGTACCAGAATGGCAACCCAAGAGGATCATTTGCCTAACATCGGTATTTCCGTAATTAGTCGGAACATCACATTCACTTCGAAGCTATCCTCCTGCTCCTGTTTCTGAAGCTCGACAAAAATGTCTCGAGCTTTTGCGGCTTACAAAATGTCATGGGTCGGAGGCAACGAAGAGAGATGCTAAATCGACCTCTTTGGAATCACTCCCGCAGAACTTTGTCCGATGGATGATGGCCCCAGTGAGTATCTCTAGAAGTGTTCATTCACCGCTGGTCGGGCACTTGTTTCTGGCTAGGCATGATAAATGGAGCTAGTTCGATAGTGACACAAGCTGCCCGGGAGACAACTTACCTAAACCTCAGTCATAAATGAAGTCTGAACTCCCGCACCGACCTACTTGATTTCCTATGCCACGTCATGGCTTTTGCTTTTCCTTTCCGTTTTCGTGCTCAGTCCCTCGCTGCTTTTGCTCACTGAGTACGCAGTAAACCTGAGCAAGCCTTTAAGCGTGATGAAGTGTGTTTTGGTCAAATTAATTCCAAGAATCATTGTATACATTAAAATGGTAGTGCCTTTCATAGTTCCCTCAAGGAAGTTCAGCCGCCGTCCTGGACCCTTCCGCCTCCGAGACCACACTACTACCCTGAAGCTCCGTCTTAGGCCGCTCCGCTGGAAGCTCTGATGATCTTACTGATCGGCCTTGGGTCCCAGCCAGTCGACGTCGTTTCCGACTCAAAAGCCAAAAAGCTGCAACACCGATAACAGCGAGTCCTCCAATACCCACTCCAACACCAATACCGGCCTTTGCTCCCGTCGACAGGGTCGGATGTGCTTGTCCATCGAACGTTGACGTTGTTGCAGATGCTACTGCAGCTCCAGATCGAGTTGTGGCTATCGTGTGTGTTGTCGAAGTCACGGAAGCGGGAAGATCAGAGGCCTGGAAAACCAGTTGAAAGAGCGGCGCGTTGACATTGATCTTTGAGATGGTCATGCCAAAGGTTGATGTAGTGGATTTAGTCGAGGTAGAAGCAAGGACCGTGGCGGGGACTTGCTGGTAAGAGAACCCATTGCTCGTTCCCGAGGAGCAGTAGACGGCAGGGAATGAGCCGGTGGAGTATTGGGAGTAGCATGTTTGCGCACTTTCGGTGTCATCCCAAGTATGTCCACAGGTGAAACCACTAACAGAAGTTTCAGTTTCAAAAGTTCCCCATCGATGTATCATCTGTGATATAAAGCTGATGGATAAAACCGCCGGGAGATTTCTGGGAACTAACGAACCTTGGACAACAACCTATCGCGGTTTCCTGTTCTACCAACGAGAACTGGAATGAATACCCCGACGAACCCCCATACGTCGCTAAACACGCCGCGGAATAGCCAGCCGGACACGAAATCGCTGGCGAATAGAAACCGGCGCCATTGAAAGCCAAGCCTGTGAACGCATCTTGGGCCGTGGCCTTCGGCCAGCATTCTGAATTATCCTGAATTCCCTGGCCATTGTTGCCGTTGTTGCTGCATGTTTGAGCCTGCCATGCGCTGGAGCATGTCGGACACTCTAAAACCGCAATGCTGCACGAGGCGGGGTATGTGAATGAGGTTGTTAAGGGACCGAGGTTTGCGCGGGTTGATGAAGTGATGGTAGATGTCATTGTGAGGCTTCTTTATTGTCTCAGCTTTGACTTCTGGTACGCGGCGAGTTTCCAGAGCTGTGGGTTTCAGGGGTAGGGTTCCTGATGTGATCTCCTGTGCGATTTTCCCAGTTTCTCCCACACTATTCACCGTTAGGGAGTATCTCGGGGAGAGAACGTGAAACAAAAACAGCGATTGGTCCTCCTTAGCTAGCAGAGAATACCATCATGAGGTTCAGGGTGAGTATTCCAAGGGGTTCAAAATGCTGGAAGAGCAGGTGTCCCTCAAGGTTGGCGCGTTTTCCAAAATGGGCTGCATCGTTCTACTACTGGGGGGGAACCCTTGAATATTACGTTCTGCACGTGACAATGCTCCTGCAACGCCCTCCAAGACCTCATGAACGGTTGGCTGCAGTGTCGAACCTCATCACTCATTTAAGTTCGGCCCCTAAACATATTCCGGCCCCCAACGAGGGGGGGTGATGGATCGAGAGAGGAAAGATTGGCCCCCAACCCTTGTTGTTTATTCGCGGGACCAACACGAGCATGATTACTGAGAAGTTGGGTTAAAGCCTGTTTGTCCTACTAGAATTGCCCAAGCCTAACCACATTCACAGACTTGATATGAGACATTCTATTTAGAATGATGTTGATCATCCAGTATGGTTACCATATTCCAGCACTGCAATCGAGATACGAGGAGTCTGCAACTCCACAACCCTAGACCCTTCAGCTGGTTTTAGCGTGGTCCGTGCATAAACTTAGTACGAGCTGAAGCTCCCTCCACCTAGATTGAACCACGGTTCGAAGCTTGACTCTTCTATGTTTATTGCAACCGATTAGATTGTATCAACACTGTTCAAAGTTCACTCCCGAGATCCAGACGTCCACAGGTGTTCATCCCGGCCCGGACCTCCGTTATTTTGCATCGGCTGCACATGCTACCTACATCATGCCGCACATTCCATCCACAAAGTATATTAGTATCCCTCATGTGCAGTCCTTCTCGAGGTCAAGATATATACAAGACAGGAAGGGCTGACATCAAAGTTTCTGACCTAGCTCAAGTCTCGAGGATGAATGCTACGATGCGATCCGCAAATTCTTTGATGACCTCGAGGCCGACGAAAGTGTCTTATTCGAGGCTACAAATAAGTCGCAGCAGTTATTAGACGACCTTCGAGATGTCGACAATAAACACAAGACGTCCATCTCAAGAAGGATTGCGCCAAAGCTGAAAGTCTTTGTTGCTGGCGTCGAACAGTTTGGATCGGCCTTGGATATCGTCGCGGGTTCCATCTCGCTAATGAGTCCTATTTGGGCTTCAGTACGCATTGTTCTCAAGGTCAGCATCGCCCGTTCCGGTTACCTCCCACTGAGATGCAAGAGAAACATTTCTAACTAGAGAACCTACCTTGTTTTGTAATGCAGCTCGCGGGTGACTACAGCGAGTATTTCGACAAGATTTCAGACATGTTCGAGGAGATTGGCTACATCCTTTCCTGCCTTCGACGATATCCTCGTCTGTATCCTGACAATAAGATTCTACGCGAGTCAATGGTAGAAATCTTCCAAGCAATCATGCAGTTTTGTACCAGAGCTCGGGATGTTTTTCATCAGGGGAAGAAACACCAGAGCGGCATTAGAGCCTTGAATCCTGTCGGCCTCCACGCAGCGTGGAAACTCATCTGGAAGCCCTTCAAGCTTCAATTTGGTGACATCATGGACCAAATTAGATCCTCCTTAACCAGGATTGATCATGAAGTTGACATTGCGGAGAAGGAGCTAGCCAACAAGGAGAGAGGCAAGGCAGAGCAAGAACGCCAGCTACAGACATCTCGCTGGGATGCGCTTCAATCGCATCAAAAGTCAGTCACCGAGTTCGTTGACCAGCAAAGAATCGATTATGTGAATCAGTGGCTCTCGCCGGTCAATGCCGCATCAAATCATACCTCAGCTACAAAGCTTCGCTACCAGGGAACAGGGAACTGGTTCATAGATGGACAAGATTTCCAGCAATGGCTATCACACGAAAATTCCTTCCTGTGGCTGCATGCCATTCCTGGAGGAGGCAAAACTATCCTGGCTTCTACTGTCATCGACTGGTTACGCAATCACAAGAAGAGCCGTGAGGTTGCACTGGCTTACTTTTACTGTGATTATAAAGATAAGCAAAAACAGTCGCCCACCAAGATTGTAAGCACATTATTGTGGATGCTAGCATCCCAAAATAATGATGTGTTTGGTAGAATCCAGACATTCTTCGAACAACAATGCAAAGAGAACCCGGCCTATACCCCAGAGTTTGACGAGCTTCTGAACAATTTCGGCCATTTTGTGGCGAACAGTTTTGAAACTATCTTCGTTGTCGCCGATGCTTTGGATGAAAGTGAAGACAGGGAATGTGTATCCTATGCCCTGAAAAAGATATTCGAGACCTGCAAATGTGCCAAGGTCTTTGTTACCAGCCGCCATGAGATTGACATTGCTCGAGCTCTTGATGGACTACCCAATACCACTATTGAGGCTACTGATGTCGCGGGGGACATTGAACTATACGTGAAAGCCGAGGTGGCCACCAAAATCAAGACGCGCAAACTGAAGCTGAGAGATCCGAACCTTGAGAGTGTCATCTGCGAAACTCTCATACATGGCGCCCACGGCATGTTCCAATGGGTAAAGTGTCAGCTTGATCAATTGTGCAAGCTTCGTAATGACAAAGCCGTGCGAAACGCTCTGAACGACCTCCCCAAGACCCTGCACGATACCTACATCCGGATCCTGCAAAAACTGGAGGCCGAGAATGCCGACGATGTGGAAGTTGTGCATCGATTGCTGAAGTGGCTCGTTCGAGGTGTACGAAATCTCACACTGAGCGAGTTGGCGGAGTGTGTGAGTATCGATCTCAACAGTTCGGATGAGTCATTTGACTTTGATGCAGTCTTTACAGACGCGGAAGATGTTGTAGAGCTATGTGGAAGTCTAATCACGCTCTCGTCTGATGGTCATGTCGCTTTGGCCCACTACACAGTTAAAGAATTTCTGGTGTCTGGGTACATCAAGAATGCCATGCCTCAGTTTTGGATAGGCTGTGATGATGTTCATGCGGAGCTAGCGAGCATTTGCCTTACTTACCTGAATTACGATGACTTCTCAGGGAGCGACGGAAAATCGGGAGAAGTCTTGCTGCGAGACCTTCACGAGTACAAATTTCTCCCATATGCCGTGCACGCATGGGGTACTCACGCACATCTCGGTGATATCAATAATACCCAACATGCCGTCTTTGACCTGACCATGAGACTGTTTGAATCGGGGGTTGACACTGGTACCAACTACGAAACTTGGTACAAGATATATTTCCATCAACAAAGGACCGCTGGGCAGCGGCTGAAGCCATCCAACAATGATCCGATCTATTTTGCGTCCTTGTTTGGCCTCTCTCGTGCAGTCTCAGAGCTATTGGACAATAGCCCTGACACTTACATTGTAGAGCCGATGAAGGCGAGCGCGAGTGCCGGACACTACGCGGTGATCGAAGTGTTCTTCCGGCAGTGTGGATCTATAGAAACCAAGGTACTAGAGCAATGTCTTTACTTGGCTTCCAGTCAAGGGCATGACCGTGTGGTACAGCTTCTGCTTAACAATGGGACGGATGTGAATGCTCGCTCGGGAAGACATGGCACACCCCTTCAAGTCGCTTCTCTCGATGGTAGGCATCAGGTGGTCTCGACACTCCTTGCACACGGTGCAGACCTCAATGTGACTTGCCAGAGATATGGTGTACCTCTTGCTGCTGCCGCCGAGAAAGGACACTTGCATACTTTCCAAACTCTCCTCGACCACGGTGCCAATGTGAACAGCCGTGGCGGTTGGTACGCCTATCCTCTGGTTTCTGCAATTGTTGGTCAGAACATGCAGATGGTTGACACCTTGGTTCAGCGAGGTGCCAGTGTCAATGCTCTGGGTGGTCGGCACGGAAGCGCCTTGATGGCTGCATCCTCATTGGGGATATTAGACTTGATTCGCTCGCTGGTCTCCCATGGGGCACGAGTAAACGATGAGAACGATAAAGGAACTGACAGCTTGTATGCGGCATGCTTGGCGGGAAATCTGGACTCCGTGAAGCTTCTGATAGAACTTGGAGCTGATGTCAATGCAAAAGGAGGCAAGCATCGAAACGCGCTCAATGCAGCGAGTGCAGGCAACCATGTCGATATTGTTCGATACCTTCTCGACGCTGGGGCGGATGTGGATTTCTTTGACGAACACTATGGGAACAGTGTTCAAACAGCTGCAGCTGCCGGACACAATGAGGTTATCCTTACCCTGGTGGAGGCTGGAGTGGACCTCAATGCACCCAGTGGGGATAGGGGAACTGCGCTCATTACAGCCGCGCAAAACGGCCATACTGAGACACTTGAGCTTCTTTTTGAGTTGGGAGTACCCTCAGGCGATACCTACGAGATGAGTAATGCCATCATGGTGGCTGCGAACAGGGGACATACGAGCGCTGTCAAAGTCTTGGTGGAAATGGGAGCGGCTATGGATGACTGCAGCACGCTCTCCACATATCCTTGCTGCACCCCTCTTGAAGCTGCCGCTATAAAGGGGAACTTGGAGACGATGGATCTGCTGCTCAATCTCGGCGCGGATGTGAATTACGTGAACGAGGGGAAGTATGGGACTGCACTTATCGCCGCTTGTCTTGTAGAAAAGTCCGATATTGCTGCAGCAGTGCGACTCCTCGACGCAGGAGCCGATGTTGATGCCACTGCAGATACTGAATTGATATGCTGTGCATTGGTCGGGGCCTTGTCTCGTGAGAACTATGAGCTTTGTGTGACTCTCCTGGACCGTGGCGCTGATGTGAATCTGGCCTACATGTGCTATTTGACCCCGCTGATGATGGTCATGAAACTTGCGGACGAAAAGTTCCTAGAGTTGCTGATCAGTCGTGGCGCAGATGTTAATCTGGCCATCGAAATCCCGGATGACGATTCGACTTGCAATGAAGACGGATGTGTCACGCCCCTACAAGCTGCGGTGTACTACGGTTCCAACGAGACAGTTCGAAAATTGATTGATATGGGAGCTCATCTTTCTGTGGACATGGAAGATGTGCGATTCTCTTCGGCGCTGCAAGTTGCATGTCATCGAGGCGACGTGGACAAAATTCGCCTGTTGATCGATGCAGGCAGTGATGTCAATGAAGTCGGTGGTGTGTATGGTACAGCCCTGCAAGCTGCTGCATATCTCGGCCATCTTGAAGCAACGCGAATGATTATCGAAGCTGGTGGCGATATCAACACTTGTGGCGGAGGCGATAGCAACGCCCTAATGGATGCGACCGATCAGAGCCACTTGGAAGTCGTCCAGCTACTTGTTGAGCAGGGGGCGAATGTTAACCTCTCGATGGGAAATAAACATTCATACAGCTATCCACTCACAGCGGCTGCCTTCAACGGAGATGAATCAATCATTCAAGTCTTACTTGAAGCTGGAGCCAACGTGAACAACCGAGGAGGCAGATGGGCCACTGCACTCCAAGCTGCTGCTTCTGAGGGTCAAGAAGAAGCCTGCACTCTCTTGCTCAAGCATGGGGCAGACCTCAACATCGTGGGCGGTAGATACGGAACGGCACTCCAGGCAGCGTATACACATGGATACTATTTGATTATTTGGGAGCTCTTCCGCCACGGGGCATCAACGAGTCTACAGGGTGGACAATACGGAACTGCCTTGGGTGCGGCCCTGTCAGGTTCTTGTCAAACTTTAGTCTCTGGGCTCCTCCGACATTATCATGCCGATCCGAATGCTCCAATCCGAAAATGGGGGACTCCGCTTATCCTGGCTTGCTCTAATTGGCGCGAAGATGATGCATATAGCATCTTGCTTGACGTGGGAGCAGACGTCAACGCCCGTGGTGGCTTGTATGGTGCCCCTCTCATTTGCGCGGTGGTGCATGGGCAGGAGGCCCAAGTTATGGCGTTGTTAGAAGCTGGGGCCAATGTCAACATTGAAGGGAATAAAATCTATCCGACTGCTGTCCACGGTGCAATCAAAGCCGGAAATCTATCCATTCTTCGACTCCTAGTCGAGAAGGGTGCAGATCTTAGTATCTCGAATGGCGTGCATGGCTCTCCTGTGGAATATGCTTCAAGGTTGGGTAATTTCTCGATCCTGCGCTACTTACTCAAGCGAAGAGCCAATATCAAGCCTACTGGCAGAGGGAAATATCACAACGCTTTACAGGGTGCTAGTGTGAGCGGAAATAAAGCTATCGTCAAGGCTCTGCTACGGCATGGTATCGACATCAACATCACTGGCGGGAAATTCGGCACAGCGTTGACAGCTGCTGTGTTACGCGATGATATTGATCTCGCGGAATACCTTTTGAAGAAAGGGATCAATCCAAATGCACCAGGCGGTATTTATTCCGGTGCATTACAAGCGGTAGCTGCGTCAGGATCTGTCTCCGGTACGCTCCTATTGCTTCGGTATGGTGCCAACATCAACAAGACTGGGGGGAAGTTCTTCACTCCTTTACAGGCGGCTGCTGCAAGTGGCAATTATGAACTGGTTCAACTTCTTCTTGAGCGAGGCGCCAACGTGAACATATTTGGTGGCCAATGCCATTCCCCCCTTCATGCAGCTGCATTGACGGGCTGTGATGATGTCTGCGAACTTCTCATGAAGAACGGGGCACAATGGACCCTACCTGATCCCAAGCTGAATCATCTAGCTTCGTGGCAAATTGAAACTGCGACTGAAGTCCTTCAGAAGTGTAAGGACCGACAAGATCGCGGATGGCCGGAGGATTCAGAGGATGAGTGGTCAGATGACGAAGATGAGGACGAAGAGGAAGAAGGAGATGAAGATGAAGCGGAGGAAGAAGAAGCTGATGACACTATTCTGAAGCTGAATGTCGAGGCCATTCCGCTCTTCGACATGCCTTACTATCCCTCTCATCGTACTGAACCTTCCATTATGACAGATGGAGGTGAAGGCCCAGATCCAGATGATTCCAGGTCTAAAAGTAACGGGGTTGGGATTGATAATGCGTCGAAAGGCATGAGTGAGGAATTGATCTCGCTGAACAGGGTTAATACCACGGGCTGGTCTTCATTGGAATGGGTCAAGATTGAATGTGGACCAGATGGGGATCTGGGTTAACTAGCAAGCGCATGAATGTTGAATTCCGATGGATCGAAATATCAATTCGCTACAGTCAGCCATTGCCTGCATCTCCGCTCAAGTACTTCGACTTGGATACTGTTACTGCCTCTCAACTGCCTGTACATAGTACGATCTTATCTGTCATCATCTACTCCGTACACGAGGAGCCCTGCCAGACCCACAATCCAAACTAGGAACTGCGCTAGAGACTTGAAGTGGCTGCTCAAAAGTCTGAATCTAAGACCAGAGCAAAGGTCCAGTCGAATGTGCTTTACTTCTCTTTGGAAAGAGCTAAACGAAATGTCTTTCTCAATAGCTCAGGAATTGTCTCTGGGATACTCTTTCAACGTATCACTGAACATATGACGATGGAAATTCTCCGGAGGTCAAACGCACGCAGTACCGCTATACGATATCTTGTAGACGTGGTCATTTCGTTAACAAGTCTTTCGCCACGCTAGTAGTAGACATGGGCACATCATCTCTGCCCAACTATCCTTCACTCGCCCGAAATAGATTTAATTTCATAGGGAAAGTGACATTCCCGCGGGGCCCGATTTCAAACGCTTTCCCCACCGAAATAGCTTTCCAATTGCCGGCCTCATCCGAAATATCCTCGACCGCGGATGAAACTCTTACCTCGGGCAGTGGGCGGCGGATAGCGGGCAGACCAGCCCACCATCCGACGATCGTCAGGCTCTGCTTGCCGTGGAAGGTGAAATCAACGAGGGGCTCTTTGATCTGCTGCAGTGGATGATTTCGCGCATCTGTGGGACGAAGCAGGTGGAGTATACACTAGGGAAGTCTTTCCTGGAGATGCCACAGGGTGTAGATCCACCGAGTGACAACACAGTTCCTTTGTGTCCATTGTATACCAATTCGGGTTTCGGCGTCTACGGGTAGCGATAATGGGGAATTTACCGGGTTCCGATGGGGGATGTTCATTTTGTGAGTGTGAAAAGATGGCAAGACACGACGAAGATTAATATGAGCTGCAGTATTGCTTATTGTGAGATCTGTAATAGTGCATTGAGATACAATTAATTGGGAGCATGCCGTAATCAACTGTCGGATTTGATGTTTTACTTTGAGGCAATGACTGTGTAACACATATAGGACTGCACTCCAAACTAAGTAGTGTCCCCAGAAGATGCAATATGGCTTACATCTTATACCCGGCTTAGTATTGTATTCATTTCGCAAATGGCCCTACAGTGTTAGTATTATTCCATTGAAGGTTGACATGGTGATTCCACGGACAAAAACAATCCACCCTCCAGCCGGTGTGCCCACAAGAGCAGGTCTGTCGAAGACTTGCCTCATAGAGTTTCTCCGGGCTCCACCGCGTCCACGATAATCGCGCAGACGCGCAGGGCCATGCCCCACGCGAAAATTTTATTTAGGACTGGCTACGATCAGCAGAGTGATCAGCAAATATTTGACACCTGGCAGACCAATTGAATGGTTGTGGTATGCAGCAGGCTAAAAACTGGCCATGTCAGTTAGTGATGGTGGTGCTGTATGCGCTTACGCGCTGTAACATCAAGTTCGCCAATGGTTTCACTCCATCGCCAAATTTAGTGGATCGAAGGGTGAGACAGTGACAAAGATTCCACGTGGAAAAAAGATGCTTGGCGATCATGGACGGGCTTAGGGTCCAGTTCAGCTGGCGTGGTTGTTTCATTCGGAAGTAGTACCCTGTAGCCCATAGTAGCCTATGTTGAATTCTAGAGTTTAAACCACCGCGTCACGAGGTACGAGAGTATAGAAGCCTTTACTGGCATCTCTGTACCGCAGAGTATTCTGTAGTCGTGCAGGTTACCGATCTGCCGAGGTAAGTCTTTCCGAACATTCTGACTCCAAAAGGTTACTGAAGGATCCTTTGTACTGAGTATCGCACTTAGGCAACGTGCTTCTCTAGTCATTAACTACTCCATACTGCATCTAGTTAGATTCTATTCCTTCAGTTCAACAGATTTATCGACCTTCCTAATCGCGATTATGGAATACTCCCCATACCTGACGTGCGTGCCACTGGAGAGGATGTTGTATAGGATTACTAAAATCGGCACATCCGGCCCATAACGACCCATTGCGAATGCCTGGAACTGTTAACCTGTCGTGTGCCGGTGCTTCTACAGCGGTCCACTATTATAGCAAAACGGAGGACTGAAGTCCTGTCGTCTGTCGAGGGATGGAGTTTCTCCATCGAGAGTGGAATCGGGAATCCTCCAGTGAGACTCGACTGCACGACCAAACCAGAGAACAGAGCATAGCCCATCCACCCAACCGACGAACCAACGAGATCCGCCCAGCCGAGCCAAGGCGTTCCCGACCCGCGCGTCTTCTGCACCGATGGCTGGGCCCATGGATGTGGCGTGCCACTTTTACCTCTAGCGACCGTTGGTCAGCAATTCCTCCGTCAGCTTGATCGAATTGTTTCGGCGTGTAAAATCCCTCATCTGAGTGTGCTTCCGTAAGTAGCTAGTAGTGTGTATTGTGTCCTCAATTTGTATGATGGAGTCGGCGGAAATACGGAGTGTAAGGTGGGATGGTGGCTGTTGGCTGCTTACTCGCGAATAATGGAGCTTAGTATTGCTTGTGAGAAGTGAAAGCGACTTCGGGCCCAGCGCGACCAATGGAACCACGAAAGTTACGGATTGACCCCCCGGCAGAGCGTTGTTCCCTTTTCCTCGATGGGAATGGTTCATATAGGGATACCGGTCAAGAGGAGGGATACGTAGTTGGCGGGAGTTTGAGGATGATCTATGATGACAATACTCCGGAGGGGTAAGTTAGTTACTGCGTCTAGTTTAGATTGTCTCCCAGATTGTGCGAAGGAGGGGAAGATGACAGGGATCGGGGTTGGCTAGCCCCATTGTTCGAGGCTCAATAGGTCGGTGGAAATAAGAAACCACACGGCCGTGCGATTAGACCATATTATTTTTGGACAAGGATCTGGATGGCAAATTATCATATCTCATCATGATTGAGTTTAAGCGTATTATGATTCATAGTACGGAGTACATGATTTAGTAGTTCCTTTCCTCCACCCTCATCTCCAATAGCTCAACCTCCCTATCATATCCCCGGTCATTTCTTCCAGTCCATAAGGCGAGGAAAGAAGGCGGGTGAACGGGAGCAAAATTCAGAAACCCCTGTAGCCGACCAGCCATCATGATTCAGTGGCTGTTACTTCCGGGCCGAATCATCGACGGCACGTTGATCGATCCCCAACCACTTCGGCTCGACCAAGGAAAAAAGCAGATCTGCGAAAAGTGATGACGTTAGGAGAATCCGACGGCATGGCTCAACGGCGATTGAATCCCTTCTTGCTGCAGCCTCGGCGGGAGAGGAGATGTAAAAGATGACCGGCAATACGAGGAGCATTCCGAAAAGCAGCAAAGTCCAAAGTTTAGTCCGTTGCCAATCCCTGCAAGCATGTCCCAAGTTCGGAAGGAAAATGCCACGCAAGTACCCGAGCATGGGAACGATGCCCTTTGAGTTTGCAATCCGTCGATACGGCTGTAGTGACCATTCCGTCGACCAAATCGGCAGTTATGCACTCCTCTCCGGCGGACAATTACTCGAAGAAGCGCTCGCGCTGTACCTTACTCCTTGTAGCTAACCTCTCCGTGTTCTCCGTAAAGCTACGGAGATCCCTGCAGGGGTATGGGGTAGTCTGGAGAATGGCTATCATAGTACGGAGTACATAGCGACCATAATGAAACCAACAATAATATATAGGATCTGCGGAATATTTGAGGGGACGGAAGAAACGGAGGACGGAGGACCTCCAGGAATTAGGCCGCGAATGAGTTACTTCTGGAAGCAAATGGGGGCGGGTTTCAAACATGCGATCGTCGTTCTCTCCGATCGTCCGTGACCGAAGAGCAACCGGCAAGGTTGGAGGATTATTGAGACACAAAGTGAACACAGTACGTCTATTGCGAGTTGTGGTAAATTTATGAATATAGTTATTCGTTGCGAACCGCACTACTGGTAAACATAGGGTAAGCGACAAGGAGTAATATGTGTTATCTGAAGATCAATCTATGGAAAGCAAAAGTACAAGTTGTAGCTCATTGTTCAAAATGCATGCGGAGTGCAGATATGATTCGCAGTGTGCAGTTCCTCATCCCACAGATCTTGATCCATGAGAAGCATTCCTTTTCTTCTTCAACTTTACAAGAACCGACATGAAAGGTACGAATCTGTGTACTCGAGATGGGTCTTTCTTTCCCTTTTGAGCTCGAAAGCGCAGATGTGAATGATGCTTCTGCGAGGATTGCACGAATCGGAGGCGCAGGAATCAGCCTTGTTCTTCGCCCACTCGGAGTATGGGGACCCCCTTCCAGAGTTTCATAGTTTAGTGACGGAGTATGGAGGACAAATTAGGGATAAGGATTATTATTAGCCTTATTATTGTTTTACTTTTCCCGTTCCTCGGATTATTGTTGTGGCTTTCGCTCCAAGAGTGCAGGCGAAGTTGCCTAGCGAGGAAGGATTTACCACCCGAGTAATCCGCCGACTCAGGTTGAAACGTTTTCAACACCATAATTGCGGTGTGATGAGTTTTGGGGGCCCTTCAAAAAAAGAAAAAGAAGGCGTGTAATTTGATATCATTATCGAGGAGCAAAATCTTCGGGCTGGGAACGGACGGAAAAAGCAAATCCAGCCTCTTTCCCAGCACAAAGGACCAGGGAAGAAAAAAGAAATATGAGTGTCAAATCCCCCTGTCGGACAGGTCCAGGTGATAGATCATACATCGCAAATGTCCCAACCCCAATATCAAGCCCAACGTGAGCAGTACAAAATCGTACGAATTGTATACGTCAACATCTACAATGTACTCTAATCCGTACAGATGAAGGCGAGCCCCACGAGATAGACGGGTGACACTGAGGATTGATTGACTTGCATCCACCACTAGCGGGCCCTATCCGGGAGATTAGGATAATTGGTCATTAACTCATCCTAAACTATCAGCATCCTTATTCTTTCCTGCACAGAAATACTCCCGTAGCTTTAGGCTATTCAGACTCCTCGCAACCACCATCCCAGGAATCAGCATAAATCTCCCCATAACAACCACCACTCACCATCGCCATCTAGCGGCTGTCGGAAGATGACAGAGCCCCGGTAGCTCTGCCGGCATTCTCACGGCGCTCCCCCCTGTTTGCAGTCTCCACCGCAGGACGAGAGCGGTCCCTCGGCTCAGAACGGACTAGTTGAGGAGCGGAACAGACACTGGTTGGGCCACGAAGCAATTCATCTACAGTCGGGCCGATGAAACTGAGACTAAATCAAGTGGTTCACATGCAAAAGTGACTGGGAGAGGAAAAGAAAAGAAAAAAAAAATTTAAAAAAAAAAAGGTCAGGTGGTATGGGGATAGACGAAGTACGAGCAGTGCATAGTCTGTACAGTCGTAGACTGTAAAAGGGAGGAAAGGAGGTCGACTGTAAGGGGAGCGCCATTCGTCCCAAGAATGTGAGTTGCCGCCGGTTCTTGGGACTCGATCGGAATTATGATAGAGAGGCTATTTTGCTTCATGGTGATTTGACCAGGCAGAAGTACCGTACACTACTGTTGGTGATGGCCATGAAGCATGTTCAGATCCCCTTTCCCCCCCCCTGATCGCCCTGCATCCGTCCAGTGGCTGGTCCAGTCAGAAAAGAATCAAAAAGGATACTACCGAGTACTATCTCCGTCCTGTACTGCAAATGCCAGCAGACTAGCAGTACCATAGTCTTCTTCCTTTTAACCGCAGTCCTCCGCACTAAGTAACGATGGACATCTTCAGTTGGGAACGGGGACGTATTCGGAAAAGCTTCGGTGGGCGAGTGGAGCAGGGATTTGTTCCATCGGGCTTCCATTAGTTCCATCTAAGAAGGGGAGGCTGTCGCGCGAGAGTCGAGGGAAAGAAAAAAAAGAAGGAATAATAATAAGATTTAAAATATTCAAAAAGATTTCCTAATCCAAAGGGCAAATTGGGAACCCGATCCACTCGGGCTTTGCCCGAGCCAAATAACCATTCGGCTGTTAATAATACTACTACTCCGTACTCCGTACTGTAGGCGAGAAGGATAATAGTCATTGGAATAATAATAATAATAATTCTAATTCTAAATCACTTTCCAGAGCCAAAAAAGGTAATGTAACTTAGGGCCGTGGCAACAGATGCCCCCCTTCCATTCTATCCCTACGGCCCTGCAGTTCGACGACGGAGTACTTCTTCCCCCGTCGCTGTGCACGGAGTGGTCGGTCCAGGTCTCGTCCTGCTCCTCCTCCTCCTCCTCCTCCTCCTCCTTCTCGGCTCTCGCTGCTTAACTTTCTTTATATGCAACTCCCCCCATCCTCTCTCTCTCCCTTCCACTAGACTACTTTCACCACCACTTTTTCCTCCACACACTCACTCTCTCCCTCTCCTCCTCGTCAACCTGGTCTGTGGATCTGGCGCATACTAGCCCATATCACTCTGCCACTTCCACTATGCTCCGCCGCAATGGCCTAATCTCTCTGCTGGAATCCGCCTAATCAGGTCCAGACCATGGATTTTATCGTGAGTTGCGCTTGCTCGGTCTAACGGGCACACCCACCGAAGCACTTCACCGAATGGATCGAACCTAACGTCTCTCTTCTCGGGTACAGCTCTCTCTCACGCACTTCTGCGAAGTGCATGGCCCTACTTCCATCATCTGCTCGCAGGTTCTCCCGTTCGCCTGCTCACAATGTCACCCCGATGCCGAGGCCTCGCCCGATACCACCTCCCACTCTCCGCGAGAGCCTAGATCGCCCCAGTCACCGGGCACCACCTCTGAACCCTCAGTATCGCGATCACCAAAGATCGAAGATCACCCATACTTCCTACCTTCCAAACAGCATGCATCCCCCGAGGAGCGATCAAACCGAGTCGGCGGCACGGATGGCGACACATGCGCCAGCTGTAGCTTGTCTCTCCCCGAAGACGTGAGCAGACAGCTGCCATCGGGTGCACCCGGCAGTCGTGACGCCAACGGTACCAGCAACGGCAGCCCGGTCCTGCGATCGCGCGAAGTCGTTTACTCCTGTGGCAACAGTCACTCTGACGTGGATGACGATACCCCGGATTCCCACACTCACGCCTCTCCACCTGATTCTCTGCGCTCTGCCTCAGTCGCATCCGATGCATCATCATGTCACACTCATATTCTCACCTATCTCTCGCTCCGCGGTCCCCCCAACCCGGCCGACTACGCCCTCCTCCGCCGCTCCTCGATCCGCACCCTCAGCTGTGAGTTACTGCCTCGCGGCCTGTCATCCGGCCCTCTTTGCTTCGGCGACTCCGTAGCTGGCTACACGATCGCCTTTATTTTCCGCCTCCCGGACCCCATGGCACGCGGCAAGCGCCGCAGTTACGCCTTAGTGGCTCTCGCCGGGAAGGACGCCGGAAGAGCATTCCGAGCCTGTCCCGTCATTTGGCGCGCATTCGGGCGCATCGCCTCTGGCATTGTCAATGGTGCCGAGCGATTCCAGGAAGAAGAGAAAAAGCGTGAGGAACAGAATAGTGCTGCCGCCCAGTCTGGTGACCAGCAGTACACCCCCATCTCATCATTCCTGACCGGTCGGGCTAAGGACCTGGCCGGCCAGCCCCGTCGCCTTGGCCAAATTCGTGCACGAAATCTGGCCGAGATCGTCGGCAACGAATACATTTTCACCGAGATTCATGCGCACTTTGTTGCGCTGCTCCAGCAGCTGGGCACGATGTTCGGCGGTATGCCTATCTCCGAGGACCGATTTGTCTGCAGCACTGTCGGCGACGAGGAGAGCGCTACCAGAATCCAGCCTGTCGTGTCTCGTGGCACTGAGCGTTCCCAGAAACGCCAGTCAGTTTCCAAATATGACGGCAATGATCTCGACATGACTAAACTTGAGATTGCCTCCGGGCCTCAGCCGATCCCCATTACCAACACCCGCCGGTCAGTCGTGGCCTAAATGCGATTCCTACCTGTTCCATCCATATCCGTTTGAGATACCCCGCCGGCATTGTTTTTTTCTTAGCTGGGCACACTTGACCTTGATTGTTTCGTGCAACCACGATGCTTTTTTTTTCCCTTTCATTTCATGCCATGTGTTGTTCAAGCGAATGCACCACTACCGTGGTGTAGCTGTTTTCTGTCGTTTTGCATCTCGCCTACGGGCCTGTTTTCTGGGATTTCTGCTTTTCACAATGTTTCTTGCGCAAGATGGGTATGGGCATAGACTACGGCGTCTCACAGATACGGATCGGAGTTTGTTTTTACGGGAGACTTTTGCCGCATTTCTTTGTCTTTTTCACTATCTTCTCTTGGACAGCCTGCCTTTTCTCTAAAAGGCCTGTCGTCTTTTTGCAATGAGCGATAACTTTGTTTTTGTTTTCCCATTTCGGCTGGCTTTCATTTGCGCGCTCGGATTCATGACTGGGAGATTTGATGACAATGATCGCGATGAGGCTTTCAGGAGGACATGTACCATAACAATGTATTTTTGAGAAACACAAACGAGTATAGCCTGAACAGGCTGGGAATTTTGTTTAATCTGCTGTTTTCCAGGCTACATCACTTCCAGGATTGTCTTCGACCTGCGGCCGATGTATATGCCCGTCTTACTCTCCAAGCATGAACCCCCAAAGGCTTCCATGCTGCCACAAAATCAAGTCCACGAGAGCTGGAATAGTGTAGATCAGGGTCACCCTGTCCATTCTTTCCAACTATGAATGAATACTATGTAAGTTAATTCAACGATTCTTCGCAGTGGTTGGGGAGGATGGAGACGCTTTTGATGAAAACGGCAGCTTTCTGGATGGAGCCAAGATAAAGTTACATCTCCATTCCAGTACACCAGTCAAGGATGCCAGAAATTTGGCACTGGACAGCACCCTTAAGAATCGAAATTGGCTAGTTTGATCAAGACTGTCCACAAAAAAAGCAATGACATGCCTCCTAATATAGATCGTCTAAATATTTCAGCCGCGAGATATACTTCGGGACCATGGAGTGGCCGGATAAACTGCCCCGTTTAGGTTCTTCCGAGCACACCCGGGCCACAATCGAAAATCCCACCAAAAAGCACCACCTCCAGGAACAAAGCCAGACCCGCACATCACCAACCCTCACACAACCTCCGCCAAGATGGTCGCCTTCGACAAGTGTGAAACCCGGCCGGCTCATATCGATGTCATCCTCAATGGCCTCGATCGGTACAACCCCGAGACCACCACCGTCTTCCAGGACTACGTGGCCCAGCAATGCGAGGACCGGTCATTCGATCTCTATGCCAACCTGGCTCTGCTGAAGCTGTGAGTTGGATCTCTATTCTTTTATTTGAAGATTCAAATTATATGCATGTGAAAAATATGGACTTCTTTTCTATGATGAATGATTTTATTCTTCATACACGTTTCCTATTACCTGACAACCTGTCGCGAATGGGGCTGTTGAGAATTTCAATCTTTCTGAAAGAGCCAGCAAGGTGTGAACGTTGCCTGCATTCATGCCGATCAGTTCCGTTGCGCTTGCTTTTATAAACGATATATGAATTTTGAGCTTTGTGCTAATATCCACATCTCTTATTCAAAACAGCTACCAGTTCAACCCCCACCTTCTCCAGCCTGACACCGTCACCAACGTCCTGGTCAAGGCCCTGACTGTGTTCCCTTCTCCCGCCTTCTCGCTCTGCCTCGCCCTGCTCCCCGCCCACACTCAGCCCTTCCCCGCTTCCTCCGAGGCCCAGGCTGCCTCCCAGACCTCCGACTTTGTCGAGTCCGTGCAGAAGCTCTCCCGCCTTTCTACCCTCCTCGAGTCCGCCCAGTACACCCAGTTCTGGTCCACCCTGAACTCGGATGACCTGTACGCTGATCTGACCGCCGACATTGCCGGTTTCGAGGAGCTCATCCGCATCCGCATCGCCGTTGAGGTTGGCAAGGCCTTCCGCACCATCACCGCCGAGTCCCTCGAGCAGTGGCTCGACCTGCGCAGCCGCGACGCTCTGGCCAAGTTCGTTGCCGACGTCTGCAGCTGGAAGGTCGAGGGTGACGTTGTTCGCGTCCCTACCAACAAGGAGAACGAGGCCCGCAGCGAGGTGAAGAGCGAGCGTGTCGGTGTCGACATGTTCGGCCGTGTCATCCGCCGTGGTTTCGAGCAGCCCGCATGAACAATCACAGCCCTGCCCTAAATAATCCTCTTTTTGCCTCCGATTTCTTACTGTTTAACCCCCCACCCAAATTCTTCATTCTCCGCCCCGTTTCTCTCCATGTGGGAGGGAAGTGCTTTTCTTTCTTTTTTTTTCAAAATAAAAAGAGACATGAGTTCATGAATCCCCGATCCGTGACGACGGTGATAGATTTTCGCATGGAGGAGGCCCCGCGGAGATGAGTCGGGATCTGGCGCAATCCGGCGTTTATTTTCTCCATTGATTGCCCCCATTGATGGTTTTTTTTCTTGTGTATTGGAATCCTGTGTTCTGGCTCTTCTGGAATGATGAGCGGTTGATGAGGGATGCGAGAGAGATGCCCATGTTCATACCTAGGTACTGATGCCTTCTATGCCGAGTCGACTTTTTCTACATTCTGGCTCGCTGCAATAGAAAAAAAAAGAAAAGAAACATACAGTATTTCCAAGAACGATTGAGCATCTTCGCGTGTCAAAGTAAGTATCATTAGACATCGGAACGTGGATCTATGTAAACCCAACGAGATCTATGTTTTTATGCATCCACCAGGTCGTAAACAGCATTCCAACCCCCTCTGACCTCCGCATGGGTATATCAACTCTCGTGGCCATAATGACCTCTCTTTCTCACTCTATTTTATCTCCTCCCACTGCACACCAGCCCATTCCTCGCGCCAACCAAGCTGCCCAATCTTCTCCGGTGCACAATCTTGTCCGCAGACACCGAGGATGATAGTCCCCCACTCCATGCCCGCATCCCCCTCGCCAAGCCCGACGCCCTCGCGTCCGTCCTCAAGCATGCTGATAGCATGGGGCACCAATTGCACCTCAAACACCCGCGGCGCACCACAATACTCGCACGGAGGCATGCTTCCACCTCCGGTGGTCGTCACGCGGCCAGCGCTGTGCTCCGGGTGCAGGCGCTTGCCGACCTGGTCGGCGTAAGAAGAAAGAAGCGGAATACCGCGGTACTCATACCGCAGGACTTGCTCAGGATTGTGCGCAAGACGCATAGAGAACTTCATAAAGGCCTTATCCATCTCGGACTCGAACGTATCCTTGAGCTCGACGTTACCCTCACCACCGGCGCTATCTTCCTCCATTGGCTCCACGGTGACATTTTCAGGGATCGTGGGCGTCGACGGCCGCGACATGGTCTCGTATTCGGCATCGAGGTAGTACTTCTTATATGGGGCCGGGAAGGCAGACTGCGCGGGCCATGGCGCCTGGACACCAGTCGATTCGGGCGTTTGTTTGGTCGCCGTGCCTGAGGCGCTTGCCGAGGCGGGCGAGGAAATCCGGACCTTATCGGCGAATGATTCAGCAAGCGCACATGTAGAGGTCGTGGTGGATGATTGAGATTGAGCAGCCGGGGCCGGGGCCGGGCCCGCGGGCGTCGCTGGCTTGGGCATCGCAAATGGATTGGCCCCCGCGGCCGCCGTGCTGGAGCCAGGAGTGACCGAGAAGGGATTGGAATTCGCCGACACGCTGCTTGTCAGCGCGGTCGCGCCGAACAAACTTGCTCCCAGGTCTATCTTGGGCTTTGGCGGCGCGACGGGCTCAGGCTGGGGCTGGGGCTCGGGCTGCTTCTTCTTTTCCTCCTTCTGCGGCTGTGGCAGTGGTAGGCCGGGAAGACTGACCTTGCGAGTTGCGCGATATGCCCGGATACTCCCTGGCTTGCGATTGCATGGTTTCCTGGGACATCCAAATATGTACAGGCGGCGCTCGTTATTGGGGAAATGGTCGGGCAGGTCGCCGTGCAGTTCGAGAAGCAGTAGCATCGGGCTATTGCAGACTTTGCAGTTGGCGTAGTCGCCTGGTGGCGGGGTATTCTCATCGATCCATGACTATAGGAACGAAAAACAGGTCTTGTCAGTGTATATGTCCACGCATTGGATCTTGCTTGGAGTCGGGAGCATACTGGCCAGCCTCCAAGATGGCTGATAGTGTCTTCTATGACCTCCTCATCTGCGTATCCGAGCAGCACGTTGGTCTCGGCGAAATCTTCGTCGACACTCGAGTCACTGTCATAGGGATCCATGGCGTGAACAATGGATGAAAGGGTATCTGATAATAACGAGGAAAAGAAGAAAATCCGAGAAAAAGTCCCCCTCACTAAAAAATGTTGCGATCGCCGATAAGCGATACGGCGGCCCCACACTGCCGTAATATTACCGCGTCATGGCCTCGATCCCTTGCAACATCGACCTCCAACTTTCAGCTCACTTACCTTTACGATCTATCTCTGGATGCGAATCTGTGGCTTGCAGAGATGGCATTCACTCCACGACCCTTGCGGGATCTGTGGCTATTATATACTGTTCTAACGATTCTTTTGCCGCTTAGCAATGCGGTCCAGCCACAGCAACTCCTACGACCTGCTTTAGATGCCTCCTCCAAGCGGGTGGCTGTCATCGGTAGGTATCCAAGAGTTTCCTCGGGGTCTGCAACTGGATAAGTCCAATCCCGAGACATCAAAGATACTAATAATATCATAGGAGCCGGTGCTGGAGGCTCTTTTGCTGCATACGAGCTCCGCAAGCTTGCGGATGAGGCTGGGATTCCACTCAACCTCACCGTCTTCGAGCGTGCCTCATACATCGGAGGACGCTCGACAACAGTCAATGTATTCGATCACCCAGCATATCCAATCGAACTAGGAGCCTCAATTTTCGTCGAGGTCAACTATAATCTGGTCAATGCCTCGCGTGATCTGGGTCTTACAGTTCGCGCTGCTGACCATGCGCGGCCCCGAGAATCGGATGAATCGATCGGTATCTGGGATGGCAAGCAGTTTGCGTTTACTATGAAGGATTCTTATAGCTGGTGGAATATTGGCCGACTCCTTTGGCGATATGGGATGGCCCCGCTACGTACCCAGAATCTGATGAAAGAGATTGTTGGGAAGTTCCTGCGCCTATACGAGGAACCCCTCTTCCCGTTTCAGTCACTGTCTGAGGCAGCAGCAGCAGTAGACCTGCTCAACACTACATCATCAACCGGCGAGGCTTTTCTAGCAGCGAACCGGATCTCCACGTTATTCTCTCGGGAGATTATTCAAGCAAGTACTCGGGTCAACTATGGCCAGAATTTGGGCCTGATTCACGGCCTCGAGTCGATAGTCTGCATGGCCACTGACGGTGCCGTATCCATTGACGGTGGGAATTGGCGAATATTTGACGGCGCTGTCAAGGCTGCAAACGCCGATGTCAAACTAGCTACCACAGTTACCGAAATTGTTCGCGGTGATGACGGGACCATCCGTGTAACATCCCATCCGAGCGATGAACTTGACTCTCCCCAGTCTATTGATGAGTCCGAGTTTGATGAAGTCATCATTGCCGGACCGCTGCAGTATTCTGGAATTTCAATATCCCCTCCCCTGGAGCATATCCCAGACGAAATCCCTTATGTGAAGTTGCATGTCACGCTATTTGCTTCGCCCCATCAAATTTCCGCAAAGTATTTTGGACTTGATGGGAAGAAGGATCAGGTCCCGGAAACTATTCTCACGACACTTCCCGAAGACCTGGATCTAGGGCAAAACCCGCACGGTGTTGGACCTGCTGAATTCTGGAGCATCAGTACGCTCAGAACTGTGGACTACTCAGTCGTTAAGGATGGAGAGGAGCAGCATGAGTTGCACTATGTGTACAAGATCTTCTCACCCGAACGGCCGACGGCAGATTTCATTGCGAACTTACTCGACATTGACTACCCTGAAAGCACCGGCTCGGTAATTACTCCACACGCCAATACAACTATCGGGGATCTGCCCGAAACGGAGATAAGCTGGTTCCACGAGAAGCTTTGGCACCCGTATCCCCTCTTATACCCGAGGGTGACATTCGAGGAGACTCTTCTGGCTCCTGGTGTCTGGTATACTAGTGGAATTGAGAGCTTTATCTCGACTATGGAGACTAGCGCCTTGATGGGCCGGAATGTTGCCGCACTCATGGTACAGTTATGGAAGAAGCAAGAGGAAAGTAAAAGCAGCTCTCCATTGTTGAGCCTGAAGACGGAGCTGTGAATTCACTCCAACTATCATCGTTCAGTATAGTCTTTCTTGCGACAGTGCATAGGTTCTGTATACACCCTCTCTCGGCTGAAATGTAAATGAAATTCAACTTGAATTCCTCTGTATTCACATGATTCGAATGATAAACGGCATTAGATCATTCGAGATTATAAGTCAAGCCTTTTATAGCTTACGAATATCTCAACCCGCCATATTCAAGGAATAACATGCAGCCAGTCGACGATGCTTGAACTCGATTACCCAAGTCCAAAGGTACGAACGAGGGAAGAAGGCGGCGGCTAGCGAGCCAGGGGGATATGTTTAGCTTGCGGGTCAAACCGCGCACCTTATTCTTCTTCTCGTCTCAATCAAGATCACCAATCACCAAAATTGAGACTGATACATCGGTCTAAGAGAACCTTGACAAACTCTTGAATTGGGTTGAAAGATTACCCATAAAAACCATACGATGATACTTCCTCGACTCGGCTGCCGGATTAAACATACTATGTTGAAACCTCAGAACCGCGGTTGAAGAGAAAAAAGCAAATAGGTATATTCAAATCATGGCGAAGAGTCATACTCCTCCTTCAAGTTTCCGAGACAAGAATAAGGAGTCGAGACTTGTGCCATAACATTCGCGAAAAAGGCCAAGAACGCCCAATCCCGCTAGTGACGCGTAACTCCACCCCGTCGCTGTGCAGAACTGCAGATATCAAGAGAAGGGGCCCAAGGGGAGGGGGGAGTTGCTAACTACTCAATGCTTTTGCAGCCAGGATGGTATATCAGGTGAATTAATATGGTGGCACGAAGAGAAGGGAAGAATGGGAAGAAAAGGACACGAAAAAGATTACCACTGGTCATACACCAAGCCATCCCCACACATAACCCTAACACTCGTGAGTGTAGGTACATAAGAAAATGAAATAAAGAGATACAGAGGTTGATCATTCAGTCACAGATTGAATAGGGAGTTTAACTGGAGTAGTCCAGGGTGACGGCCAGACGGACAGCACCGGCGACCAGGTTGCCACCAAGACCACCCTCGTCGGCGAGAGCAGCAGTGTAGGCGTTGTCAACGGTCTCGGCATCCTCGGTGATCGAAGAGCAAGTGCCGTCAGAGAGAACGCTGCAAATCTTCATACCCTGGACGGTGAGACCGGCGTTCTGGGCCTGAATAGCGGAGACGTCGAAGCCAGACCAGCCATCATTGGCAGTAGAGCCGAAGTCGAATTCACCCCAGGTGGAAGCATAGCTACCGTATTCGTTGAGGGGGATGGAGCCCTTGGAAGCAGTCCAGCCACCCTGGGAATCGGTATCGAAGGCGTAGTACTTGGTGGCACCGGCCGCGATGGTGAAGCTGTGGCAGGCGTTACCGTACCAGCCGTCCATCTTGCCATCGGGGCCAATCTTGTTCCAGATCACGACCTTCCAGTCCTCGGTGTTGGAGCCCTGGAACTCCACGACGTACTTGTAGCTGCTGGCCTCGGAGGCGGACACCTCCTGGATATTGGTACCGTAGGGGCTGCCGACGTTGCCGACGTAAGTATCACCCGAGCCGGAAGAGTTGGTCACACCACCGAAGCCCGTGGTGCAGTACTCTCCACTGGAGGGAACGGAGCTCCAGTCGGCACTAGCTCCAGATGAAGTGGTCGAAGCAGCGGCAGTGGAGGTTGATGAGACAGTAGTCGAAGTAGAGATCTCAGTTGAGGTGGACGATGAGGTGGAAGTGGAAGTAGAAATCGAGGTGGAGGTCGAAGTAGAAGAGGTCAACGCAACAGTCGAGGTCGAAGTAGTCGCAGGGATCGGCGTAGAGATCGACACCAGACTGGTCGAGGTCGACGAATCACACGGGCAGACATAAACAGTGTTGGTGGTAGTCAGAGTGACCGTGCTGCCAGTATCCTGGCGACGGAGATGGCCTTCATGCCGGGCACTGTGGCCATGGCGAGCGAGTGCGCTGCTGGTCAGGGCTGCCAGCAGCGTGAGAGACTTGGAGAAGTGCATAATTTCGCTGGAAGATGGACTCGATTGAAACCAAAGCCACCACTACACTTTGGGATGGCAACAGTAACGTCTTGAGCGACGGTGACGCAGCAGGTCGATGGTTCAAAAGAGCGACTGGATAAAAGAACGGCACAGCGAACTTCGCTGGAAGAGAAGTGAACGAACGTACAGCAGTAGCAGGGGAGAAGAGGGTTAGACCTTTTGGGGGCCAGGCTCTCAGTTTTAATGAGCGGTCCCGATGGCACTGGGATAGCGAGGCGTGGGGGGCTATACGTACACCAGGCGCTAAGGATGGTCTTGGACGACGCATGGCCAGCCCTAAAATGGGGTTCTTCGCCTGAGTCTCTCATCCTAATTGTCCTCATCTTATTAGTCTGCCCGGGAGTTGACGTATACTCGCCCGCCAGCGGGCTCTAGTGGGCTGAAGGTGGAGATGGCTTGGTATTCTTCGAGGGTCGTGGTTGGTGAATTCTGGTGGACTGGCACTTCCGACTTATCCCAGTCTGGCCAAGGCCCACCCAGTTGTCGACCTAATCTCTGCCGGCTTCCATCCAAGCCTAGAACGTACGCGTTCAACGTGAGATCGCCCGGGACTGATGCCAATCTTGTGATATTCTCTACGGTCTGTTCTGGTTCTATCATTTTCGGCTCTCCGCGGGCTCACAAAGGATCTATACACCTCTTGTATGGTCCCCATGGATAGCCCCCATATCCCCATAACCCCGAGTCCTCGAGGCGCTTTAGAGCGGCAAATCTGACACAATGGCGCCGCCCGTTCGGGCGCGTATTCCGAATTAACCGGACTGACCAGCCCGGCTAACAAGGCTAGGCGATATTCGGCTGCATCGAACGGAGGCTAAAACAATGTGGGCGCCAACGCAGGTACAAGGAACATTCTTCTTCGCCTTCAATCCGGCAAATCCCAGAATTTTCCTCGTGGACCCTTCTCGGGAATTAAAGAATGGAGATGTCCAATATGCAATGACCTGCATCAGAGAACTTTTCATGTATGTACGGAGGACTGACCGGTCTGTCAACCTATAAAGTCGCCATCGTGGGGCCCGATTTAATTATGCGATTGTGCCTGGATCGCATCGCCAATCAGAAATCCGGGCTCCATCGAGCGATTAGTCAAGTGCGGGCCTGCTAATCCCCTGGCCCACGGTTCTCGTTGAACTTTCCAACTGCTTCTTTCTACATACAGAACTTTAGTTACCCGTCTTGTATTAGATATGTACTCCGCAGATACTCCGTCGTATGTCGGGCACATCAAATCATAAACTTATAGAGTTGATCTAGGCCTCATATAATTTCCTTGGGGCCCACCTCTCCATCCGGCACTCCTCCGCGCGAGTCCCGTCGCACAGACTCAATGCCTGGAGAAGAGTGCAGACCGAAACTCACTTGTACGATTGGAGTGGACGTAGTAGGAACTAATAGGGAATGGACTTGATATTTCTGCTCGATCCCGCCTTATAGGTGTAAAGTCTAAACTAAAGTACGGTATTAACGTTGCACTCTGCCCCCACTACTAATTACAATCCTGTCATAAGATAATTGCCCACTGCCCTAGCCCAACAACGATTCCATCTCAACACCCGCGACGTTCACGGAAGCCCCATACCATTGATGCCCAGGTCATCTGATGCATCTCAGCGGCAGACAGACCGGGAGGCTGCCCAGGAAGATTAGGATTGGGCAACGGCGCCTGATCAATCCCTGGGTAACTATCTGTTCCAGCCATCCCATAGAGCGAATTAGAATTACCAAATCCCATGGGAAGTGACATGAGTAAATCATTGACATCGGCGTTTGTGAAATCGCCGAGCTGCTGCTCCATGTTGGCGTTTTGTTCATTCTGTGTCTCCTCGGCCATTATTATCTTCAGATTCGACACGATTCTTGGTACGACCAGTGGCTCCTGTGTCGACGTTTCAGGGTTCTTGGAGATCTTTTCGCGAGCCTCCCAGGCCTGGAGAAGGATCTTGGTGAATGTTTTCAAGACAGAATTGGCGACAAAACTTGAAACATTGTATCGTGCATCGTAATTATCGCTCATGACCTCCCAAGCCTGTTGGGCGTCTGGACGGGTAGGTTGTTTGATCAACTCTTGGACGATGTGGATATATGACGGAAGGGGGAAGTACGAATGAAGAAGCCATCTAAATCCTTTGGTTGAGGGATTGTTCAAGAGTTTGGTATCGCTGTCAAGCACCCGGAATGCGTATAGCATCGGAGTATCGTTTCGTCTCTCTGCCTGAGGTTCAGAACCGCACCGAGAATAGTATTCTAAAAGTCGGTTTTTCGAGAGCGTAGATCTCATCATCCAGATTGTCATGAAATGAAGTGGAATCTGCGAATCGCAATGATCAAGATAGCCTTTTTCGATGATCTTCTCTAGAGCATCGAGATTACCATCCCCAGGAAGCTCTTTGGCAACGCGCTTCAGAGATGGGTTGGTGAAATCTAGATGAAAGGAGCTGTGGCGGATGAACTCTCCTATCTCGCAGCGCAAACGGGCAAAAAGTGCCTCGGTGGTTTTACTCTGAACTGCCGGTGGATCCTTCATCTCCGGGCGAAGATCGAAATCATTCACGTTGAGAGGGATCTTGCAGTCCCAGGTTGGGGCGAGTATGGTGGTTCTGTAATCCGATAACTCACTGATTCGTGCATCGAACAGTACGAATGACCACCAAAGTCTTCGGCGCATTTCAGCTTCGAGCACAGGATATTTCGAGTTATTCGACTCGTATTGGATACCCATCCGTTGAGCAATACGACTCGCGATTCCGAGCATAGATGATAGAGAGCGAGGATCCGTGCTAGGACGTAACGAAACCTAGACAATGTTAGTAAGAAAATCATGGATTACCAAGCTGAACTTACCAGATAGAAGTGAAGTGCGGTTAAACAGTCACGATCAGGAGATCGTAAGAAGCCGCAGTTCCACAGAGATTGCTGACAACCTAATTGAAACTTTCTGAGAAGGTCACCTTTTGGAATTCCAAATAACGTTTGACAGTCCTCGGAAAGACTCAGTACAGCCATGCTATAGATGCCAAACATAAGTGCTTCCAGAGTGGGAGTAATATTGGTTAAATTACTTGCGGCTTCGATGATGCGACCCTGCAATGTTGGGGTATGTGTGACTCTAAGCAGCGGGTTGACATTGTCGAGATAGATTTGCCAGAGCCTGAAGATATGTACTGGCTCCGGATGAAGCGTGGAGAGTTCAACAGCAGCCTGCCGTGAGCCAAACAGAAGATGATCGTCGTTTTCGAAGAGGTGATCCCAGGTTTTCCCAACCATGACCTCTCGGACACCGTCATTCAGATCGCCGTCATTATTCACTCCTCGGAACTGGATTCGAAAATGTTAATGGTTAAGTTAAGCTCCATAAATGCCCGGGCCCGCCGGGGGGGGGCCTTACGCCTTGACTCATAGCATGCCATATATTCCTACCATAGATAGTTAGTCGCTGAACAAGCATCGAATAGCATAAAGGAACCAAGAGAACAGATGGCACCGTACTTAGCCTCATAAGCGCTTTTCGGTTTCGAAGGGTCAGTTGGAGACGATCCACCGCCCCTCTCTGATTCTGACTGTTCAGCACCCGAATCTTCGCTTTCCTCCTGTAAGTTCTCACTTCTCGCGCCCGAACTAGACTCTTTGTGAAGTGGCTCGAACTTGATCTTGTTCTGACGGAGCAGCGCCTCATAACTCCGGAGCCGATCCAGCAGCTGACGCTCGGGAAATCGCCGTCTTCGCGGATGTGTCTGCGTAGATGGCACACATTGTGTTCCATGCTTCATACAATTAGCACAGGGGAATTTGCGGTCACACTTCACTTTGCGCTGCTGACAGAGGATGCAGGCGAGGACTCGTCGTGACTTGGCTGACGGCGGGCGATGCGGGGCCCGATAGGGGCCTGAATTGCTTGGACCTGGCATCGACATGGCTCTCGTGAGGCTTTCCAGTTTGGTCTATTCACATTTGATGGTTAATTCCCTCAGTCTCTGAACAACAGATCATTTATAGAAGAGTACTCGGGAATTTTTTCGAAAGTCACAGCGTTGAGAGATGATGTCGTCTCGGGCCTTCGTAATCCCCGAGCTGCGCCTGCCTCGGGTTTAAGTAAAGCCCGAACAGAGAAAACCTCTCGAATCGAACAGTGACAAAATCGCATTCAATGGTGGCTTGGGACATTAAGGTTATTTCAATGGCAAAAAGCCAACATCAGGCGCATTTGAAACCGTCGGTTTAGTCGAACGTAAATATTGAATTGGAAAGTGACATATCAAAGATCAAGAAAGGGCGGCGTGCGCATTGTAATGTTCATGTACATTGTGAGAAGTAGTTATAGGAGATTTGTTTATAAGTACAGTATACTACCAGTCAGTTTCACTCTCGCTAGCTGGATACGCCTTCTTCCTCAGTCTCCACAGGGACTTCTCGCGCCGCGCCACAGCCTCGCGATGGCGGCGGCTATTGTCCTCCACCACCGTCATCCACGGCACATTACTTGCACGACGGATTCGCTCGCGGAGTATAGCGAGTGTTTCGTTCTGTTTGTCCTGTCCGACTGCAGAATGACTACTCTTCTTTCCCCGGGCAATCGACTTCTGATAGCGCCTCTCGGCAGCTCGTGCTGAGTAATATTCCTCGCTAACAGCCCAGTTCGGGTTATCCAGCTGACCACGGACCAGGACAAGCTCATGACCTTGCTCAATAGCGTCATGCAGGCGTGATGAAGGAATAGGAGTGGAGAGCTCCAGCTTGCGCGACTTAACATCCACAGATCGGATCAAAGCCAAGCCAAGGCAGTTTGAGGCACTGGGGTTCAGAGGGACGGAGGTTCCTGCACCGACGCAAAGGTAGGGAAGGTCTTCCTCGGGGGTTCTTAAGATACCGTCGGCTATGGACCCAGAAGCAGCGCCATCGACTTGCTGTTCGCCCGAGCCCATCTCAACATCTTCATCTGCATCAATATCACCTTCGTTATCATCATCAACCGGTTCATCAGTTGAACCAGTAGCTGTGGCCATGATCGCATTTGGAGATTCAACTGCAACAACTCCGACAATGGCTCCCTCGAGGACCTCTCGAAGCATTGCAGGGCTGATGTGGGATCCCAAGACCATGATGCCTAGGATACCCTGCTTCTCACCCGCGTAATCCACAGTGATAGGCCTCGTGCGAGAGAGGGGTGCACCCGACCAAAGCGGATTTGTAAGCCCACTAGGGTGGGACAGGTGGAAGTAAGATTGAATTTGCATTGAGCGCAGTTGGGCGCTTGATCGGCTCACAAAGTCCGTAGGCTGGGATGGCAGAATAGTCATCGGGATCCGAGCCTCGTTGGCAGCCATGTTCAGAGGCTCCACAACTTCGACAGGACCCTTCTCACTCATGTACACAACATCGGATAGACCGAGAGACTTGATCAGCCATGTTGCCACTTCTAGTCCCTGGCCAAAAATCCAGCCGGGATAGTTGACAATCAACGGGCATTGAGGGTACCTCGTGAGCAAGGACCGATATTGCTCCATCAGGTCCATTGTAGCTAGAGCATAATGGTCCGGGTCTTCCTTAGGCGAGGTTGCCCCGATGTGATGAGCTCGCAAGATCTGGCCATCACGAGAGTCATCAAGGGAGGGGTGGGTGAAGGGAGGTCCAAAGAAAGGAGCCCGCAAATGTGCAAGGTAGACCTGCCCCATGGGTGCGAACTCGGGCTGACCAGGATCCAAGTCAAGGAACGCACAGCCGTCGGTATTAATGTATCCATTTTCAGTCTCAGGGGCCGGACTGAGGACGTGGTTCAGTAGGTAGCGACTGAAAGTTGATTTTCCTGAGGCCTTTGGACCACAAACCAGGACACGCAGTTGACCATGTCTTTGGGAGAGCGCTTTCATCGATGCACTCCACTTTTTGTCGAGATGAAGAGGTCGCAAATGTCTTTTCAGAGAATCGTCGGCAGAGGTATACAGCTATTAAAGAATTAGTCTCGCCATAGGCAAAGGCAAGATATTCGGGATGCACATACCACCGAGAAGGTTCTTCGTGAATTTTTGAGTGCGCTCTTCAAGGTGAGTTTATCTGCAGCGGTATTTCCCTCATTCCAAACCTTCTGATAGAGGGGCGAGATATCACGTAGGCGAATAAGGCCGCTTTTACATGACCTAATTTCAACCTCTGCCTCGCCATCTACCCCAGAAACACATTTGACCACGGGCAAGGAGTGAGTCGAAGGAGCATAGACCCTATATACTCGGGCAGAAGGGTGCAGCTTAGCACCCATGAGGCTCACAACTCCTCTTTTAACCCATAAGTCATACTGTCCCAACAAGGCCAAATTCTAACGTCGAGTAAGTGATATTGAAGCCACTGGCGGGGGGTGTTTGCCATACCGTCTTCTCTTTGATGCGAACACACATGGTATCGTCATCTGCGTAAATGATATTGCTCTTGTTGAGCCGTGCCTTGGACAATGGGAAATTTTGAAGCTCTGCGGGAGTGTCTGCAGGCGATTCATATCCATCAGCGTCTCCAATAACAGACGCAACCTCGTCTTCTGCCATTTCCTCGTCGTCTTCTCTTTGTTCTTGCTCGAGTTCTTCCTGGTCTGAATCTTCATTCTCTTCAACCACCCCGTTGGATGGTGATTCCAATTGGTCCGATTTCAGAGTCTTCTTTGGCCGTCCAGCCCTTGTCACTGGAGGCGACGATTCCTCTTGCTTGGTTGATGACCTCGTGCGGCGACCTTTAGATTCTTCGCAATTGTGGGTAATCTGTTGCCCTTCAAGAGACCGGCGGGGTCGTTTTGAAGGGGGCTCCGTGGTAATCTCGACAACGACATCGGGCTTCACGATGGTCGCAGCTTGCGCTTGTTGCTGCCGAGCTCTGCGCGCCGCGACAGCGCTCATGGCGCTGACTGGAGCTGGTGAAGACATTAACGAGGAACAAACGTTGTTTATGGCAATTCTTAGTGTTTACCGGCGGATTGTTGCTTCTCGGCCTTTCGCTTCATCGTTCTATGCCGTGGGATCAGTCCTAAGACCCGATTTTCACAGCGGAGGGTCGATAATGCGGCGATGAAGCCGATAAGCAAAAAAGTTGGCGGGTGGTCCGTGCTTCCGCGGAGCAGAAAAAAGATCGGACGCAATTTCCAACATTCCCTTCAACGTCGCAGGGATCCGACGGGTTGCATAGCTACAAGATCAGTTGGCTAGCAAGCTATTAATTGTTGCGCATTACACCTCCTATTTCACTCTCTCCCTAGCTTTCAACGCCACTCCGATCCCGTAACCAGCTCTCCCCACCCGAGCGCATCTCAGAGCCTCAATAGCCACGATGGCTGCTGCATCTTCTTCCTCGAGCGACAGCAGCTCAAGCAGATCGACCTCGCCCGAGCCCGCAAACACCCAGAAGCAGGCCGTCAAGGCGGTCACCAAAACCAAGGACGAGGCCGAGGATGAGTCGTCCGACTCCTCGGACTCTTCAGATTCATCCGACTCAGATTCAGGCTCTGATTCGGGTTCAGAGTCCGAAAGCGAGTCTGGAAGCTCCAGTGAAATGGACACAAGTGAGGATGCTACAGAGGAACAATCACCAGCCAAGAAGTGAGTATTTTGTTCTTCCTTGCTCCGATTGAATGTTGTCCTGAGGACATGTAAATTGACGATGTCCTAGGATTCACATTCCCGGTCCGAACCAGCCATACAAGCCACCATTCGGGTTCAAGTCTGCAACGAAGCAAACTGCCCCGTCTTCGAACACCTCCTCCATTCTTTCCAACCTGCGCGGCAAGCAAGTTTTTCACATCACCGCACCGTCATTCCTCCCGTTGTCTAAGGTCAAAGAGATCACTATGTCGAAGGTCTTGAAGGGTGAGCCGATCCTGTCACACGATGGTAAAAGCTACGGAATCCCGGCCGGATCTATCAACGACAATGATCCCGATGGTAAAACTTTGCTTGTGTATGACGAGAGTACTCAAAGGTATCGCAACACAGTCGACTCCATCCAAAGCTTCCATGTACAGGAGATGATTGGTCTGCCAGAGAAGGCTGCTCAATCAACTGCCACCATGATTGAGAAATTGCGGAGTACTGTGAAGCCGCCTCGCCCGCAACCAAAGGGCATGATGATGCGCTTCCGGCCCGTCGGCAGCCTCCCCAGCGAACCAGAGACTCTTGGGGCCAGCTCTGAATCCGAGTCCGAGGAGCCTCAAGTCAAGGCACCCGTTGGTGAGAAGGAGAAGGAGCGCAAGAGGAAGCATCACCACACCGAGGGGGATGCTTCTCAGGCTAGTGCTGAACCCCGAAAGAAGTCCAAGAAGCACACACAAGAGAACGGTGACGATGCGGAGCGGAGTCAGAAGAAGTCGAAGAAGTCTCACAAAGACCGAGAGGAGAAGAAGCGGAAAAGGTCCGAGAAGGCATAATTTGGCGTTATGGGTTTATTTAGCAAAAAGATATCTTCGTTATATGATCTGCGGGACAAATTCAATGTACAATTTTATCATTCTAAGAATCGTGTCCTCCGATGTTCGGATCTGACGCTCGTTTCGATCTGTCCAAAGGATCAAAGGAGCAAATTTGAGCAACGTATTAAGCGAACAGACAAGGTCTGTGTATTGTTCAATTAGCATTCACAGTCATGTTATTAGATTCTTTCTGTGATAAATCTCGTTGTGGTCCGCCTCAATTGCTCACAGCAAAGGCATATGTCAGTCGCCGTGAGTCACTCACCTCACGAAGACCGGTGCTTGATGTTAGCATGGAAATTCTCATGCACACTAATGAGCTGGACTCTCTTTCCATCCGCATTGAGCACTCCACCCTTCTCGCCATCATCAGAGGAGCTACGCTCAGCCGCCTCCCATTCCGTACCGGCAGCAACCTCGAGGTTCTTTCCACGAGTCTCCTTAACAAAGAACCAGCAGAAAACAGCAGCGACGGCGTCAAAGCCCATAAAAATGAGGAATGTGTTGGCACCGACGTTAGAAATCATGTAGGGACTCGCGAAGGAGAAGCAGAACGATGAAGCCCAGTGAGCTAACATACTGACTGCCAGACCAAGGGCACGAATGCGTGTGGGGAAGATCTCGGGAACGTAGGCCCACGGTAGAGGGCCCCATGAGCAGTTGTAGATCTGATATTTGCAAAGTTAGCAAAGGGCACTGTTTCAAATCGAGCGAAGAACGAACCATGATATCGAGGTAAATCATAGCTACTGTCGCCCTTCCAGCTGCCGTGACACTGGTTGCAGATTGTGTTGGGACGTAGTCGACGATCAAGGCAGTAATCAACATGCAAGCAGACATCAAAGCCGAGCCACTCACTAACGTCATGCGGCGACCGAGTCGTTCTGCTAGGAACACGATGAAGAAAGTGCATGAGATGACCTTGACGGCACCAAACAGACCGGTCAGCAGCATGTTGCGGTCTGTCCCGCTACCAGCGATCAACTTGAAGTACTGTGGCGCAAAGACTGCCAAAGCACTGCTACCAGTCGCATTCTGGAAGATGAACAGTAGAGGCCCAACAAGGCATCGCAGACGATTGGCTGGTTCAAGCAGCTCACGGAGAGAGAAGCCCTCGCGCTCAGCCCGCTCAGCTTGAAGACCCAACTGAGTCTCTGCGAATTCCTCACGGGTCTTCGGCGTATCACCACCTCGGATCCAAACGATAGACTTCCAGGCGTCATCTGTACGGTTTTGCGACAGGAGCCAGCGAATAGACTCTGGCAAGGTGAAAGTGCCAATGAAGAGAATACCTCCAGAGATCAGTTGAAGGCCCACAGGAATTTGCCATTCACGAGATGTGCCCGAAATCGATGTGCTTTTGGCAACGCCCTGCTTGAGCATTAGTCTATGTGATCTCAGTGAAGAAAGTTGTACTCAAAAGTCATGGATCTCACATAGTCAACCCAATATGCAGTGAAAACTCCCCATGTGTAGAGCCACTGATAGAATGAACCACAGCGACCGCGAATCTCCTTGGGTGTCATCTCTGCCGAGTACATTGGAATCACAACACTCTGCCCACCCATACCTAGACCGGCCACCACGCGGCCAATGTACCAAGCCGCCAGTGAGTGAGTGTTGATGACCTGGATAATCACACCGATGACGAAGAGGGCCGTCGAGCCAATAATGGTGATTTTGCGCCCATATCTGTTGGTTAATGGATACACGAAGAGCGCGGCGATGAACGATCCTAGTTGCTCCAAGCCCACTGTAAGCGACGAGACCTTGGACTGGTGCTTGGTGGTGTAGCCAAAGTCATTTTGAAAGGACTTGTAGCTTAGGATTCCACCTGCAACTCCCGAGTCATAAGCCGAGAGGAAAGATGATATGCTATGAGGAACACGTTAGGTTAATAAAATTCACTTGTAGATAGTATGAGCTGGGAGCTTTGTCGGAACATACAAGACGATCGCTGCCAAATGGTAGGCCCGCCAAGTGCCCAGCCGAGTGTTGAGTTCAGGAACACTGAAGAGCCCCATGGTGACTGGAGGAGAGGAAGAGAATACGAGAATACGATCTGTAGGAGCCAAGGCGAGGCCAAGACCTGGCATATAAAGCTTTTCTTTTGAGGCGCCATGGCATGGCAAACAATGGCATGGTGAGCAGATACATGGATGTTTTTGCGTGCTTTTACATCTGACACCAGCCAGGTTGACTTTGGTCTAGCCTAGCGTTAGCTAGATGTTAGTTTGAAGCGAATTGATAATGGTTAGTGGTCAGTTACTAGTGATCAGGAGTAGTTGATGCGGCCCATGTTCCTGCCTTGTTGGTGTAGGTGAGCACGCCTTCGCGTGGTGCGATGGTGTTATGGATCTCACATATGTACTTGAATTGAGATCCCGACAAAATTTCAAGTCAGTCGAAGGTTGAACACAATAAATTAAGAGGAGATATTGAAGCAATTAGGAAAGATGATACAAAATACATTCAAAAGACAGTTCGAAACATAGGAAGTTGAAGCCTGTCTAAATGGATCGTTTCGTCAGTCTCTACACGAACCAGGTACACCGACTCGTGGTCTGCGTAGTAATCCGACAGCCGTGATAATGTAGTTGTCCGGGTCCAGAACGCGCGTTCTTGGTTGAGCCTCGAAAGGAGACCCATTTACCTTGGAAGTAACGTAGTAGTGGTTACTGGATGGCTTGTTTTCTTTGTACTGTAGATCGATCGAAGGAAGGGGGCCAATGCACGGTCTATCTCCCCGCTCAGGCACATAGAAACGCCCATGTCCATATTCGGTGACCCGGAGAGAATACGACGGAGTACACTGCCGCCCATAGGGAACGAAGTCTTAGGTTTTAGCGAGATGGAGATGTATACATAGTTCTGCTCTCTGCTTTTACCTTTATATGTCTGCTGTAGTTGGTTAATCAACACCCTGCTGAGTCTATCCCGCTCAGTTGATCAGTTCCTCTTGACGGTCCACTCCACACCATAACTGGCTCTATATCCTATCCCTGCGAGGTAATGTTTATAAGAAACATCCTTGAGTTTGGCAAAGGAGTAGTCTCTCAAGATCCATAAAATCCCAAGGTTGAGCTGGGCTGTCCATCATCAATTATATAAGCACAGTCACCTGACAGCGAGTGATGCCGCCATCACATGGGACTGACCATCGCAACCAACCATCGCAAGTCATCGAAACCTTGCGAGGCTGCTGATGCGCCTCACTGGAAGACTCCTTCAACTTCCTACATCATTCCAAGCGACTGACTCACACACAGTACTTATTGTCACCGACCTGTCAGTCCCTGGTCTTTGAATGGTTCCTTGCGGGGCGTTTGATTTGCTTATCGATCCCGCAAAGCTTCCTTATCGCACCCTGTTGGAGCTGTCCAAGTTGCGTGACCCGCTCGTTGGATGATTCAGGTGCCAGCGCCTGACCGCATATGCTTCATCTGATATGACCTTGTCAGTTGCATCTCTGCTGGTTGGCTTGCCGTGATCGAAGTCCGCCTGACGCGGGCCCCGACGCCAATACCCATCCCTGATCGCCGCCCTATCGGCCCCGAGCTGTCACCCACGCCCCCCCGGCCTGCCTCCTCCGGTCGCTACTACACTTCTCCGACTCGGTCTTGGGCCTTGCTCGGCCTTGACCTTCAACTTTCACCGGGAATAACAAGCTGTGGTATTTTTAGGATGCGGCCTTTGTTAGACGATGCTAAACGGCAACCGGAACGGGCGGATCAGAGGTTGAGTGCAAGCATGAGACCTTATTCTGGCCAGCGTTTCCTTGCCGATCGATTGCCGGAGCGATTTAAAGATGGCGATGATGCCCAGGTCGATTATTCTGCTCCGCCGCAGAACATGCGTTCCAGAGATGGCCATATGCACTATATGCAACAGTCTCTATTCTCCGTTCTTGCTGCAGTTGGCTCCAGATCTGATTTCCGGGGTCGCTTCGATGACTCGAGCGATAGCGAGGAGAGACCGGAGAAACTCATACAAAGACCGGCCTGCAGTCGGGATCCAGCAGAGAAGGTTCATCGGACCGACGTCGCACCAGCAGGAATGCGGATATAACCCTACAAGACGAGGCAGAGGAGCGAGGACGCCGTCATCAAAGGACGAAATCAGAGAACAAACTATTGCGAAGGATACCTGGAGTAGGATCCCAGGACAAACCAGATGAGCCGCTAGCGGCCAGTGCAGCGACTCTCAAACTACCAGCGAGGCGAACCCGTAGTGCTACTCCCCGGGCAGCTCCCATCCTCACTCGCATGGTACAAGCTCAGAACCGATTTGACACCGCCGCGACGCCCGAAGATCCGCCGTCTAGGCCTGATTCTCCAGGTCATGATCGCCCAGAACCATCTTCTTCTGCCCTGTCCACGCGGCTGATGGAGATGTTTGGTTTCGAAAGGCCTGAAAAGGTCTTGGTAGAATATGCCTGCGCTCTGCTGCAGAGTATGCTCCTTCAGGGATACATGTATGTCACGGAAGGGCATATCTGCTTCTATGCCTACCTCCCGAAGAAGTCGACCGCAGCCATCAAGTCTGGATCCCTCTCGAAGCGTGGTCGGAAAAATCCCAAGTACAACCGCTACTGGTTTGTTTTGAAGGGCGACGTCTTGTCATACTACGCCGATCCTTCAAACCTTTACTTTCCAAGTGGCCATGTAGATCTGCGGTACGGGATCTCCGCGTCTCTCGCGGAGACTAAATCCCAAGACTCTGATGTGAAGGATTTTCAAGTCACAACCGATCAGCGAACTTATTATTTCAGGGCTGACAGCGCCACAAGCGCAAAGGAGTGGGTGAAATCTCTCCAGCAGGTCATATTCCGTTCCCACAATGAAGGAGACAGTGTCAAGATCGCATTCCCCATTGAGAGTGTGATTGATTTGGAGGAGAGTCCCATGGCCGAGTTTGCTGAAACGTTCAAAATTCGTGTCCTAGATAACAACGAGACCTATGCCATCGACGAGGTAATTCCTGGCCCTTCACATGTCTCCAACCTATTCTGACCGTGGTTTAGTATTTCTTCACGTTCTTCAATTCCGGACGAGATGCTTTTAACTATCTAAAGAGCATGGTCAATTCCTCCCCCGCGAAGAACTTATCGGATGAGTCCCCTCACAAGGGCGATGACAAAGCTCAACATGGAATCAGCACAAGAGATTCCACTATAATGGCTGCCGACAGCAGACGCCTGTCTGTTCAGACAGATGATCAGTCCCCACACGGTCGAAGCACAAGCATCGAGAATGATCCACAAGATTCCGCAGATTCGTTTGCTCCGTCAATAGACCGAGGGACGGAATCATCGCGTACCGTTCAGTCAATCACCGAGACCAATGAATCGGCGAGTCAAATACTCAACCGCAGTGACGTCTTCCAGTCACCCACCATGCGATCTCTCCCAAGGCGTTCATCTGATGTGGTTGATGCTGGTCGGCGACGATCGGATGATACTGCTCGATCCGCATCTGCGCGACTGGGCCATATGGTGCGACGAGATAGCTCGGGTCTATCCAGTCCCAACAGAAACGCAGAGGATCTCCGCATCGCCCGCGGATCCGCTGATCAAAGGATCCCACATGCTTCTCGGCATCCCCCTGGTATGCCCTTGAACGATCTCGTGAAAGCTGGAGCGTACCCTCTCCAGCGTGCTGCTGGATTTGCCGAGTACCTCAAAAGCAGATCCAAGCAGATGAGTAGCTTACTGGCAACGGAATCAATGGGCTATATTGAGAAGGTCTCTGGCATGTGGGCAGGAGGTCAAAAGCATTACGGCGAGACTGAAGAAGTGCTTCACGATGACCCAACAGTCGATCCGGAGGACAAGGAAGACGGGCTCAAACATGGAGACCGGTTCCGAGCGCATTTCGGTCTACCTCCCACGGAGCATCTCCAAGCAACATACTACGCATACCTGACTCGCGTTCTCCCTTTATACGGAAAAATATATCTCAGCGAGAGGAAGATTTGTTTTCGTAGTTTGCTTCCCGGCACTCGCACAAAGATGATTTTACCGCTCAAAGACGTCGAGAATGTGGAGAAGGAGAAAGGATTCCGGTTCGGCTACCAAGGACTTGTTGTCATAGTTCGCGGTCACGAGGAGCTTTTCTTCGAGTTCAATTCGGCCGATGCACGAGACGACTGTGCTGTCACATTGCATCAAAACTTGGAGTCCGTCAAGTACCTGGTGGAATCTGGCATGCTTGCAGAGGAAGAGCGAGACCGAGTTGAAGCTGCTAAAGCGGAGCATCGCATGCTTCAAGAGGCGAGACTTGACACTCCCGAAGAGCATGACACCCACCCAGCGCTCAATGAGAGCTCGTCGGAAATCTCTCCATTCTTTGACGATCCTCGCGCTTCGATCATCAATTTCAAGCCAACTGAGTCTCTGAAGATCACTTGTCTAACAATTGGCTCCCGGGGTGATGTGCAGCCCTACATTGCGCTGTGCAAGGGACTCCTCGCCGAAGGCCACAAGCCAAAGATCGCAACCCACGCTGAATTTGAGCCGTGGATTCGCAGTCATGGCATTGATTTCGCTCTCGTGGATGGAGATCCCGCCGAGTTGATGCGTATCTGTGTGGAGAATGGGATGTTCACATACTCTTTCCTCCGGGAAGCTACGTCAAAGTTTAGAGGGTGGATTGATGACCTGCTGTCCTCATCATGGGCCAGCTGTCAAGGAAGTGATGTTCTTATCGAGTCGCCAAGTGCAATGGCAGGCATTCATATTGCAGAGGCCCTTCGAATTCCCTATTTCCGCGGCTTCACCATGCCATGGTCAAGGACTCGGGCATACCCACATGCCTTTGCGGTGCCAGAAACGCGCATGGGAGGAGCTTACAACTACATCACGTACGTGATGTTTGACAATATCTTTTGAAAGCTATCGCTGGGCAGGTGAATCGCTGGCGTAATAACGAGTTGGGTCTCAAAGCCACTACTTTGGACAAGATGCAACAGAACAAAGTCCCATTTTTGTACAATTACTCGCCTTCTGTGGTGCCACCGCCTCTCGATTATCCAGATTGGATTCGCATCACAGGCTACTGGTTCTTGAATGAGGGTTCCAACTGGACTCCACCTGCTGAGCTTTCTGCTTTTATCGAACGAGCTCGTGCTGATGGCAAGAAGATCGTCTACATTGGCTTTGGGTCGATTGTTGTCTCAGACCCGGCTGCTTTAACACGGACGGTTATTGAGTCAGTCAAAAAGGCCGATGTTCGATGTATCCTTTCCAAAGGATGGTCGGATCGACTTGGTGATCCTTCTAGCCAGAAGATTGAAACTCCCCTTCCACCGGAAATCCACCAAATTCAATCGGCACCTCACGACTGGCTATTCTCACAGATTGATGCTGCTGCTCATCATGGAGGAGCAGGTACAACCGGAGCGAGTCTACGAGCTGGCGTTCCTACAATCATCAAACCCTTCTTTGGCGATCAATTTTTCTTCGGGTCACGCGTGGAGGATCTAGGTGTGGGGATCTGCATGAAGAAACTAAATGTCAGTGTCTTCTCTCGGGCGTTGTGGGAGGCTACGCATAGCGAGCGAATGATCGTGAAGGCTCGAAACTTGGGCCTACAAATTCGTAATGTGAGTACTTGTCCAATGGGATTGTCTGAAGGTAAAGAAACTAACTCGCGAAATGTAGGAGGACGGCGTCGCTACAGCGATCCAATCTCTTTATAGAGATATGGAGTACGCGAAGACACTCGCACGTCAGCGCTCCATTGCCTCGTCTACGCCCTTCTCACCTACCCCCTCCGCACAGGCCTCGCCAGATCACGACGACGACGATGTCGACGACATTGAAGAGTGGACGTTCGTCGGCGACGAGAATGAGATAGAGCTTACGAAGCGAATGCGTGATTTGTCTGCATCCGACCGCGAGAAAGTGGCTTCGTCTATGTTCCAATGATATTCCCCTAAGTTTCCATTTTGTTTTTCAATGCATTTTCTCTGCTTTGGTTTCAGTGACTTTTGATGTCTCATGATTGTCATGGACGCGAGTCTACATGATTTACGAATGCATGCGTCTCTAATTGTCTGGCGTTTGCGAGCTTGAGATCGCACAGATTTGTTTCTTTGCTTAGGGCTGTTTTTCGATTGAATACACCATGTTTCCTCTCTTACTTTTATAATATTCCATAATCAACTAGACTGTTTCAATTTCCGTGGATCTATTTAATAGGCAATGCATTGTGCCTTGATATCGAGAACTCTTTTCCTTCCTAGAACGTCAGGCTTACACATCAACTGATCCTCCACCTGCTCTCGAGGTTGACTGCGATCAAGCTCTCCAATGAGCGAAGATAAAGAATGACTGCTCCTTAGGCAATTCATGAATTGAGACCCAATTCAGACGCAAAGACGACCGAGATCACACATAATGCAAGGCAGTTTTCGAAACAGGTTTCCCAGCGAAAGGGTCGTCAGAGGAATCCTCGTTCCATTTATACTCCAGGGTCCACGCAACGAACCGAGCATGTTCCTGAGCCTTTTTCTTGTCAAATTTAGGCAAAACAACTTCATCCCCATTCTTACTCGGTAGTATGACCTCGTCAGAGCGATTTTCAGGAGCAAGATATGTCTTGGCGAGGAAAGCGAAGCCAGCATCAAGCCCAGCAGTAATGCCGGACGATGTCAAGAACTTGCCATCTTCCACCCACCGTCCTTGTCTTTTCCACTTGACGTCGGGATCTGGAATTTTCAGTATAATATCATGTTGCACTATTTGTGGAACGTACACTTTGGTGTCATTTCATCAAATACCCGCTTGTTGCAAGTTGCCTCGCGTCCATTCAATCGGCCCGTCGCAGCGAGAATCAACGACCCCGTACACACGGTGAAAACATTGCGGGCACGATCCACCAGCTGACCGATCTTTTTAAGCAGCATGGGATCATCTAGTAGGTGGATCATGCTCAGACCTCCAGGGATGAACAAGGTGTCGAAGGGTTCGGGATCTTTGAGGGCATCCGCGATCGATAGATTGGGAACCACTCTGACGCTGTTTTTGATAGAGCACTCAAGGCCCTGCGGAGCTTCTAGATTGTGCACATTGACTAGCTCCAAGGTATAGTAATCACTGCGGGAAACTATAGCCCCTAGTGGCCCGAATAGGTCCAAGGCTTCGAAGTCATGGTAGACCAGGGCGAGGATACGATGTTCCAATGGCATTGCTGGTATTGGACAAACAGAGAAATTGGGAATTTAGAGAGTTGAACGGATTGTTTGTGTCCAAGTTGTCTGAGTGGAATGGACATTGTTAGGAGTAGATCTGCGAAGTTTATAATGTATCTACTCCGCTCGGCAAAGTTGACATTGCGGAGTTATACGGAGTTTCGGGGTTTCACGCCGCCAACGTACACTGCGGGGTTCAATGATGGAAAATAAGTCCATGAAATAGTCAAAGCAATCCAAAATCATTCTCAGGGGGTAAAACAATCTACATAGGTTGCCTATGCAGATCGAAGCTATGGTCTTGCTATGTTATGAGTACCTAAGATTCGGGATATACACAAAGCCTTCTCAAAGAATAGCATTCTTGTACAGTGGCAGTTCTAAAGTCTGAATCTAGAGGTCTAGGAAAACCTCCAGCTAGATATTCTTCAACCTTCTTTTCATTAAAGACTTTCCAAATGTCTTTTTGGATCAGTTAGGCACAATTCCTCAACTTGTTGTTCAGATTATGACTAATGAGGTGGATGATTTCGGACATGTCCAAGAGATTTCAAACTTATCGAACCACACTGTAGCAACCTTGGAAGATTACGTCCATAGTGGCAGCCCTAATAGTTAATGCGATAGGAATCACTCAATGACGCCCTGCCAACCGGTACATAGTGACGGCAGTTATAGGCAAAAGCGAGCTGGCCGTGGCGTCCCATTCCGCAGCCATCTTCTCCGAGAGGCCGCCTGGTCGCTCTGGCTGAAGGTGAGTAACCTCCTTTTGGATAAACCCGTGACGCTCATAGAAAGGGACTGCCGGCGGAGCGGCTTCAATCCATACATCCAGGCCCTTTTCATCAGTTTTCTCCATTCCCCATTGCATAAGTAAATGCCCTATCCCCAGCTTGCGATACTCGGGCAGCGTGAAAAAGCTACCCAGTGTAGCATATGGGCCCCTTCCGCTTGTTGCGATCCGATTTCTTTCTTCACATTCACGGAGAATATGAAATGACTGGGCTGCGAAAAGTCTTGCGCCTCCTTCTGGATGACGCGTGGCTAGTGACTCGACGTCGGCTTCGAGAGAGCTCGAGTCTTCCGAGATGAAGATCCACTGGGCGCCGCCGACGAGCTTCTCGCTGGTCTCGGAGTCTTGTGAGCTAATGGCTTTGATCCATATGGTTTCCACATTGGGATCTGGGTTCTGTGTTCCTTCTTGCGCTTTGGCAGCGGTGTCAGCAATGGTTTTTTGGCGATCGTTGTCGAGGATTGGGCAGTATAAACGGAAGATAGGTTGAAGTGGAGTCTCGAATGCATATCGTTCCGCAGCGATCATATCAGGGAGCTCTTCGATGGTCACATTCTTCAATTTGAAAGCCATGCTTGTGGTATAATTGTCGATGGGGGATGAAAGAGCTACAACTACAACCACCCCCGCGCTCGGGGTTTATAGTTGACGAGGCCCTCGCTCTTGCACCAAAAGAGTTAGTCAATCAGCGCGGCTCTCGCGCGTGGACTACTTATTGGCAGATGATCAGATGCTTCTGGGTTACCTCCAAAGACAATTTGCTTATTCCATGGACCTTCCCTTGCGAAGGATGGCTGCTTTCCACCTATTAACTCGATGCAACGGCTTTGAATCCATGGAGCTAATTATATCTCACTAACAAGCCATCTTCTGACAAGTTTGTTGAATTCCACAGCTATCACTACATTAATTAGCAATTGAAAAATTGGTGATTTCATAGCGAGCACATGTTCGGGAGATTTGGATCCCTGTTTCGATACCATTCATGTTTGGGCCAAGTCCATACACCTTCGTCTTGCAGTACAGTACTTGCTTATCATGTCAAAAGTCGTTTCATTTTAGGTATCCAGTAAATCAACACTTTATCCCATCAACCAAGGCTATCTCTCTATTTGGTATCGTCCCCTTTTCCCTCAGCCTTCTCTTTCCGCCGTTGCACCACATCCCAGTTATACACGCGAGCCGTCGCAACCTCCAAAGTCTACCAAACAAAAATCAGCACAACGATCCCAACTTTGAGATCTAACTGTAAGTTCCAGTACATACCGTAATCTGCTCGCGCAAGAACTCCAGATCCTCCTCGCAGTGGGCAAGACTAGACTCCGCCGCCGTCAATTTCTCCGCCAGCATGTTCTCAGCCTCGTCCAGCGGGTATGCGAGCATGACGTTCGCGCCAAGCCAGAGGTACACTTCTTCCATGTCGGTGGGGAAACTGAAGCACGGGCGTAGAGGGTATCATTGAGTTCGAAGTTGGTTTCGAGGTCGGTATCTGGGTTGGCCTGTAACAAGAAATAAAGAGAGCAAGATTAGTCCATGGTATTGCAACCCCATACATGCAGCTCCATCTCAGCACCGAGTATATCGCAACGTACCTCCTTGCGCAACTTCAAAAACCGCACCATCTCCAACGTCTTCTTGATATCGGGGATCTTCTCACGCAGTCCCTGCCCGCGACGCTGGGTGTTGACCTCCATGAACTGGTACTTGGAGATCATCTCCTGGAAGGAGCGCAGGGTGGATTCGACCTCGTCGCGTGAGGAAACATAGTCGCTCACATTGTCGATGAAGGGCGCCACGGGGATTCCGCGTGGGTTGGTTTGTGTTGTTACCGCGCTGGAATGATGGAGGGGTTATTAGTTAATTTGGACGGACGAGGGAGGGGAGCGCGCTATATCGCGGTGAATTGTAGCCGGGATAATAGGGGAATTTGGGGGAGATGCAGAATTATGATGGGTATATGGGTTGAATCAGGTTGCATTGAGCACTCACGCTTTGGATTTGGAGTCCGCCATGGCTGGGCGCTGTTGTGAATGAAGCAAAAGTGGGGAGAGGAGCTTGCCCGAACGGAGTTTCTGGGCGGCCGCTTGTTCTCTCCGCCGGAGCTTGGAAGCTGTCCTCGACAAGTCTCCTCCGCTACACCCAACCCAACTCTCAACTCCATCGAGGATGGTTCTCCTCGTTGCGACGGATCGCATAATAGCAGCCCTTGGGGCTGTACCTATCTCACAGCGATCGGAGCTCGATCTCCCCTCCGCGCTACAATCCCATGACCCGATTACACACGAGCAGCTGCTCCGTCTTGCGAAGCACCTCCAAAATAACATCCAATATCAAGCCACCACCACCGACGAACACAATCACTCTACAATACTAAACACTCTCCTCCACGGAACAAAAGTCTACATCCCCCCGCCCCCAAAGAAACCAGAACCCGTACGTCCCAGTACAAGGACCCATCTATGTACCCATCCTTACGAGCACAGTCTAACAAATCCACCGCAGAGCCCGGAATACCTCGCCTCAAAAGCCCGCCTCCTCGCCGAAGCCGAACGAGCAGCCTACCAGCGCCTCCTAAATCCAACCTACCCCCCCCCCCGACCACGCCGATCCCCACGCCCCCTCCCCCGACGCAACAGAAGACACCCTCACCCCCAGCTTAGTCTTCAACATCTTCCTCTCCGTTGTGATAACAGGGTTCAGTGTGTACTGGGCGCTGACAAAGTTCACTATGCCTACGATTCTGGCCAGAACGTTTACCTCGTGGACGGGGCCGGGCGGGCAAGATGGCGATACGGGGGAGGTTACGGGCGGTGCATCGGATGCGGTGCGCGTGCTTGTTTCTTTTTTTGCCGCGTTGGCGGTGGCGGTTGCGGAGGCTTTCTTGTATGGGGCGTATCTGGAGAAGGTGTCGAGGGCGCGGGCGAAGGAGAAGAGGGTTAAGGAGCGGAAGGTGTTTGTTGGGAGGGTTGGGGGGAGGGGGAGAAGGTAGCGGGAGATGAGAGTGTGGTGGATGTTGATGTGGATTTGAGCCGGAAGGAGGAGATTTGGGGGAAGGGAGTTAACGGGGGAGTAAGGAGGAGAGTACGAGAGAAGTGGGAGAAGGAGAATGGACAGGAGAAGGATAAAGAGGGATAATATATACTACCATGAACTTGTGTACACTAGATGATATACCCATAGCGATTGCGTTAAAACATGATACTGTTGTATTCTATACCTAAAGCTACAAACGCGCTGTCATTACTCTAACGGGTATGAATGCTGTTCAGTCATTAGTGCTCGTCGAGAAACGAGATGCAGGAGATATGGCGCGCTGCCAGAAAGGTCAACTTGTCCCGCACATTGGTGACAAAGGAGATGCGAAGAGAAGAAAAAGAGGACGGAGGATGGAGAGAATGAGAGAGGGGGGCTCAAACCCGCTTCTCAAGGAGCAGCTTGCCGGAGGGTTCCTTGTTGTCAAAGCCCGCCTCGCGGCTGAAGACACGCTCACCACGCAGCCACGTCTCGCGGACCATGCCGCGCAGGGTGCGGCCCTGGTAGGGAGAGCACTTGTTGCGGAAGAGCATGGTGCTAGGCTCGACTACCCACTCGGCAGAGTCGTCGAAGACGCAAATGTCGGCGTCGAAGCCCACGCGCAAATCACCCTTGCGGGTCTGCAGGCCGACCTGGGCAGCGGTGTTGGCGCAGCAGAGGCGGACCACGTCTTGCAACGCGTTCTTGGTGTTCTCGTCGCCGGGGGATGGGGTCAGGCCCTTGCGACGGCTGAGCTCAGTCCAGAGGATGGGTAGACCCATGCCAACGGAGGAGATACCGCCCCACGCGGAGAAGAAGTTGCCGGTGTCTTCGACGGTTTCGCCGTTGGTAGAGCAGTGTCCGGGCACATGCGTGGGAAGCAGCTTCAAGTTGGGCGTGCAGGGAGAGTGATCCGAGACGACGGTCTGAATGACCCCGTCGTTGTTGTGCTTCGCCAGCTCCTCCCAGAGACCGTCCTGGTTCAGCTTGGAACGGATAGGTGGGCAGCACTTGTGGCGGGTGTCGCCATCACGGATCTCCTCGGCAGCCAGGGACAGGTAGTGGAAGCAAGTCTCGGCGGTGATCTTGATACCCTTGGCGCGGGCTTCCCGCAAGAGCGGGATGCCTTCCATGGCAGACAAGTGGACGATGTGCAATTGGAGGTTAGGAGCGAGATGGGCCATTGAGAGAATCCGCTCAATGGCACAGGTCTCAAAGGCCGAGGGACGAGAAGCCAGGAAGGTCGAGTAGGCCTCAAGAGGGCCTGCCGGAGCCGCTGGGGGCTCGGAAGCCTGAACCTCGTCACCCACCGAGGCAGTAATGGGGGGAACCATCTCAGCGTGGAACATGAGGGTGGTAGGCTCATCTGCCAGTTCACCCATAGCCTTTTGGATATCCTCCTGGCTCACAGCAGGGAACTCATCAACCTATTAAGGGATTATTAGTATATGGATCAGTCTGAACAATAAATGATCTCATCACTTACACCGCTGTCAATCAGGAAACCCTTGAATCCGCGAACACCCTCCTGAACCAGACCCTTGAGATCGCCCGCATTACCGGGGATGATGCCACCATAGAAGCCAACATCAACCCAGCACTTGCCTTGGGCAGCGGCGAGCTTCTCCTTAAAGTTGGCCACAGTAGTAGTCGGGGGAATAGCGTTCAGAGGCATATCAATGACGGTGGTGACACCGCCAAAGGCCGCGGCCTGGGTGCCCGTGTAGAAACCCTCCCATTCGGTACGGCCAGGCTCGTTCAGGTGAACGTGCGCATCGACCAGTCCGGGCAGCAGCACATGGGGCGAGTAGTCGGTGTAGGGCGTACCGTCGGGGAATTCCGAAGCTGGGATAATCGAGTCAAAGACGGCGGTAATCCTGCCCGTCGTACGAGAGATGACCACTGTCGCAGAGGTCAAACGGCCGGAGATAACGGCGCGGGAGGAAGCCACCACGGCAATGGAGGGGATGTTAGCGGTGGCCATGTTCGCTAGTGTTGGCGGGGGCTTGCTCTTTCTTGCACGCCTTTTGGTCACAATATCCCGGAGAGGCTCGACGAGTGGTCGGTAGTGGCGACAAGGGAGGATACGATGGATAAGATTAGAGTCGAGGGTAGCGGGTCCGATGCAGGATTAGGGTTATATAGAAAGAAGCAAAAGTCGGGTGGCGGCGAGTGAGAAGCGTGTATAAAAAGAAAGAAAGTCGAGACGGGATTGGGGGAAGATAAGACGAGGGGTTAATCCCAGGGGATAGAATATTATATATAGCAAAAGAACCAGGCTTATCTGCAGAGAGAAAAATGTGGAAGAGGACGGGCGATAAGGAAGTCCGGGGGAGGGGATATAAATAACAAAGCACAGCCCTGAAGGGGAAAAGAAATTTTTTTTTTCGACTTGCAGTGGCAGGATGTACTGGACAGTACCCACGTACAATATGGGACCGGGGAATTGCGGCCCACGGGCAGAGAGTCAACGGAGAGAAGCATCAAAGTGTATACCCACTGAAGGAAATCCCACCCGGTCGAGGGGCTGAGGAGAGGCATTCCATTGCCAACGCGCCCCCCGATGTCGTCGCAATTACTCGATGATTGGCAAAACGAGTGGCTAAACTGGACTCCCACGAGAGCCAGTCAAGTCAGCACAGACCGGGGCCTGGGGCAGACCTCATGATCACCGAATACCCTCACCTTTGCCGGATCGGGAGGAGATGCCTGAGCGCGGGCTCCCGACCATTTGCGGTCTGCGGCGGGCGGCTCCTACAGGCGTTGGATCTGCCAGTACTGCGATGGTGTCCTTACTGACCACTGGCCATCGAACTTGAGGTCTCCGTACAGGAGTCCTCCGTACAAAGCACGGCATGGATCCATGGTTCAGATGGCCATGAATGATCAGCATGGGAGGCGAAAAGAGCACGGCCGATGGTTGGCCGACGGGGATGACCCTTTCGAAGATTTAAAGATCCAACGAGATTCCAGGCCCAACACGAGGGGAGGACCATCGGGCACCTCCGATGGATCCTAACGAGACAAAAAGCCCACGGCTTATCACTGGGCCGTCTGATCCGAAATTCCTTCCTTTTATCAGCAGCCTGTTACTCGATCAAAACTGCCCGTGGCCGTTTTCCCTTACTCGATGAAAACCTCTGGCGAATCGCAGCAGACCGGCTGGTCTCCGACTGCGCTGGCTCACAACCCGATTCAACGGTGGGTTCGGGTGGTCTTTGGGTGGGAGATAATTGGCATGTGGACGCTCTTCTGCCCCCCTCTCTCTCTTGCGGTCGCGTTCACGGCTGTCGCTGCGGTCGGCGGCCTCCGACAGATGAGGGGGAGTTGGAGGGCTTCCATCGAGTAACCATCGAGTAAAACATGCCGCCACTAAGTGGGTGATCTCCTCGGTTCGTACATGGTTTGCACGATGATGATGATGATGATGATGATGGAAAGTCGAAGTTGAATAATGGGAAGTTGTCGGTGGTGGATGTTCGGGGTTGGAAGAAAACCACCTGCTCTCATCTCATCCCTTGTTGACTTGGATGACTGTTGGACAACAGGACAAAAAAACAAGGCATGACCTGATTGCGCCATCTGCTGCCCGTACGGAGTACTCACTCCTGGACTGGACGCTTGGGACCAGCCGATCAGCAACCCAGCATTATTGGCAGGATACTTATGGAGAGGGTCGTCTACTTGGACCACGGACTACTGACTCTACAGAGCATACTGCGGCATAACGTCGTACTATCAAACCCTAGCATTCTCGGTCAAGGCTTGAATACTGCTAATTCTTAGGACCCGTGAAACAGAGAAGAACTCATGCCACATTTTGCAATTGTTATCGCGGCAAACTCAATTCATCTGCGTTTCAATTCCATCCGTCTATACCTTCCTGTCACCACCTGTCAGACGTCTCTTGATCCACAATCGGATGGCAAAACTACTTAAGAGAGCAGCACTTACAATAATACATCCTTCAAAAATAAACCTGAAACCCTCAGATATCCCCATCGCTTCCTTACCATTTACATTAAACCCGTGGGAAAGCAGACCCTGCATACACAACGCTATGGATATAATTTACAGAATCACGCATGCCTTTCGCTTCCGGTTTTCATCCTTATACAAGCCCAGATATGCTTCATTCACCCATACCCCAGTAAGAAAATGACGACGGATTGCAGTCGCGCCCGTACTTTCAAAAAAGACCCGAAGATCCTCTTCCCACGTCAGATCCTCCTGTGCCTTTCCTATTTCTTGAATGACAGCCGCTCGGTGCTCTGCATTGGCAGTCTTCATCTGCTTTCTCAAGTTCGGATCCGCATACAGAGTTGCACGATCCTGAAGGCTCTTCCACTCGATGCAACAAAATAGAATTTCTTCTCCCTTGGATGAACGGACGGTTTGTGTAGAGAACGATCTCACTAGGACGTGTGCCAGCCCCGCACACGATCCCCCAGGCCAATAAGGCTCGAGGAACGGATACAGCATCATAGGACGCTTGGGGTTGTAAAAGGTGATGAATTCCAGGCACTTAGGGCCAGAGTCTGCACCCGGGTAAACAAGCTTGATGCCTTCATCAAGTCTAAAAATAGACTCTATCGAGATGGGGGATTCCAGCAGTGGCGAGAGTAGTCGGCTCAGCGTCGAGGTTTCAGACGTACACTCGGTCTGGATACGCTGGAACTTCACATCCGGACACTGTGCTGGGAAAGTCAGAATCTTGAAGATTGACAGAAGACATTCAGACTTACGGTATAGATAAATGACCTTCCGCGGGCTCTCCTGGTCCACACAGCAGAAGCTGTACTCTGCGATCTTCTGATTGTGATCATGAGACGGAGTATCTGGTATGTCCAGACCCAAGTCCCGCAATCGCGCCAGGCTGTTGTACCAGTGACCCTGGGAGGGATGCGATGCTTTCTTCAAATCCGTTGCGAAATCCCGCAAATGCAGCTCAATCATACAGGCCATGGTCGTTGACATGGGGTTGTGAGTTGCTCAAGCTCAGGATGCGAACTTGAAGTTACTCGTTTCAACTTCAATGACGTTACGACGTCAACAGAAATTGGCCCCAACAGAGATCAACAGTCAGCATTTAGCCTTGCCACAGGGCCAAAATACAAGCCGAGTTGAACTAGTGGCATGGATACGCGTTACCATGATCCAGGGTGATTGAAATACAAAGGGGTGATGGGAGCCATATCAGAATCAGAGTGCTGTTTGAGGTTGGCGATCGGGCCGCTACGACAGATGAGAGCAGATACCAAGAAATCGGCCTCACGCTGTCGTGCAAATCACGGGAACTAACAAAGGATTATCCCAATAGCATATGATACGGATATAATGGCGTCGACTAGAATTGTCCGACATAGCAGAGTATCAGAAACTCGTTACACTGCTTGAAATCTGAGTGCTCTTAATGACTACATCAGATATCTCTACAACCTACAAGAGGATTCAAAGAGGCATCTGGAATTCGTTCTAGTTCATCTGGCAATATGCCGACAAGTTCCATTCTCATCCTCAGAACAAGAAGCTAGGAACTCATCGGGCTCAAAACCAAAGCAAACTGCGGCCGCACAATTCTGAGCACCCTCGATTTCACTTATTTGTTCCCCTCAGCCTCAGGCATAGTACTTCCGTCCTCGTCCTGCTAAAACTCTGCGGGCTTGACCTCAGCCGGAACAGATTCATCAGCCTCCACGTCATCCTCAGCTTTCACATCGTCCTCATCCGGGACCGTCATATTCTCAAGGGCCTCACGGGTCTCCTCGTCCATATCCTCAGCCCTGATCATAACCTGCTCGGCGTAATCGGGGTTCTGGTAAAGCATGTCAAGCCAGGCCAGCATATCCCGCCAGGCATGCGGCATGATGCATTCGACGTTGAGCTCCTCCCCAGAGGCGTAGCAGTTACAACCGTGATCACGGTAGCCAGATTGGAACTTGCCAGTCTTGTCGGAAGAAAGGACGTATGCGCGGCCACGAGAGGCGAGGAATGCAGTGAAGGACTCGGGGTCGGTCAGAGTGCTCATATCGAGATCTACTGCGGTAGACTGGAGCGGGTTGCCGAGACAGATGCCCGAGATATATGGTTTCCACACAGCCCCTCAAGCCGATGTTAGAGCGGCGGTCTTCCCTTGAATGCCCTTTCCAGTTGATGAACACTTACAACGCTTTTGTAGGTACTCGAGAGCACCCTGTCCACCCTCAGACACGCCAATCACATCAACACGGCACTTCTTGTCCAGCCATGGCCACAGGACATGGTCAAAGACGTACTGAATATGCTCCCGCCAGTCTTTGTTCCCGGGAATCACGTTGCGCCAGGAGCGAGTAGCTTGGCCCCATGGTCCAGCAGGTCGATCCGCTGCCTCCCAGGTTCGCTGCGTGACAGCACGAGAGGAGGCACAGTGCCAGAGTAACTGACCAGTATTGGCAATCACAAGAGCCGTGCCCGATTTGTCGTTATGCTCACTAAGAATACCCTTAGTGAAGTCGACAGCCGAGCCAAAGTTGATTCCGTCGTCTCCAATACAGCGATAGGCCCAGATACCCAGGTCCTGGACAGGTTCGCCGAAGACCACGATGATACGGGCCGCCTTAAACAGGTTCTTAGAAACCAGAATCGGCACATGCGGTTCGTCGGTAGGTGCCTTGGACTCTTGAGGGCCGTTGCCAAAGGGAACTCGCCAAATCTCGAGGCCAGCTTCCTGGATACGGTTCAAGACGATTTTACGGATGCATTCTGAGATTTGAGGATAACCAGTCAGCCTTAAATCAAACAAACGCTCTAATTTTCAAGTACCATCCATGGCTTCGCGGTTTTTGACATTGTAGCGATCATTCCTGTTGATTTTGTACTTGAATTCGGTCTGCAGGTCGGTGCTACTGCGGATCTTGTCGTCTTCTGTGAGAGTATACCTGCCTCAGGTGAGTCGCATGTCAAGAAAGGCTAGAAAAGTGGTCCAGAAATACTTACCCTAATTTCTCGAGGTCGGCAGGGAAGTGAGGGTCAGGGGGGAGATCGCTGTTGCGATAGACATACATCTTGCTGTGTGTCCTGAAGTGGCACTGAGTTATGATTGAAAAGTGAATCTTGCGGCTGTGAGAAAAAGAGAGTGGAGGGGATTTGAGGCAAGAGGGAAAGCGAGAAGAAGAAAGGAATAGAGTAGGTTCAAATCAATAGCTGTGGTAACCCCCGTAAAAGACTCAGCTTAATCAGGTATTTTCCAGCTGCGCTGCTTTTAGACAGCCGCCTATAATATCATCCGAACATCCAGTGCTTCCGAGGGCATAAATTTGAGTTGGAGATGTTGGATGAAGAAACAAGAAAATCCGTTCGTGGTATTTGTATACTGTACACGCTTCACAAAGAAGCAAAGAGAACGCCATGGTGCAAACCTCGTCAATCCATCCCTCCTATATCAATCCACAGATCCAATACAATACATCATCGTCTACCAGCTTGCCTTCTTGACACCTGGGAGCTCACCAGCAAGAGCCTGCATACGGAATTGGAACTAGAAGGAGGAAGTAGCACGTCAGCAACTGGTGTTATAACGGAGTCCACCCTCACTCCCCCATGGCATTCACTCACTCGGTTGAGTCGGAAATTCCGGAACACACTGCGGGCAGTGCCCGAAGCCACGCAGCGGTTCTTGATCTGTGTTGGGCGGGTGTAGCAGTGCATCTGTGACAGCTGGAGCTGGGCCTGGGCGCGGGTACGCTGAGGAAGGCTGGTGTTGCGAATGATATAGCGGAGCGCTTGGCTGTTCATAAATAAGAGTCAGAACTCAATTCAACTGGAAATCCGAGACCAGCCATTCCAGGACGGCAATCTCGGTCCCAATGCTGGCGTGGGTAGGGCGTACCGTTCAGGCTCCATCTGCGCAAAGGCATTGCGCTTGTTGTGATCCCGGATCAGACGGGTGTTGACGAACCCAGAGAGGTCGAGCCTCTTGGGGTGAAACATTGACGCCACTTTTGACATGTTGACGGGCTCTCGAGGGAAAGATGGGGTGTGTTCGGGGACGTAATGGAGATTCGTGATGGCACGGCGGAGTTGGCGAAAGTTGAAAAGATGCGGAACCCAATTGGGTTTAGCGCATATCCGTCAAGATTTGGCCGCCAATGAATCCATCATCTACAAGGTCTATCAGAACCTCAACAATACGATCAATTTACCCGTCTACAGACATTTAGAAGAATTCTCATATCGGGTAGAGAAATTGACTTGCGAGTCGAGAAAAAACAGTCACCAAAAGTCACCGAGAGACCTTCTATCATGACCGGGCAACATTACCAGACTACGGCACTCACCCAAGTACTGCACTGCTTCGTAACAACTTCCGTACAGGACTTCTAGCAAAGAATCGCTTTGTAGCACGCGAGGAGAACGGGCTAAAGCAGCAAGAGGATGAGAGGACCCGTGGGTCGAGATTCAGTAGTGGTACAGCTTGTAAATTGATCCAAGTCACCCTATAAGGTATCTTCTATATGCTTGGACAGAGGGCAAACTGCCCGCGAACGTTAAACACACAGTTCACGAATCAAAGCCGAGGATCGAGTCCTTTTCCGTTCATATCCTCGTCGCAACGGCTCGATCCGCTTCCGCCTCGTGCCACCGAAAGTCGCACGCACCTCAACAGTCCATCATGGTCGGTCAAATTTAGTGAGAGTTGCCGGCCTTAGCGTTGGGGTTGCGGGGGTCGTTCTTGAACTCGGCGGCTATAGCATCGATTGTCAGTCGATGTCATTCAGGGAATAAGGGAGGGCGGTCGGGCGATATCGGAGTACGGTATTGGACTCGAGTGCTCGCAAATATTGCCAGCGCCGGACGAGTCTGAATTCGCAAATTTCATTGAGGGTACTCACTGTTGGACAGAGCGTTCTGCAGAGAGTTGACACCGTAGAGGACAATGGCACCTGTAGGGAAGACTGGTTAGAGCGCGAGTTTCCGAGCCGGGCGTTTCAATCGAGGAACGAGATTCAAAGTCGACATTCAATTCGGATCGACATCATCTGGGCAAAGGGAAAGGTCGAATATGCATACCGGCAGCGAAGAAGGGGGTCATGGGGCCAGCTGTTGGTCCAATGCGTCAGTCAATCGAATCCAAGCGTAGCGCCTCGCGGGCGATGGGGGGACATTTTGCGATCCGAGAATAACATACCCAGGAGGCCGGGGAACTTCTTTCCGAGGAGAGACATGGTAATGGAGTATTGCGAATGCGAGGTAGATTCGGTGTTCGCGGGGGAGTCGTTGATGTAGGAGGAAGAGGAGAAGTGAGATTTGGAGTTTGCCCGGTCCGAGACGCTATACCGCTTTGGGAAGCGCGGTTGGCCGCTTTAGCCCGACGGTTCCGATGGTGCAAAGTAAACAATCATCAACACTCTCCACGGTCGCGTCGTCGCTACGATACAATTTACACCAACAAGACACTATGACCTCCTCCTTGGCCTCATCAGTAACCTCGCTGCAGTCTTCTCTACAGCTTCTCGACAACTCCATCAGTACCCTGGACTCGGGCGTCAACGATTTCCCCCGCCTTTGCAAAGTCCTCCAAACAACGCGAGTACGTCACATGGAATTTACGATACCACTTTCAATGTGCAACTCTAATCTATGATCTATACAGCATTTTGAACTTCTCCCCGAGCCAACTCTTCGCGAAGCCCAACAATCTCTCCTCGATGAAATCACACCCAGCATTACACACCTCCTCTCCCTTTCATCCAACCACGTGGAAAGACTCGCGCGCCGTGAACAGAGCCTAAAAGCAAAGTGTGATCTCCAAGAAGGTCGACTCTCATCCAAATCAGAGAGCAGGTCCTCGGCAGCTCGCGCTCAAGGCCAGAGCAACGCCGTGCTGCGGGGTAGACTGGCCGGTTCGAATGGCGCTTCGTCTGGCAGCGCCGCCGCAAAGGCACTCGAGTTACGGCGCCTGGTGCAGAAGAAGGAGCGTCTCAAGTATGCTGTGGACCGTTTGGAGCTGCAGAGCACCCAGCGGGAGCGTCAATTGAGGAAAAGCATGGCTGCACAGTGAGCGAGTACGCATGGAAGGCTTATTTGAATTGCCTCACCTTCTTCGGGCTCGAGTAGCCCTGTCAAGCCAGAATGCTCCACAAGTTCTCCACCTGTTTGACGGGAAACAGGCTCTCCGAGTCCTCTTGTCGCCAGGCGATATCAATCGTTGCTTCAGCTACTGAGCACGGAGGAGCGGCCACTATCCCATACATCAGCCTCCCCCAATGACGATTGTAACGTCCGTTGAAGCCGTGATGTGGTATTCGAAACCTCGCTCTGGAGCCGCTCGCTCGATTGATTTTCCTGCAATTACTGAATCCAGCACGAGCAAACTTGGGGCCATTGCAGGATTCTCGAGATATGAGAAGGGCTTCAGTGCGATAGCTGGCACAACAGTGCGATAGCTGGCACAACTGTGCGGATATATGGGTTCATTGGTGGCTAGCCGTTGCCTCCCAGTGATATTGTGGGAGTTCATATAGGTCCAGGGCAGGACCACATAGTTTTTGATGAAACATAGATACCCAACGATATTCTACGACTGATGAAACAAATATCAGAGTGAAGAACATATTTTACATTTGTAGCCTGGTGTGAAGATGGTATCCTAGAATACAAAAACCTCTGACCCACTAGAAGCCTTCAAGAAATGCGCCTGCCATGGGTAAAAGTACAGGTCCAAAAAGCCCAATTATATACGCCGCCTTGCAATATGCTTAGACTCATCGTCTTTGATGCATCCAGTCTACAGAGCATCGTCTGCTGCATCTCGTCTCTTCACGGCCTGTCGAAGCTTCTTCTTATCCGCATGCTTCTTCCAACTCGGGATATTCTGTCCCTTCTTGCGAGCTGGTGTCCGAGGGAGACCTGAACGATCATGTCCCTCGTCAGCGATCTCATCGGCAGCATCGTCCTCCTCGGGATCGAGTTCGTCGAAATCACCCTCTTCATCCGCTTCACGCGATTCGGCCTTGGCAGCCGCTCGTCGAGCAAGGCGTTCTTTCTTGCCTTCGCCGTGCTTATCACCTAGATTAAGCTTGCGAGGAATTCGGGTCTTGGCACCCAAAGCCCACAGATCGCCCCAGTTGGACTTTCGTGCATCACGATAGGCCTGACGGCTAAAGGAACGCGGGACGGTCCAGCGCTCGATCTTGCCAGCCGGGGTGCAGAGGTCGAAAATGACGTGCCCGCGGCGCTTGAGGGGCGGGTAGACGGCACGAGGGAGGGAGAGTGGATCGGGGACTGAGCTGTCAGACTCGTCGAGATGCTCAAAGCCTTCGAAGGCAGCATCTGTTGCTTCAGGGCCCTGGACGATACCCCGTTCTTGACGAATGTCCATGCCCCGCTGCACGGCGAGGTAGCTGAACTTGACATCTTCATGGTTGCGGTCCTTGGCACCCATGATCCGCTGCAAGAAGGCAGGGCGAATGTACCGCTGCTCAAAATGACAGTAGTCCCTGCGACCCTTGGTCGGGCCCGCTGGGTTGTGCATCGGGCAAGTTGAGTGGTTTGTGCAGGGAGCGATGATCATACCGGGTTCCTTGGGGATCTTTGTGGATTCATCAAAAGAGTCAAAGGTATTGTCATACTCCGTTGAGCCTGGGCTTGCGATATGGCGCTTGAGAAGCATTTCACGGGCGCCAGCAATCGCTTCGAAACCCTTTTGACGGCCCTTTTCGAGAAGGATGAGAACACCACCGTTAGGGTTTAGGAGCGCCCAGAGATTCTGGACATGCTCCTTTCGCTGATATTCCTCGTCGAATCCAAGAAGAGTGTGAGGTGCGATGATAATATCGTACTGCTTACGCTTCTGGACGGCACGAGTGTCATCTAGCGTTGGCTTCTCACGCACATGAATGTAGTCAGGTAACCGGGGAAGGAAGGTGGTGTTGTCAAGAATTGCACTTGCGCGCAGTCGCAGCGTGTTGGAACCTGTCAGGACTGTCGAGCGTCCATAAGGAATAGGAGCTCCCTCTGGATGGTCTGGGACCATGAGTTCATATTCAGCACGGACAACATCTCTCCAGGCCAATATGCCAGCACCGCCTCCACTTGCATCGAGAACATTAGGGCCGCCCTCTTGAGAGATGAGCTGACGAATCCAATCGGTTCCCATGCGTTTCCGAACCTCGACCAGAACGCTCAGCGTTGAGGCATAGATTCCTGGGTAAAGAGCCGCAATGTAGGCATTGGCTTCCATCTCAGCCATATGGTGCTGCGAGGCATGGAGAGGGATTGGCAGCTGCGGCAGCTGCGCGCGTGGAGGCGGTGTCGTTGTAGAATGAGGCAATCCTGGCCCTCCAAACAACCGGCGAGCAGTATCAGAGATATGTTTGTTGGAGAAATCCGATAGTATGACAGAGATGGGCCCCGTGACAGTATTCTTCGGCAGATGAATAGTACTGGGGTCGGTCGCGAATTTGCCTTGCCGGGTCAGAGGATGAGCCCGGGGCGCAGAATCCGGGACGGCTTCATTCTCAAATTGCTCCAGCATGATCTCACCACCCAGCTGCTCGGCCACCTCGCGTGTGCGTCTCATCGCGATTGTCTCAACCTCCTCAGCGCCTGCTTCCATATCGTAGACAACTGCGATGTCGTCTTCGGCCTCCGCGGTCTGCTCGTACTCGATTTCTTCCCATTGGCCCTGTTTATCCTCGCGGAACAAGCGATCGCGTTCCTTCTCGTCTTCCTCCGCGGCAGCTTCTTCGACGATTTCTTGGATGATCGGCTCTCCATAAAGTCGAGTGAAAAGTTGGAGTTCCTCGTCATTTAGGACACCGTCGGGAATTGCGTCTCCGAACTGCCGTCGTACCATTTCCACCCACGCCTCCGGTGTATACTCTTGGCCCTCGAGAGGATCGGGGAGTTCCTCCACAAATTCGTCGCCCTCTATCAACTCCAGTTCTTCCATCAGCTTTGCCATATCATCATCGTTTTCGTTGATGCGCTCGATCAAGACGTTGATAGCCTCAATGGTGTCGGTATCCGTTGGTGAATCGGAGGGCGCTGCAGCGGTAGACGACTGTCTTTGTCCAGGAATCCATTGTAATGACACGGGCTTAGGTAGAGGTGCACTGTATCTCGGACGGATTGGGTTGGTTGAAATCGACCGTTGTGGTGCATTGCGTCGAATTCGTCGCGACGATGATGAGTCCGCAGTTCCGCAAGCTCGTCGCAAGCCACCAGCGCGAGACACTGAGGGTCGTAGCAGATGGCGCGCGTGTGGGCCACTAGCCCTCGCAGTAGAAGACCCAGAGAGCATTTTGCCGCTCCAATTTCGACCTTTGAGTTGAGGGAAAGGAGGCAAAAGAGAAAAGACGATAAGACTGAAGCTCCGCAAAATTATTGCCAAGCCCGCCCCATCGCAAACTGCGGCCCGTTGATTGGACGGGCGAGAATCCGACAGCCTCGAGGATCCGCCTTGTTGGCCTGTGGATTCAATTTAGGAACTGGGGCATCGACAGGGCATATGGCCACTTGGTTGATACAGAGAGTTGATTTTTGTTATATATATGAGAAGACATGTAGGCACCTAGATCATCCACCAAATTTAGACTCCTTATTAATGTAAGAATGTTAACCCTAACTTGCCCGGACTATATCTTTTGTTAGGGTTGAGTCTCCACCCATGCAATCGCAGAGGTTCGGTGGAAAACAACGATATGCTATTGGTATCTTATACGATGGTATCGAATGCAAAATCTCCTCATTCGCTTTCCGTCTCCTCATTTCCCATGAGAATCTGAAGCGCCATCACCCAGCGCATCACTTCATGCTCCAATGCCGTCAGCTTGGCCATTGCAGCCATCAAGCTCGGGTCCTGACTTTCAACCCGAACCTTTTCCTTGACGTGGACTTCTTCACCACGCCAGGTGAAGACATCCCCTACCTCGTCATGTGCGCGTTGCCGGGTTCCAAAGATCCGGTCTCTCAGAGAGAATCCGGTGAGGGATAGGTCCGAGGCAAACGCCGTCGGTGCCTGGGAAGACGTGTTGCTCTCCAGAGTACGTACCAGGAGAACCAGTGCAGAGTCTGCAATTGAAAGATGGAATGAAAGGTAAGGCGGAGGGGGTGGGTCAAACATCTAAAGTGTAACGTTGGTATTAGTTGAGGATGCAGGGAGGATGCAGGGAGAATGCCAAAGGATAGAAACCAAGCCTACATTGTCTGAAGCACTCGCCTCCCACCAGTTGCCTCGCTCATTGCCATCTCCCTTCAGCATCTGCCGGGCCTCGCTGATGGTCTCTTTCAATAAATGCAGCTGGCTGAATATGAATCCCGCATTGAGCGGATCACCCGTGTATGTGCTCACATCCACAATGTCCAGACTTTGGTTCACGAGATTCCGGACAGAGACCAGCTGCTGTAGTACCAGATCTGGGGCATCAGGACCTTGTGAAAGAGTGAGACGGGTGCTAGAGGCACCCCGCGGAGCGGGAAGCGAGGCCAGACGAAGCTGGATATCCTGAAGGTACAAAAAGCACGTGTTAGGTTGGTATTTCAGGCCATTTCAGGACTAGACTTCTGGGACAAGGGGAATTTCCCGGAGTTGGAAACATACTCCTTTAACCACCTTGGTGCCGATTCGAGTGACGAAGCCTTTAACACTCTCTGATCTCAATGATGATAGAACCAGAGTTGACCCTGGTTCTTGGGGGGCTAAGAGAGCGGCGCATTCTTGCAGGCCTTCCTTCAAGGAGACTAGCGACTCCTGGAGCGACTGCAAGAGCCACTCCAGCTCCTGAGCCTAAAATCTGAGTGTGAGCCAAATCAAGATCCACTATGGCCCCAGAAGGCGATCATGTTTTTGCAGCGGCCAACCACGGACGGTCCACCAGCTGCATCATAACCCCAAGTCAGGAGGAGCACTAGACGTACCAAAGCGGTATCGGCCCGATTGTTCAGCTCCTCTGTGGGCAGCGGGGGGTATGCCCAAGTTGCCATAATGGCTAATTGCTAGTAGTGGCTAGTTGCTAGGGCCTAATTGCCTTGTGCTGGTGTGAGAAGGTGCAGCACGATGCCACGCCCGAGTTCGCTGGCAGGACTCGATTAAAGTTCGGTAGAGATCTCTGGCAAAGAAAGCTCAGGCAGAAGGATTCAGGCTCAGTCAAAGTCAATGCAGTCGCTCCACGTCACCGCCGACGCCGCCGAGAGGAGTTCAACGAGGAGCTGCAACGTTGTTGCTGTTCGTCACTTCGTCATGGACCGCCAAGGCTAACCCCAAAATGGGTTAGCGTGGACATAGAGTGTGCGCTAACCCAAAACAGCTAGCCGACCAGGTGCAACCATGACGTTATGATCCTCACGATCTATGAGCTGCGCCGATGATGCCCACACCGCGACATTATATCAGGAGAGGGGGCATACCCGGATAGGCCCGGCTCATGAAAGCTGCTGCGCACGTTGCATTAGTCTTTTCAGGTCTTCCATCCAGGCTCGACATCTTTTTCATCCTTTCTACCCTCCAACTTCAACCTCATCGCATCGCACCTACCCATTGGGACTTCGGGCACCAAACAGATTCCAAATCAACAGGCAGCAACCCAGATTCTACGGCGGGAGCGCACCGAGGAAAAAGCATTTTTCCTTCTCTTTGAACGAGAACTTCACATCTCCGCAACTCGATACAGTAACCGGTCACTATGCCTCTCAGCAGTAAGTTTAATCGTGCGACAGATTTGAGTCTTCGAGAATGCGGAGCAAAGATCGCCGAAGACTAATTGGGGATTCGGGAACAGGAGCGTCGCTGGGCTTCCTCGGCCTGTTCTTCACGGCCGGTGCCATCCTGCTCATCTTCTTCACACTCTTGGGCGGAGCGCGCAACAGCACACCATTGAATGAGGTGTACTTCCTCCAGGCCGACACGGGCAATATCCCTGGAGCTCCGGCAACCTCGCGTTGGACGTTCTGGAACCTTTGCAGTGTGAACTCCAATGGTCGCAATGACTGCGGAAGCACGCACGTCGACTTCCCCCTCGACCCCCCAAGCAGCCGTAACTTCGGCACTACCGTGAATGTTCCTCCTGAGTTCATCGGGTAGGTCGAACTGATCAAGCCGAACAATGCTTACAAAAGGAATTGTTGCTAATGCTTGACAGAACCAACCACTACTTCTTGACGTCTCGGTTCATGTTCCCCTTCATCATCATCGGCCTCTTCTTCACCACTCTCTCCCTCTTCACGGGCCTGCTGGCCATGTGCACGCGCTTTGGTAGCTACTTGTCTGGTTTCCTCGCGTGGCTGGGCCTTACCTTCCAGACAATCACTACCTGCCTTATGACGTATGTGGAGATTGATCCCTGTTGCTCCTCTATAGTTCAGTGAGCTAACTATTGATAGCGCCGTCTTTGTTCAGGGTCGGAATGCCTTCAACCGTAACGGCCAGAGCTCGAAGGTTGGTACCAAGGCTTACGCCTTCATGTGGACCGCGACGGTCTGTCTATTCCTCTCCTGCCTGCTATACTGCATCGGCGGTACGGTCGGTCGTAAGGATAGTGGCTACAGCGGACGCAAGGAGCGCCGCCGTGGATTCTTCTCTTCTGCCCGTTCCAACAGCGTGAAGAGCCAGAAAAAGGAGCAGCCATCCCTCGCTTAAAGTGGATTTTTCCAGATCTCGAATCGAAGGAAGTCTACTATTCGTACCATGCTTGCTAGAAAAAGCAAACCAAACCTCAAGGCAAATGTTGGAAGCCCCTTGCTTTCGACATCCTGCTCTCCCCAATGCCACATACACGATTTCGTCTACAGCGTTGGTTTCTTCCTCGAAAGTCCCCGCTTTCTCGAAAATTTCTCTCGCTTTGCTATTTCCAATTCATGTGTATTGGGACTGATTTGAAATCCTTGACGCTCACCTTACACGCTCATTTAATGTTGTCACGAACTTCTCACGATCGTTATCATGCCTCGAACCCCCTATTTTCCCATCCGTGTCCGGGGAACATGGTTTTCACCCACACAGCGTGAGCCAATTCCTTCTCTGGCGCTCTATCATCTTGTTTTTGTCCCCTGCCACCACAAGTTCGACGAATTGTTGACGACTTCATGCTGCAATGGTCCCCCGACTTGATCTTATTTGATGTCTCGTCCGCAGTTTCTTAATTAATAGTTGTAATATATTTTCTATTTTGGTGGATCTCATGTCAGTGCCTTCGTAAAGAGATCTGAAGTTACGTAGACATCGACAGAGATTGATGAGACCATTAAGTGTGCGAAAACCCGAGGAGTTGAATACTGGAGCATCCGACTTCGTACAGCAATTAGGCAAGTCATATGATCATGAACCTCGGGCGAAAGGAAGTAAATATTTGCCATTTCCAATTGAGAGTCTATATAGATTGGGGAACATGAGAGAGGACAGAAAAGGAGTTGACTCTAAAAAAGAGAATGACGGGAATACAAGGAAAAGCACAGCCTCTATCAATCATGCATGCATCATCACGCCATAAGGAGATCGCTTTTTGGGGAGACAAATCTATGCGGAGCCGTTGATGGCACCACGGACGGCGGTAGAGCCACCGACCTCGCGCACAGCGATCTGCAGACCCAGGTCAGGGTTGACATGGACCATAACCTCGACCTTGGCACCGGCCTTGACACTCTTGACGGCGAGCTCGGCAACAGGCTTCTCGGTCTTCCAGACAATCTCGCGGACATCCTCCTCCTCCTCATCGGAGTCGAAGTCGGAGTCTTCGTCATCAGCGGGCTTCTCCTCCTTGGCCTTGGGCTCAGGCTTGGTGACCTTGATCTCGCGGGCACCCTCGCAAACGCGGACCAGAACATCACCACCCTCCTTGGGGGCAGTGTACTGGGCAATGCGGCGAGCGGGAAGAGCGGTGTCGGCGTTCAGGAGAGGCTGGAAGCTGGACTCGCCGTTGGAGGTGAACTCAACACCGATGGCCTTGCTCAGGTGGGGGGTCACAGTGACCATGGGGTGAATGGACTGCTCAATGTCCTCAGCGTCGAACTCCTGCACAAGGGAAGCCTGGAAAGCGGCACCACGGGCAGCCAGCTCAGAGGGGTTGATAGCGGAAGTGGAGGTGGAGGGGGCCAGGATGGCGGTCTTCTCAGGGAAGATGTTGGCGGCCAACTGAGCAATCTTGGGGGTGTGGGAGGCACCACCGGAGAAGATGACCTAGATTCAACAGTTAGCACCAAAAGAAAATACCGAGTACGATTGCAGAAATAGTCATACCTCGTCGATGTCAAGAACGTCGAGCTCGGCCTTCTTGACAACCTGCTCAATCAGACCAGTGAACTGAGCAAAGACCTTGCTGGAGAGGAGCTCAAAGCGAGTACGGTTGACAGTGGAACCGTAGTCAATGCCGTCCGCCAGGGACTCAATGCTCAGCTGAGCGTTGGCGCTCAGGCTAAGAGCCTTACGGGTACCCTCACCCTCAAACTTCAGCTTGGCCAAACCACGGGCATCCTCGCGGGGGTCGGTCTTGTGCTTCTTGATGAACTCCTTGGCGAAGTGGTCGATGATGACCTGGTCAAGGGAGGCACCGCCAAGCTCGTAGTCATGGGCAGTAGCCAGGATGGTATATATGCCACCGCGGCAGGCAATGACAGCCACGTCCGAGCGGGTGCCACCAAAGTCAGCCACAACGACCAGCTTGTCGGTCACGGTAGCCTCGGGGCGAGCATCGTAGGCCATGACGGCGGCAACGGGCTCGGCAATCAGCTGGAGAACCTCAATACCAGCGGCCTTGGCAGCGGCGATGAGGGCCTCACGCTGAGCATCGGTGAAGTTGGTGGGAACGGTGATAACAGCAGCGTTAACCTCCTTACCAAGGAAGTCGGTGGCGGACTGCTTCAGGCGACGGAGGTGACGGGTAGTGATCTCCGAAACGGTGACAGTGTTGCGGGTCTCGCTCTCGCTGTCACGGATCGTGAAAGCAACAGTTGAGTCCTTCTGCTGGGGGTGGGCGGATTGGTGGCATGGGGTAGCGTCGATCGACTTGAAGTCCTTGCCCAGGTAGTCACGGAAGTATGCGACAGTGTTGCTGGAGTTACGGATGAGCTGGGCCTTGGCCTGGGTACCGTGGTACTCCTCGCCATCGATGTAAGAGAGGATGCTGGGAATTTGACGGTCTATATGAAAAGATTCAGTTAAATTGAGTGGATGAAAGGCGGGGTTCTCCAACACATACCTCCCTCCTCGTTGGCAATAACCTCAGCCTTGCCCTCCTATAAAGAGCATTAGTTCCATGACCCTGAACCCTCCTTTTGTATCTTTGCTGAACATACAGGCGAGATGCGGGCAATTGAGCTGGAAGAGTTGCCAAAGGAGATACCGATAGCGAAGCGCTCCGTCTCGGCGGAGGCACCGTTGATTGCGTCACCCATGTCGAATGTATATGTGGGTATTATGAATCACAAGTAAAGAAAAGCGCTCCGCGTCACAATGTGTGCAGAACAAAGTCGGGGGATGACCGATGAAGAGGTAATGTTCTCGATGGAGGGGGGAACCAAATCGAAAAATTTGAAGATTTTCGGCCGGAACGTGGCTTGTGCTTATCGATAGAGATGTGGCGCAGTTTTTGTCTCCCACCCGGCCTATAATATAGGCTTGTGAACTGGCACAAAATTCATTATGGGGATAGAACAGTATGCTGCAAGGATTCATGTTTCAGTTTTATCTCAATTGAGATCACAATAATACCTACTCGCTCTAACTGCCTTGTATATTCTCGATCGGTACAGTACTTCATTAAGCCTTGGCACCGCCACTTCCCTCCCTCCTCACGTGGAGATAGCGAAGATAAGAGCAGCCAACGTTTTCTTCGATGGAAAGCATTTACGGCGCACGCTCTCTTCACATCACGAATCGCTCGTCCAATACGCCCTGAGTTCGTCCGTGGCAAAGTTTCAGACACCAAGCTACTCTTTGCAATTCCCGAATTGCGCCATGTCTGCACCTCTCATCTTGCTTCCGGGTGATGAGGTACCCAGCGATCATCTACCATCCAACAACTCGAATCCCCTCAAATTAGGCCCAGGCCTTCGTCTTCTGTCGCAGCCGTCGTCCAAGTCTACACCTGCCACTCATGTCTTGACCGCGACTCAGGCCGGCCTTGTGACAACTGATGCCAAGCGAAACACCGTCTCACTTCTCTCTTTTTCCAACTGCCGCTACATTCCCACTGTCAATGACCTCGTCATTGCTCAAATCCACCACTCCAGTGTCGACTACTTCCACTGCATGGTGACACCACACACAGCGCATGCCCTTCTCGGCCAATTGTCCTTTGAGGGTGCTTCAAAGAAAACGAGGCCGATGCTGAAGCAGGGTGAACTGGTTTATGCGCGCGTTCTGTCCATCGGCGTCGGCGCAGGTGCGGAGGTTGAGCTGACTTGTGTCAACCCTGCTACTGGAAAGTCAGACCCTGGTGGACTGGGTCCCCTTATTGGAGGGATGGTGTTCGACGTCTCTACCGGCATGGCAGCTCGCTTACTTCGAGCTAGCTCTTCGTCTGAGCAGAGCGATATCATCGATGGGCTTGCCGTTCTCTCCGAGCTGGGAAAGAAACTTGAGAGCCTGGGTGGATTCGAGCTTGCTGTTGGGCGCAATGGAAAGGTCTGGGTCGACTGCTCCAATGCCGGGGACAGTGCGATTAAAGCCACAATTGCAATTGGGCGTTGCCTGCAGACCACGGATGAGAAGAGTTTGAACCCTGCAGATCAGAAGAAGCTGGTCACGAGAATTCTGCGCGAGATGAACCTGGCATCATGATCAGAAGTTTCTTGTTTGCATTTTGATTCCAGGAGCATGGGTATTCGGGCATTTTGTTTTATTTTGTACATATACCAGCCGCATTTGTAGTTATCCTTGCCAATGTGCGACAATCTATTTGTCGCAGTGACGATCACGTACTTCCATCTCCGATACAGAATTCTGACCATCACTATAGGTGGGCTGCGCCGCCTAAAGAATTTTCAATTAGATTTCCATAACTTCTACACCCTGATATTTCCATGGACAAAGTGATTGTGGTTGTTGGGCGGCCGTCTACATCTGCATCTGCAGAACAAACGAATATGGCAGGCGGTAGCAAATGCGGTACTCTGCATCTGCCGAATATCTTCCCTTCGCCGCCATAAATTTTGGGAGCTTCACTTCCCCAACAAACAATCTCAATTGGAACCCCCCGTGTTGGGCAATCCCCGTCTCAGCTTCACAAGATGGAGGTTGCCGAAAGTGCAGGTATTCTTCCAAGTTCTGGTGTCGTCACTCTTCTCGAGTACCATGGTCTGACATGTCACAGTCATCGGGTTTCCGAATCCGCCGTCCACCACAGAGGGCATGAAAATGAAGCACAAAAAGTCGCACAAGTCTAAGCACACCGGTGAACATCTCACAACTGAATCAACCAACGGGGTCGCGTCCTCACCTCCCCCGAAGACGACGAGTCTCGGTCCTCGAAGCGCAAGCGGGACTCGGAATCGGGGCATAAGAAAAATAAAAAGAAGCGTCAAGAAGCCGAGAACGATGCGAATGATGAATCAACCATTCGTGACGCAAATGAGATGTCTGATTACAAAGTGGACCAGGGACAGACCGTTGATGACAACGTAATTCTCAAAAATCAATCTCCGAAAGACACTCGAGAGTCGGTCCAGAATGGATCTGGAGATGCCCCTGTACCCAAAAGCTCTCCAGACCCTACATCCGATGCCACACCCAGTAGAGGTCGACTGAGAAAAGTGCGAAGCTTCCGCATCGGCGGCAAAGACCAGCTCAAAGTTGGGTTCTTCCTCGAAGGAGAAGTCAAGGCACTGGAGGACTTTAAAATTCAATTCTGCAATACCCATGGCATCGAAGGCCGTACCTTTGACGTGATGATTCAGCATTCTGAGCGTGGTGGTGATGAATGGCCGGTACCAACCAATATTTGCACAAAGGCCGATTTTTGGAACGATGTATATGCACTCATCCCCGACCGAGACCGCCGGTCCGTATACCGGTTCATGCGGCGACATTTCCAAGATACAACGCAAAAGGCCCACGACTGGACTCCTGAACAGGACGAAGAGCTTATCAAATTACATGCTCAGCATGGCCCCAAGTATGCGAATATTGCCAAACTCCTCGGCCGAAGTGATGATGATGTGACTCAACGGTGGAAGAACCGCCTTCAGCACCGGGCTACGAAGCAAACAGGCGTATGGAGCGAAGCTGAGCTACGAGCATTTGTGAGCTCCTTGGAGGAGTATCGAACCCTCCTGATTGCATCTTCCGCAGAGCCCGAAAACGCAGGCAAGGACATCTGGGAGATGGATCTGAAATCCATCTCATGGGGCTCAATCAGCAACGGGATGGAAAACTCTCGAACTCGTCAGCAGTGCGCGGACAAGTGGCGCAAAATATCAAAGAATATTATCTCTTTGCGCCAGACTATTAATCCAGACGCTGTCTTTGATCCTGCCGAAGCAGCAAGGAAACACCATCGTTGGAATCCTACTGCCGCGAACGGCAAGAGCAGGGCATTTGTCGAAGAAGAGGAAGACGACGATGACGCTTCCGAAAATGAGGATGAGGAGACAAGGATTCCCAGTACAACGCCGGTCATCATCCCGAAGCTTGAATTCGCAGCAGAGTACCAGACCGTGGATCTAGCCCAAGTTGCGAAAGGATCCTCGCCTGAATCGTCGCCTTCGCGTGGAGATATTCAGGTAGATGGCACATACAGCACAGACAAGCCAACAGAACGCAAGCGCGCCGACGCTGAGGAGTCTGACGAAGACGAAGCCGCGGCTCCCTCTTCACCGATCTCAGAGGATTCCCGCAGTGAAGAGAAGAAACTGCGAGAGGAAAGAAAAGAGAGAAAGCGGAAGAAGAGAGAGAAGAAGGAGCGGAAGAGACGAGAGGCTGAAGCTGCTGCCGAGGATGCCGAGGAGGATGCTCCTATCACGCCAAAGGAGAAGCAGCATAGTACCAAGAAAAGCCGCAAGTCCGGGGCCAACGGCAGTGAGATGAATGGAATCGAGCAGCTCGAGTCTTCAAAAAAGAAGAGCAAGAAGGATAAAAAGAAGGACAAGAAGGCTGCACAAGGGGATGAACGTGCGGATGACATGAGTGACATCGAGACTTCTATGGTTGTTTAATCCCTACTGTCACGACTCGCAAGATTTGATACAGTATGGCGAACATCAGAAGAGGACCCGAAGGAAGCCATCTTCCTTGTGAATAGAAAAATTCCCTTAGCTAGCGAACTGTATCTTTACTACTACACGAATGGGAATGCCAAACTATCGACAGAGGGAACTTATGAGATGCGCTTATACAAAGTAATCAATACATCAAGAACAATAAAAACACCACAAGTCTACCCATCTATAATTCATCCTTGCGGTCATCATCCTCATTCTCATCATCGACAGACACAACCTTCTCCTTCTGCCCAGCATCCTCTCCAGTCTGCACAAACCCAACCTGCTCGGCCGCAACACGCTGCGCCAAAGCCGCAATCTCATCATCGTACACAGTCCACTCAGGCACTTGTCTCCTGGCCCGAGCCAACTTAGGCTCCTTCGTCTGCGGGTTATTGCAGAGATCGATCGTCCTCGCAGACGCCAAGTCTTCATCCGAGCACCATGTCTCACACCACAGCCACTCCTGCGGCAGACTGTGAATCGGAATATGATGCTGCATGTGGTTCGGCAGATCCTGGTCCAGGTTACTCAGACTATTAGGATCGGCCGAAAGCATCTGGTACTGTCCACGGAGACGGTCACCAGCAGCGATAGCGCGGAATCTATTTAGATCGACCACGTACAGCGCGGAGATGTGGTACGGCTTGCCGCGCAGGAAAGTGCTCCAATAGCCTTGTTTCCAGAAGCGGAAGCCTTCCATCTCCGTCCGCGAGTCGCCCATCGGGGTGAAACCGTAGGGTGCGCCTTCAAGATCGTGCGTGACGAGGTCGTACATGTCAGTCCGCACGATCTGGTCGGCGTCGACGAATATCACTTTGTCCAGGGACAAGGGGAATAGCACGTCCAGGAACAGCATCTTGTATCCCCAGATCTCGCGCTGCTTCTCCTTTTGCGGACGCAGCCAGTGTGGCCACTTGTACGTGACCATCTCATAGGAGAAGCCGTATTCTTCAGCAAGATGGGGTAGGAATGCGCGGAAGGAGGGCGAGAGGAATTGCTCGATGTACCAGAACTTGACGGTGTGTTTCGTGTGTCGCATAACGGAGACCATCATGATGTTGAGCATACGCTCGTACAAGTGGCCACTGGCGACGGAGAAGATATTGATATCGGCATGTTGCTCGTCGGGTTTTGAGCCCACCCCAACGCTAGAAAGCACACCGGAGGCGAAATTGAAACCCCGGGAGAGGTAGTCTCGCGTGGAGCCAGGTTGAGGTCCCGTTTCGAGAACATCGTCGTTCACGTGGCCGGGTTTGCGGGAGAGACGGGGGAAGAGAGTGCGTCCCTGGAAGGATAAAAGGGTGACCTCAGTGCTTTCGTCGCCAGGCTGGGGCCGGTATCCGAGACCACCGACGCTGTCAATGTTAAATAGCTTCTCACTACGACCCGGCTTGAGATTGATCTGCCATACGCCGGGCTGTGCCTTGAATTGGAAGTAGCCCAGGTTGGCCATGATGATAGTGTCCGCGAAATAAGGGTTGTCCTCGGTGCCCAAGACAAGCTGCACCCCACTAGGCGGGGAGTTGGTGGTAACATCCCGGGAGTGACCTTCGATGAGAATGTGCTCCAAAGCATAAATGGCATCAACATTGGCTCCAGTCTTGAGCGCACTCAGCTTGATATTGTCCGGGTCGTAAACAGACTCCTTTGGCGCCACGAGCCATGATGTGGGAACATCCATGCCTAGGGTGAGCAGTGCCTCAACGGGCACGCCGGTAAACGAAGCTCCAGGGCGAGACAGGGCTCCATCGGCAGTGAAAGATGGTTCTGACTCCAGCACGTAGCGATAGAAGCGCTTAACGGGGAGCTCTTTAAGCTCGTCCTTGGGGTTCAAGAAGATCTTTAGTTGAACACCTGCCAGCTCAGAGAGGACCTTGAGAATTGGCAGCCATCTCTGGGCAGTTTCAGACGCAGGATCAAGGACAACCGCGACATTGATCGCCGGGTCTTCGGAATTGGAGACCGTGATAACCGAGTGCTCAGTCTTCCATTTATCGGCAACATCCAACCGGAAGTCCGGCATCGACTCGAAGATTCCCTCTGGCACGTCCGAGATTGTAGAAAGAGTGACCATGGAGGTCAGTTTGGCGAGATCAAGAGGCTTGGTGAGCTTCTTATTCAATCGGAGGGCCAGGGAGGCTTTCGCAACAGGTTCAATCCGCTTTGATCGCTCATAGGCGATTAGCTGGCCAATCTCTTCGACGCTCAATGAGTATTCTCTAGGGATGGGGCCAACTGCTCGGCCGTTGACAACAAGACCTTCCACACCAGCATCGAATCCCAGTTGCTCAGTAAGACGTCGGTGGGTAAGAATGATCTGCTGACTGTCAGATGCCGCGGCATCCGAAACAGCAGAGGAAGTGACAGCATTCAAAATGCTGTCGATATCCGCGCCCTTGGTAAGGGCATGTTGAATTGCATCTAGGCGCGATATACCCCCTTCAGATTCTGTAGCACCATTGTGCACCAAGAGAAGTTCCACTTCGCCATTTTCCTTCCGGAACTTCAAGGCATTGATGAGAAGCTTCAACCCAGTCTCTGACTCGAAATCGCCGACAACGATGACATGAATGCCGCCCAAAACTCCGCTCTCAATTTCAATTCGAGGTATTTGATCCAAAACCGTTGAATCAGGTCCAAAGATGGTGGCAAGATCCACGATGCGCACGCTCTTAGGGTCCTCAGGCATGATAAACGTGTTACGGCTCTCGAACGCACCAGCCAAGTAAAACTCCGGCAGCACAGCATCTTCTTCGAAGACACCCTCAATGATACCCTGTTGGATCAGTTTCAGATCCCTGCCAATCAACATACTCAACTCCTGCATCCAGTTGGTCTCGCGAGAGACCGGGATACCGTTGACCAGGAAATGAGGAGATGCACCATGGAGGCTCAGGCGACGCTGGTAGTCGGCAGTGCGCGTAGCCACGTTATCGTAATGCTCACTCTTCAGTACCTGATCGAGAGAAAGGACTTCCTTTTCTGGGCGTGGCTTTCGCTCCTTGGTTGCCGTTGCAAACGAGGCCTTGTGAAGTTCTCCAGCCTTGCCTCTAGAAGCAGATTCTTCCAGGTAGTGGAGCAATGAAGAGAGTCCGTACGTCTCCTGCAGATAGTGTGCCACCTTCAACTGGGAGGCAGCATCTGAGGAAGAGGCGGTTGGCACGAGGCCAAACCGAATAGGGATCAGACGTTTGATGAAAGTCTGGACTTGGTTGACAACCAACATAACGTCTTCCGGGCTAGATAGATCAACAGGCATGACGACATTGTGCAAGTCACGGCGGACTTGGGGCAATTGTCCCGGGTAGGTGTTGGTGATGTACTGTACTTCTTGTAAGTATTAGTCAAGACATGAGATGGGGGAAGACGCGTACTGTCTGGAGATCACTTGGCCAGGACTCATAGCGCGAGTCTTTCTCTAGATCATTCATCCAAATAATGGCCTGCCCACCTTCCAGAGTATCACGATAGTCGTAGCGCTGAGAGTCATCTTCGGCCTGTGACTCTGCCAGGGTTGGGTGGGATAGAAGCTTCACGGCCTCCTGGGCAGACAAACCCAGGTCACGGAACTTATCGATGAGCTTCCGTTCACGACGGAGGATATCGAGCAGAGAGAATGCATCAATTTGTCGGGTATCAATTTGCATGCCGTTGATCCACATAACATTGTACCCGGCCGGGATCATTCGAGCCCGGTTTTCACGAATTTCCTGCCGTAGTTCTGCACTGGCATTATGAGCAGCGATTGTAGCCGAGTACTTTGGAAAGTTTTGTGACAGCTTGATCAGTGTGTTCAGCGGGTCTTCACTGTCCATCACATAGCTTGCAGAGTTTACACCGAGTCGGGAGACTTCCGAAGCAGATAGAGGCTGCAGGTCATCTGGGGCATCCTCTTTCAGTTCCTCAGAACCAGTTGGGGCGCCTTCTTTGCTACTTTCATCCCGTTGCTCCGCATCCCGGTCATCAATCACAATATAATCTGTACGTTTCAATGCCAATTCCACGCCATATCCAGAGACGAATAGTGGCCGCGAGGTCCAGTGCTGAGGTGGCCGATAGCGCACGCGGTACGAAATTTCGCCCTGCTTCGCCATATCGCTCAATTTCTCATGGAACTCCTTGAACGTCGGAGCCGATACATCTGCATAGAGAACAGCAGGAGGAAGCGAGACATCGCCTCGAACACGGTCGAAGGGTAGTTCCCTAGGATCGCTGAGATCTCAAAGTCAGCAACTTATGGGGTAGTCGCATTGTTGAAGAAATACTTACGACTCTCCATCAACATCCTGCTGCGCACGCTCCATCAGCGACGAGCAATACTGCTTCCCCTCTAAATGAACCCAGACAGGACAAGCTGCATCTTGCGCCCCCATCAACGACTGCTGCACCGAGGTATTGTAGAACTGATAATGAGCCTGGATTCGAGGCGCCGACGACCGAGTTGACAACGATAATTTGAACGACGACAAGCTTTCGGGAGTACGTAGGTGCCCATCTTCGTGAACGACCTGCAAGAACCGGTCATATAGCTCCTTCTCCGAGATAGCTTCCTCAAAGGCGCCGTCGGCAATTCGGTCGAGTAATGGGAAATATGAGGTTGCGTTTTCTTCAGCGGCGGTTTCTCTAAGCATCAATGTGAGTATCGCTGGCTCAAGAACCCTGGAACACGCGCGTACAGGCAAGGACGGTGTTCACATACAGTAGCTCAACTAGGAATGGAGATGAATCGAACGAGGCTTGCAGAGCCACATTGACTGCCGGGCTCGCATTGGCTAAGCAGGCCGGTAATAGAGCTCCCAGAGCGGCATACCAATGCCATGAGGCTCGAGTTCGTGGAGAAGCCCTCATCCTTGCTGATATGGATGGGGGTTGTTGGAATCGAAGGCTAAGTGGTGTTTATAAGGGACAGGGTCCGGGGCCAGAGTCTTGGCCGTCGTAATCAAGATTTGACAGTTTTCTAGTTAATCCGAGTGCGAAATCGAGAATTGACAAGCATTTCGGGCCAAATGAGCTGGCGCTCTCACAAGCAAACACGCAGAAGCTCAGCGGGATCTGGACACTTGGATCATTCTCCTATCGCGCTTATCGCAGCTTGTACGGCGGGCGACGCGGCGAGTTGTGCAAATTGCGGTTACCAATGGCGAATTGGTCACGTGGCACAATGTATACTTTCGGCATCTGATATCGTCTGATATCCTCAGACATTATCAGATACTGGTATCGCCACGTATCTCCACGGACCTGGGCGTGGACTGAGCATCCAACAGTTCTCTATTCTTCATATGCAAAGGCCTTAGAGTGAGGTTTCCAGTTGCCCAGGCGACCAAGTGGCGGCCCCTCCCAAGGAGTTGTTCTTCCTCTCGCAAGACAGACAAGCTACGAGCTATTAAGACAAGGCAAATATTCTTGAATGTTTTCATTTGTGATAAAACCTAGTCCTCCCAGTATGTTAATCGTAAACACATGATTTCGTTAAAACAATTGATCGCGGCGCCGAATTTAGACTCCCATAATGTATGCAGTATCCGAGTGCGCCGATAGCTCCGAGAAAAATCAACATGAAAAACAGATATCCAGAACGTCCCCCATATATGCAACCTGCGATGTCTTTTTTGGTTTGTTCTCCAGTGTCACAGACGCCGAGGGAAATGAAATGTGAAAGAGTTTGTGTAGGAATGGGGTTGGTTGAGGCCGGGCTCAACGGAAAGAATCGTACGGACCAAGGACCAGTAATGGTTTTCTGGCTGTCGATGGTGGTCAACACCTAAGACTGGGAGTTCTTGCGGCTGTAGGCATCGCGGATCAAGCGCTCGCGCTTCTCCTCAGAGACTTCGAAGATGGAGAAAGTGGAGGTGGAGGTGGAGCTCTGTTGGCTCTCAGGCCGAGGAAGAATGGCAGCGGACTTCATCTTCCGGAGGTTACGAAGCTTCTGCGCAGGGCTCTTGTACCATACATCGCGAGTGAAGCGCTGCAACACCGACCCTCTGCTCGGAGTAAGCTCCTCGTCCGTAGGGATAGGGAACTGTGGGAGGGGCTTGTCGACAACACCCTCAGCGATGCTCACATCACTTCCAGTACTGCCAGTGGTTCCAAAGCTACAGCCGGAATCGACTTTGCGGGCCTTGCTGCGGTAGGAGCTGCCTGGATCATCAAAGTGAGAGGGCTCATTGATCAACGTACACTCGTCAATGACCTCATTGACCAGGTCAAGATACTTTTCCAGGGTTTTGTGGAACACAGGCCACGAACCTTCGCCCTGTTCGCTTTCTCCTTGGTGGATCATCTGATACACGGGGCCTGTGCCTCGAGTGCTGACCTTGTTGATAGTTCTGAAGAAAGCGTCGCGGTGCATCTTGAGGATTTGGTAGGTCAACTGGGGAGTCGGAGTTGTGGACCCGGGCGAGACGGGCGGATAGAGAGTGTTGAGCATGGCGATGTGGTTATGCTTATTGTGCGGCTCAAGAAGGACCTCATTGATAATCATCCAGCGCCGCAGGCCAATGTAGATTTGGGTGTACAGTGCCTCAAGTGTCAGAGACTTGACGTTAATCGAGTCGAGCCAGGTTACGACCCCGGGATACTTGATGGCAAGGTCTGAAGAGTGGATATTCTCGGCTTCTTCGCGTCCAATGTTCAATCGCTGCAAGGCCAGAGTCATTTCCTTCTTCCAGCGGTTCTGCAAATCCCTGGCGTAGTCCAAAGCAGCCAAGCTCTGGGGAAAGTCCACTTGCTCCAGTTCCTTGGGGAAGCAACGGCGGAGGAACGAGCTCAAGAAGCTCGGTGGAAGCGAGCAAGGCTGAGAGGGTATCCGAGAAATCTGGTTGATCAATTGAGAGCGGAAGTCGGCAGCAGCATCCACGCAACTGTCCTGTGAACCATTCGAGGCCTGGGTTGAGGTCGAAGTCCGCGGGCTGAAAGCGGTCTCTGGCGAGTTGCTGCCAGGCAGGAAAGTCTTGGTCGGGTTGCAATTGAGGGCGTACATGTCGCGAAGGGGAATTTCATAAGCAATGGGTTCGCGGAGAACTTGGTCAAAGATCCAGGTCAAAGAGGCACCATCAGGCCTCTTAGGCGAACTGGGGAGCGAAGACATGATGCAAGAGAGCGGCTGATGGTCTGTGTGGAGTGGAGATGAAAAGAGCGTTTGTGCTGAAGGAGGAATGTCCAGGGTCTTTTTTAAAGACGAGATGAATCGACCACGGGCTCGAAAGACCAAGACTGCATAAATAACAATGCTGGACAAGGTTCCGAGGGCTGGGACGAATTCAAAACACGCCGAAGGGGTGAAAGCGAGTGAAAAGTTTGGCAAAGGAGAGTTTGTGTTGAAATCGAAAAAAGTAAACAGCACGGACAAGGCGGGGATAAGCGTGGAGATCAGAGCGGATCAGATGCACGCAACACTGGTCATACTACGAACCGCGAGGTGGCAATCGCGCGTGTGGCTGAAAAAAGAGAGAGAAGGAGGTCCTGGGGGTAACCAAAGGAGCTGGTGGGTTTGGCGAGTGTCTGAGGTGGTTCAGATGTTTGAGATATTGACGCGAGGGGCCTGCAGCGTTGGGTGTTTTCGTTGGCTGTTCGGACCTCGCAGCTGCAAGATCGGATCTAAGCAAAAGGCAAAAGACGAGGCAACAAAGTTTGTTTTAGTTTCTTTGATTGGAGACTGGCTCTCAAGGATCGTGAAGAGGTAAACACTGGAAGATAGGTCGCAAGACACGTCTCACGTTGATCGAACGAAGGGAGTGTTGGGGTGGGGGAGGAGGTTGAACGAGAGAAGTAAGTGCGTGGAAGGCGGGAAGTTAAGGAGGAGAGAACCAGGAGAGGCGTGGAGAGAGTGAAGAAGGAAAGGAAACGGATTTTAGGAATTTGTGGGAGATGAGGGAGATGAGGGAGATGAGGGAGAAGAGGGAAGGAAGGTTGCTCATAAAGCGGAGGAAGTGGTGGAGGAGGAGGACGGAAAGCGAAGCGGACGAGGAACCGAGTCTGCGTCGAGACCGCGTCGGTGGACCCGCGTCCTTCAGGATTTTCCACTTTTTCCACTTCTTCCATTTTCCCACCTTTCGACCCGTTTCGACCTCGTCTTGACCAGTTATTCAGGTCGACGCCCTCCAACTCTACTTCTATCGATTCGTTCACCTGGCTCACTACTGCAGGATGTTCTCCACTGTCCTTCTCCACTTTGAAAGAATAACACCTCATCTCGTCCCCCTCATTCGAGAGCCCATCCACGACCAGATCCATACCCGTTGTGCCTTCGAGGCTCCACCGGTGCACTCATCCGCCCTAGCTCCTTCTGAGAGGCCACCAACACCGGGAAAAGACAGCCGATGTGTCTTCCGCGATTCCGGTCCACTTCGTCTCCATGAAATCAGCACGCTAACCGATCTTCATCCAGCGGCGGGCGCGGTGTCTCGCGCTGCGTCCGGGCCCGAGTCTTTGGTTTACGACGCCATGGTGCACTCTAGCGCATCCATGTCCGGGTCCTGGGGAATTTCCCACTGTTCGACGGACCTCGATGTGAAGCCGTGTCAGAATTCTGGGTCTGCTAACGATTCCCTCGAACTGGCGATCATCCTCTATCAGATTCCCTCATCTCACTGCTTTGTCCATTATTGACGAGGACTCGGAGCGAATGCGAGCGAATTTTTGGGAACAAGGTCCTCGTAAACTAACAGACATGCCGCTAATAAGATGCAGCTGGCGTGATCACGAACTAAAGTTGGGCATGCGTGTGCCACCAGATGCCGTCGTCCGTCCACCGTAAGGTCGCTATTCCAGCACAACCAACAGTTCATAACGAAATCGCATTGATTGGATATGTCAGGCCAATTCGGAGTGAAAGCGTCTTTTTTGGATACATTCGTCACCTGGCTTTGCGGAGGCAAAACTGTGCCTCGCTCGACCTGTGGGGTGGACCACGCAATCGGCGCAGTCGACGGACCCCTGCCGGCACCACCGGGGGACTGCCCTCGTTCATTCCGCCGCACAAAGAACATTGGAGCAGTCAAATTTGATCATGATTCAAGGTACCGCTCGAGAGATGAGAGGTCCTATTTTCTTCCCATTTTGAACACTATGACAGGTATCCAACACTCCCGGGCCCTATGTACTCCGTACAGTACTCTCTGACGTCGATCAATAAACAACCGCAATCGGGCCTGTCGCCCATGGTTCTCGCCGTGTCACCCCCCGCCCGCGACCCACGAAAACTCGTTGCACTCCAGTACTTTTCAGGTACTTTGGCACTTTTCAAGCACAGCCGAGGGCCGTACCTGCATCGTTTCAGCTGTCAGCCTGCCCACGAATCCACGAATAAGGCGCTCGCTTTTCTTTTTCTATCTCCTTGAAGCAGGCAGATACATAATAATTCTGCCTGTCACAGTTAGCTCAATAGCAAACTGCATTTCGGTCTCGATATTCCTATTTTCTAGACTCTCCCACTTCCCCATCAAGTCCGTCACAACAAAGAAACTCACAGTTCGATCGCATCCCTGCAGTGCCCAACCCATAAAAACTAAGCAGCCTCTTCAGAGTCTTTTTTTGCGGGTCACCAAAAGTTGACCTTCCCAAACCGGGCCAGATCGGACCACTCGTGGGGCCTCAGGCCGCGCCCAAAAGTCCAGACACTCCGATCGGCATTCCTTCATTAACCGTTAACCCGGTCGGGCGGATACGCGGATATGTCAGAGCCTGTCTATCACAATCTCACAACCGACAGTACAGTAAATGATTCAAGAAGGGTTTTGCACTCTCAGCTAGACGGTGATCATAATGCCATGATTCTTCATTGTGCCTCGAAGTGTGGCGATCCCAGCCCGATTCTCGAGTCGTCTTACAGTGGCGACCGTTATTGCCTTCCATATCTTGAACATAGACATACTCTTTCAAACCCTAACCACATGATACACTAGGCCTAATATGGATCAAGCGTAAATTACCGGTTTTGTATGTATAGTGTAAGAATACCAAGGAGTACATACAGTACCAGTATGAGTACCAGAGTTTCCAACCGAAGGCCAGCTTAGACAACAAGAAGTACGAAAGTCTGTGACCAGGCAGCACCACGCTAGCAGAGTCACGTGTGGTTCGGTATACTCAGACGTGCCCCGAAGGGCCTTGAGGAAAAGATTCGGGAGAGGGAGCCAGATTCGGCCTGCGCCTAACCATGACAACGTAAAAATACTAGAACTATTACAGATGCAAAAAATAGCCAAGCCCACTGTGGAGTCCCATCGTCAAGTATCGTATCTTGGGCACCAAAATTGTTCGCTATAGTTTCAGGGCATGAGCTCTTGGATCTAGGATCTAATCTACCATAAAAGGCGCTTTACAGGAGATGCTATCGAGTAGGCAGATACGTGCTCATTAGCACTCAAGATGTCTGATTGAATCAGAGGTAGAAGGTGTGTGTTGGGGCGGAGATTTGTTGAGAGACCTCTGCCAGATGAATAAAGTACGTTACAGCACGGTACAGGGCTTCGACATTCCCCGGATTTAACATACAAAACCCCATATTAACCCGACACTCAGGTCCACAGTGGTAATTTACTAGGTCCTCAAGGTGACGGACCCCTGATATCTCTGCTAGGAGAATAAAGTGTAGTCGCCAGGTTTAGACGCAGTCAAACCAATACCGCCAACCATTGCACCCATCATTGTCTTCACTAGAACAAGTCTCAGAGAGCTTGAAGTCTCCACTTGCACAATTCTCAATACATTGCTTATATGTGCCGCCTGGAAAAAGGTCAGCTCTTGTTTCATCAAATTAAGACAATAGGCACTTACATCCTTGCGCAAAAGCTTCAGAAGCCAGAGCAATAAGAGGGATTATATAAACAAGCTTCATCGTTGTCTATATAAGTTAGCATACGACAATCCTGACATTCTCGCGTCAGCAGGACTTGCTGCCGATTGGACTCACTGGTATAGCGGATAAGGGTACTTTCGGTCTTGGGAGGAGACGACTTAAAATTAAAGCTCTAGACAAGAATACCTAGACAGAAGAAGGGGCCTTTTTTATACAGTGCAGGACAGACCCGGTAGGCAACTGCAGAACGTCACTCCTGACCCAGTATAGGCCTCTCGGACCTATCAGGGGACATTGCTCCAAATTATTGGAAAAAATGCTACTAGCAACTCACCGATCTCCGAACCAGAGTATGACCGTGGAGTCATCTCGGTGAAGATCGTCGTCTATGTTGATCCTCCCACATATATCGTCGATCCTGCCCGCATCCTATGTCGATCCCCTTCCTTCCTTCCTTCCTTCCCTCGTCCATTCCTCATCAATAGCGTCGATTGACCGAATCTCCCATAGGGCTTCTGGCCTAACCGGGCACAGAGGGCAGGCCGATTTAGCAAAGACGGGTCTTTGTGTAACGTGAAGGAGGGGTAACACGAGATCGTGCATTCGGGCCAGCTTCCCCGTATAATCCTTATCGAAAGGCCACCAATCCCTGGTCGACCCGTCGTCGTCGTCAAAGGGGAACATAATAGGGACCGCAGAGCGCGCGTACAACGCTTCTTCTCGACCACACTACCGAGCAGACCTCGACTCACCGCCGAAAGGCCACCGCCTCGGCAGAATCTAGTCAGGCCTCACGGCCTGAGGTATAGACCTGGGTATTGTGAAGGGCTGAAGCAAGACTTGATTCAATCTAACTAGGCCAACATGCTGTTTACAAAAAGCTTGGAGAAGAGAAGGAATGGAGCAAGCGGAACAGCAAGAGAAGAAGCAGGCAAGGCGGTGGCAGAACGGGAACGTGCGGGAAAGACTATATGGCAAGGCCATATAGTAAGAAGCGGGTCTGACCTGTTACAGGTATAGCCTCATAAGGAGATATCGTAACAGCTATATAGTATCTTATTCAGCCTAGTTAACTAATATAGAATAATAGAAAATAACCTAATAGCTAAGAGCCTACGGTTAGGCGTAGTCTAGCCTATATGTTAGGATCAGCTTGCTAGCAGGTCCTGGCAGGAATAAGAACTAGAGTGGAGGAATCCTGGAGGGTCCTATTCTAGACTAATCGCTAAGGAGCCTAAGTCCTATCGGCAGCTCTATCGGCGAAGACCTGGCGGGGTCAGGTGACTTAACTGCCGGCTTGGCAGGGCCGTCCCGTGACTTGGTAGGGACCCGGCAGCTCTAAGTCCTACTGAGAGGCTCTCTGGCAGAGGGCCTTAACAATATGTAAAGGTATTATCTACTTGCAGGGTAGAGGGCCTGTCGATCAGGTAGAAGAAAAGCACCAAGTCCAATTGCTTCAGAGACTGTTTCTTGAGGCCCTCGAAACCTACTCCTCACAACTCTTATTTATATACAGTCTCTTCGTGAAACAGGAAGGAGGGGTAAACACAAGAAGGAGGGGAATCCTGGAAGGAATACGAGCTTGTGTAACCAGCCTTCGGCTGCGCCATCAAGGAGGAAGGGCTAGTCGTCCGACAGGATCTTCAGGCCCCCACAGGGCCTAGGGCATCAACATAGGAATAGCCTCATGATAGAAATCTCATAACACAATAGCTCTAGCGGTCTAGCTACCTAAAAGAGTAGAGAGATCACACTCCATATAATATGATAGATAAGCTTACGAGGATTTAGCTAGATTTAGTGCTTTAGTTCCTTATGCCCCTGGGGCTAGCCAGGCTAGAGAGGTCTAGGTCGCTGGTTCTGGGCACTTGTATGTATCTTTTATACTGGTATCTTTACAGTAAGACCAGGTATTATTACCAATTACGTATAACCCGTAATTTACGTTCTGTACATATTAGGTTTAGCTCATCATGTGATTAGGGTTTGAAAGACTCTCCCTGTGTTTCCACCACAGAAGGCAATAACGGCCCCCACTGTAGTCCATACACATAGTGTACGACCGTGGCTGGCCAGATTCTGTAGTTATGGAGGATATCTCAATTCGGAATCAACGGAACTTCCAGGGGACTTGAGAATCTCATCTCGAGGGGTATCTAGAAAGACGTGCTAATGTATGTGCCCATAGTTGGAACAGCAGCAGCCGTCAAAAATGCTCATCCTGAAACGTGACTTCACATAAGTACTGTAGCTGCACAAAATTCTACTCTAATCTCAGAGGCACACAGTTCTTTTCCCCCAAGTACCTCAAACCCTACTTACTGTCTGCGATTAATTATTACTGTGAGCCTTCATGGCCTATTAACATTAGCTAGCTCCCTGGGCGCCGTAACCGCATCCCAAGGACCTGGCCATTGGGCCAGGCCTCGAAAACGAATGATTGTGCGCCGTAGCCCGGGGAAAAGCCCACGGGTCACGATCAGGGTCCGTGTTAGCCTCTGGGCCCTGTTTTCATCCTTCTGTCTTTTATCTTGCTTGCTTGCTTGCGGGCTTAGTGCTTTTTTTCTGTTGCGAACTAACCGCTGCCTCGGGAGCGAAGATGATCATGTGGCTTTTGGCGTGTCATTAGAGTACCTTTGAAAAGTACGACGTAGTACTGTAATAAGAAGGAAGATCCCTGATAGGAACCCGTACTCGGTACAGTACTTTTGACACCGATTCCAAATTGGACGCGTTCGATGTCGCGGGATTGGCGTCGCAGATTGTCTAATTTTTGGGATGTTTAATCCGGGGGGGGGGCCAGCATGTTGGGTGTTTAGAGTTATCTCCCACAAAGGACGTTACTACAACCCATTTTCCAGTCGAGGGAGAGATGAGTCTAGTAATATTGCGGTGGGTTATCCTCTGAGGCATACCTAAGATTGAGCTCTGTTTCTTTGTGCTCTCACTTCGTGTTCGGGTGTTCCGGATAAAAGAGTTGTCTCGAGAAGCGATCTACAGTACTGTCAGGGTTCAATTGAATGTGTCAACTAAAGCCAAGGCCCGGGGAAAATCTATAGTCGCCCGTCGTCATCAACATCAAACAAAGCGTCGAATCACTTTATTCTATACTCGTCACTCCATACAAGCCTCATACATCATCCACCTCCTCAACCGAGTAGACCTCCAACTCCGCAATCATCGTATGCGCAGGGATAGTAACACAAATTGGGAATCCCCCATAATCCGGATCCTCATTCGGCATCATAGCACAGATCCCACTCCGAGTCTCATCCCCATTCAGGACCCGCAAAGTCCGCAGCTCCCCCGTCTCCGCATTCACGACCTTCTTCTCCTCGAAACGTAGGAATCCCGTGAACGTGCTGGTCGGCGAGAGAGACCGAGCGCGCACTTGGAAACCCCATCCGATTAGGAGGAACTTGGGCCCACCCATGTGGATGACCATACCTGCACCGGGTCCGGGCTTGCCAAAGACGAAGCATCGCTCAATAGTGATTTCGTACCCAGCCCAGTGCTTGATGACCGACTTGGACGGGTCGGTGCCGTCAGCGGCGAGCTCGTCGAAGTAGAATCCAATTGAGCTGTCAGGGCGCGTCTGAGCATCAAGGATGATCTGAGAAACGGACTTTAGGAGACCATAGTGCTTGGTGAATGGGTTCGTCGCGGGTTCCAGAGTATCAATGCCGAAAGGCGAGACTCCAATAGCCTGGAACGAGCCATAGGCAGTCCAAATGCGCCGCACACCGTGCTCATCACGCCGCTGCTCGGGGATGAAAAGCGGCTGGTTGCGGTGGCGGTATTTACGGCAGGTATTCGTATAATCATTCAGGTAGATATCGGGCGAGATGAAATCCAGCGAGGGAGCAAACTTCTGCCAGATATCGAGGACGGTGCTGGTGCCGCCTCCCGACGGGTAGTCGCCTGGGCAGCCGCCGCCGCCAGCAACGATGGGGAAATCATTGTCGTCGTTGTCGCCGACGTAGTTTTGCCAGACGTTGGTGTATAGTGGGATTGGGTATTCTTGTTTTCCCTCAGACGCAACTTTGTTGAGATATTTGGCGTAGTGGTATGCCATGAACAGTTCATCTGTGCGTGGGCCCTTGCCGAAGACTTGCTCCCATGTCCCAGCGGGATTGGTTTGAGCTTTGAAGTGCTTCAAGTTGACCTTGATGTCCGTATGGAGATTCTCCCAATCTTGTGACAAAAATTGTACTAGATCTTCGGGGACGGGCTCATTGAATCGCTTCTCCGCAGCAGCAGACCCATCTCGCGAGTCGCCTAGCAGCCCAGTCTCGTTCTCGACTTGCACCATCACCACGGTCGAGTGTTCGCCGTCGACCTCTTTGACATGTTGTAGCAGACGGGAGAATGCTTTTATGTCGGCCTTGCATCCTTCTTCGTGGAAGATTGATAGTACATCGCCGGTCTGGAGGACACCGCCAGCCTTGCGCAGCTTGGCACGAGGGAATCGTCGCGTATTTGTCTTGATCCATGAAGGGACGTATGTAGATATACCTCGAAGAGCGTTAGCAAATGCAACGAATATATTGTAGATCACGCTTTGGAGAAGACAACCATACCATTCTTGAAGGAGCCAAACCACAGCAGCACCAGCTGCAGCCCATGTTTTCTCGCTCCCAAAATAACCTTGTCCAACTCGGCAAAGTTGAACTGATCCTCAACAGGCTCAATGTCCTCCCAAGTAACACAGCCCAAAACAGTGTTGATGTTGGTATCGACCAGCTTCTGCCAGACTGGCTCCATGAACTCTGCAGAAGTCATCGAGGAGTTCTGCAGCTCGGCTGCAAGTGCAAGGAACGGTCGGCCATGGACCACGAGCTGCTGCGTCGTGCCTGCGTTTCGCAGGTGTGGAATTCTCGGAGAGAAAGTCATGGCTGGGATATGTCGCAACCCAGGATTGGCTAAAAGGAGTGGAAAGAGAATCTTTGCATCTCTGAATGCACTGCAGTTGGCAAGTCATCTTTTGTACTTGCGAGCTGCTGGGTCGACCCCTCACCAACCCCCACCATGACGATGCCGGTGGTACCATGCTGGAAATGGTTTGCAGGCGGGGAGCACCCCCGAATGTATACAGAAGGAATGTCGCACGGGAATGCTTATGACCGATTGGCAGATAATCGGCAAAATGTTGCTCAACATCGTTGACCCCCACACGGGGATCCAAACAGTCCAAAGAGGAAGCGGAAATGAACACGCGCCATTGGCTGGTAATCCGCAAGCGACGAACCAGCGCGCCTCCGCAAACCACTTTTGCCGGATTAGGCAAAATCCCGGGATAGTGATGGCCTCATGGCTGTCCTTGAGCCGGATGGGAAGACCTCTGCGCAGATACTTTGGCAGGAGTATAAATAGAGAGTTTGGAGTCAGCGATGGATGTGTGTTCTCTTAGTGGACTTCTCAATGTCTTCTATATCGACCTCTTCTGTTGCTCTGAACTGCTACAGACATGGAAGCAGCCTCGAGGTATCTCTCTCAGGGCATACAGTCCAGTTACCTCATCAGGCCCGCACTCCAGGTTCCAGCACGCTAAACTCATCGAGATCACCATCCAATCTGACGAGCGCGTTGATGGGCAAAGTCAGGAATGGACTCGTGTGGCCAAAGTCCACGTTCATCAAAATCGGCAGCTGCTCCTCACGACCTCGACCAACAATTACATCAAAAACTTCCTCGACCACGCTTGCAAGCTCATCCTGCATCTGGGCATCATACTTGTAGCCTCGCCCAACAACCAGTCCGCAAATTTCATGCAATATCCCAGACAGAGCAAGATCAACAAGGTTCTTCCGGAACTGGGACACAGAATACGGTAGTTGCATGTTGTCGCCCATCGCAGACTCAAGAAAGAGAATTTTGTTTTTCCACGAGGCAGGGGCGTAATGAGTTCCCTGAAGTCGCACGACACAAGGTACAGTGCCCCCATATAAATGTCCAGTGGCTTGACCTCTCCGAAGCCATCTCCACGATGGTGCATCAACAATTTCGCGCGGTTTATCGAGCATCTCTTTGCCACACAAGAAGTCGCTATGCTCTTTCGAGCAGATCGGTGATCGAGGAAATGTACCCACCGACATTCCCGGGTCAGTCAGCATACGAAGGAAGTGGTCAATTGTGAATTGCATGGGCTTAGGAAAATCCGAAAAATCCGTTAGAACACTAGGTCCGTAGAATGTGCGCAAGCCGGTCCGAGATTGAATCGCATAATGCAGGAAGGTGGTGTCACTGTAGCCGACGAATATCTTAGGATTTGATCGAATCAGGGAATAATCGAGGAAAGGCAGCAGTTCATTAGCATGCGAGCCGCCAATCGTGCAAATAATGGCGGCAATCGTGTTATCCCGGAAAGCAGCATGGATCTCCTCACATCGAACGCGAATAGATTCTGCGATAGTGGCTGTTGCTTGGCTAGAGAAAATAATCTGCACACGGAAGCCTAGAGACTCCAGATAGGCTTTCCCTCGCGCGAGGGGAGTGGGTAAGATGTCATTGAGGCGTGCGGAGGGCGAGATAAACGCGATCTGGTCTCCCCTCTTCAGAGCTTTCGGAACAACCGTGTCCATTGCAGTTCGTTGGGCACTGAGCAGATACTGTGTGCGACGAAAGGCAATGTAGATCTGCCAGGAAGTCTCGCGACTCCAGTGGATCGAGCGGCTTGTAGAGCTGAGTTAAATAAAGCCGTTGTGCTTAACATTCGACGAGCAAGGCTGTCCACGGTCTTTATTTAGTGCTCTGTACTTCCGCGTACGGTATCCTCCGATCATCATTGGTCCCAATGTCGCCATCTGATTGATGTCCGTGCATTCCCCAATACCCAGCAACCCCCCCAAGTCTACCAGCAAGCCTTAGCACTTTCACCCTCACGAGACAGCTCCATGACAGACGAGGCTCTCTTTTCCATGGCTCATAAGCTGGGCAAGACAGGTTGACTTGTCTCCCACAAAGCGTATAGAGACGGGGCGCTAGTGGATACCCATGAATCTCACCCTACGACACTGGCTAGAAAGTGGCTACTGGGTAACCTTAAATCCGATTGGAAAGCTTCTACAAAGCTTGGCTCTCCAGCGGCTGAGCGTAAAGCCTCATCTTTCGAATGGAGAGAACTCGCCAACTATCCCCTTCTTACAACTCGCAACCGAGGCAACCAATGACGCTTATTTGGCACATGTAAGAATCCATCCATGTGATTCTTTCCCCCAGGCAACATCCACTAAGTGCGCATGGCGTGGGCGGGGGAGCACGATTTAGACGAAGACAAACAGCTGCTTCCACGACCCAAAGACCAATAGAAATTCCGCCAATCAAGTCCACCAGATGGTCGCGGGTATCGACAGAAAGTCCTGCGTAGCGACATCTTTGGATGACGCTTGGACTGAACGGACTTGACTTACGTCCTTGGTTGCGTGCTCCTTCCCTGCGAGTTCTGGGCCTTGCCGGGGAAGGAGCACTGTTTGCCATGTGTTCGATGCATTATTGGCAGGACCATCCCGCACTGTCTGTCGTACATCCAATTTGCGCTTTCCAATTCTCTATTGTGTAAAGAAGTCAAAGTTTACATCTCGTAGTCATTGTCGTTTCATTGAGGTTGTGCGAATCCTTGGGCTCGATCTGCTTGGCAAGCTGAAGTTCGGCGGTACGAGATTCCAAGATATATTTCGCCGTTGCTACTCGGTAATGTAGCTGGGACACGATAGTCACCTTGGTGTTGCAACGACAATGGATACAGGGCGCCAGTATTTAGTCTACACGAAGAAAAATAATTTTGTTCTTCACCCAAGGACATCTACTAGACCATAGGCGTTGATACCACACCTGCATGTCAACCCATGCAACTCTCGACCTCTAGGCGATCTCATCTCACTACACCGCCCGGCAGAAAAGATATGACGATAAGGACCTCCTCGCGACGACCCCCCTGCTACAGCTCGAAGCGAGAAACGACAACACTTTGGCCATGGGGAACGGACCTTTGGAGCGAAAGCTCCAATTCGAGAAGAAGAATCAGGATCTTGTCAAGCTCCCTAAGTGTACGCTCACGCTTCCTGCCCTGATCCCCCACTGGTTCACGCATCGAAACACTCGAAGATGAACATGCGCAAAAGTCTAACAAATGAAATCTGCAGACGCGAAGGTTGAAAAGCGACCTATTCCCCATGCGCCAGTCGCCTCCCCCTACGCTGGTGCTTCGGTGCCCAAGATCGTCTACGTATCCAGCAACACGCCCTTCATGAGTGCCGTGAAGCGCGTCCAGAAATTACTCCGCCAGGCTGAGAAGCGCGTCACAGCCAATATCAGCCTCGAGGATAGCCGAAAAACAGAACAGCAGAAGCTCATGGAGCTTGCCAGAATCGCTGAAATGCGGGAAGAAGTGTTTGTGAAGGCTACCGGGCGTGCTATCGAGAAGGCATTGAACGTGGGCAAGTGGTTCGAGGAGAAAGAGGCTGAATACACTGTCCGAGTGAAGACTGGGAGTGTGCTTGTTGTCGATGACGTGGTTGAAGATGAAGAGAAGAAAGAGCGGGAGTTACAGAAGCAACAACGTGAGGAGGGGAGGGATCCCCAAAAGAACGCTGAAGAGAAATCCGATTCACAAAATGCTACATCGAAAAGCGCCGCGAAGGAAAAGAAGAAGCGTCCCGCCTCTGCGATATCCGAAGACGCCGAGCTTCCGGAGACCAGAACCCGATGGGTCAAAATGGTTGAGGTGGCTGTAAGCCTCAGGTGAAACCATCTGCGGACTGCGAGAACATTTTATGCAGATCATAGCGACCAGGGAGGGCGAGGCTGCACCACGCAAAGCCATTGCCTTCAGCGACGCCGAGGCAGATAGCTGTTACGATACCAGATTCTCCATCTGAGATGCAATTACCGCTCCGGAACGATCAGCGAAAGACACGGGCGGCACGAAAAACAACCGTGTCAACTGGAGGACCCAAGGGGGCCATTTGATGTTGCAGATGGACTTCGCCATTTTAGCCGATGCCACTGGTCTTCCCTAAGACAGCTTCATGATCGTCACACTGCCCTGCAACATCCATGCATCTCTCAAGAGGGGTCCGGCCACATTTGTATTGCCATGGCCCTCCATCAAGTGATTAGTTACAGATCAAGGAACAGTCGACCGTCATTGGATACCCAGCTAATCTCACTATTGATACCCTTCCGGGTCAAAATCCCGAAGAATTTGAGAACAATGAACATCCGTAACCATATATGCATAGTGGCCGTAAGCTATAATAACACCGAAATCTAATACATACAAATAAACCATATACAAGGCCCATGCCTCGGAACATGAAGAATCGAGACAAGAAAACTATTCTACAGACTGCACACCAGGCACACAAGCCCAGCTGCAGCTAACCCGCTTGAAAGGCAGAGGCCGGAGCTGCTCCCCCGAAACCCGAGGCCTCTTCATACCGTTCTCATGTGGGGTGCAGTCCCACCACTCGGTCCACTTGGCACGAGGAACTATGAATTCCCGCTGACAGATTGAGCAGTGCTGTGCTCCTTCCTGTCGGGCCTGTCGCGCAAGAGAGATCAAGGGGATCACGAGTGCGGGGAACTCCATAAGTTCGAGATCGGTGAGTTGTTCGATGCCGGGGAGCTTGGAGATCGCGCGGAGAGAGACCTCACGGAGTGAAGGGGCTCTGGATGATGGGTATGTTGTGGAGACTGCGTTGAGTGATGGATTCCACTCGAGGGGTCGTCCTTCCATGTCCAAGCGGCTCACTGGTCCCGTTGCGACGTGGATAGGTGTCCATGCATCATCAGGAGGGACACCTTCGTAGTCGCGGAATTTGGGAATGGGAGTAGTTTCCGGAGTGTCTTCTTCAACCTCATCCTCATCTTTAGCATCATTGGGCTTGTCAAATTGGCAGTGCCAATCCACCAGTCCAGATTCGTCGATTGACGGGAATGGATTCGGATGGGCGGTAAAGTGCTTCAACTCTCCTTGCTGCAACAGCCATAGAAGATCCCAGGGTAGTTCATCAAGTCGATTCACGGAGACATTGAGAACTTGCAGTGCAGTCAATTTGCGAATCGCCTCTGGGATCCGTGTGAGCTTGTTATTCCGCAAGCTGAGAACCTTGAGATCTTTCAGATCGAAGATCTCACTAGTATATAGTGTATTGAGGGAATTGTTGGAGAGATAGATTCGGAGGAATGGTTGTAGCGATGAGTAGGCGTTTTCAGATACGGGTGCCTCGTGCAAAGAAGGTAGCTTGGTCAGATGGTGCAGTGGTCGTAATAGACCTGGAGGAATACTCCTCATATTAATGTTTCTGTTCATTGACATGGTTAGAAACCATATCCCTGAGTATCATGCCGTCCTGAAGCTCTTACCCAAGATCAACGCTATCATCGCCCTTCTCCAGACAATCATTGATCACAGCTTTCACATACTTGTGTTCCTCCGACTCGACAGGGCCTTGTAAAATAATGGGACGAGGCTGCATTGAAGCGGACTGTATATCAGACGGTTTAACAAGCAACGGCGCATTGGAAACTTTACTCGGCGCTCGAGGATCAAGCACCGTCTTCAGGAGATCCTCTCCCCAATTCGACGCATCTTCCGACGGCAAAGAAGACTCCGCAATAGATTCATCACTCCCCATCCAAACGCCACTATCAACGTGACGCTTCTCCTTGAAATCAGCCCGCTTCCGTTTGGGATCCGACACCTGTTCTCCCCACCAAGTCCCACGGTACCGACGCTTTCGCCCAGCGCCCGCTACCGGCGCATGGTAGTTCTCCAGCCCAGAAGCGGGAATGTCATCGCTCGAGAACAGCGCCGGGTCACTCGAGGGCTGGCTGGAGCGATCGTCGAAGCGCGACAGCCGGCGCGACCTGCGGAAGGACGATGCGACCGAGCCTGCGGGTGAGAGGCGGGATGGCGAACGGTGTCGAATCCGCCGCGGTGGGGGAAGGGGGACCTCGTTGTCCATTTGCGATCAATGGAGTCGCAAGGAGCGACGAGACACGTTGACCTTGTGTCCCTTTTTAATTCATCCGGAGGGGGCGATTGATGTGTGTTTGGCTTCGGACCAGGAAGGGGTCGCGACGCGTTGTGGACCCCGCGGGGGGAAGTAGTGTCAAAACACACACACACACACACACACACACACACACACACACACACACACACACACACGCGACGTGGGCGCTCTGGAGGAGAAAGATCTCAGGGATATCAATTGGAACAATTGAACAATAAGTCCCTCCAGACAGCGTGGGGAAAGAGAATAAATAAACAAGAAACAAAAAGATGGGTTGGATATATCCGAACAGATACCAAGAGATAAGATCCGATCAAACGACGGACTGCCCAAAGTGGCGGACGCGTGGGCGCACGGCCGTCTCCAGCGGGAGAAGCGGGATGGTTCTCGATCCACAATTCCACTGGAATGTTCGATCGACAGGATCTTCTCTACGTATCAAAGTCTACATTCTGGACATTTCGAACAATTGATCGCATGACCGAACCAAAGATATAAAGGTGTCAATTGATGCCCAGTGGATAGTCGAGTGTAGCTCTTCAGCAAATGGATTCAAATTGATATTCGTATCCGGACTACGCCAACCAAGACAGTATCAGGTATAGCCAGTGCTTCTTTGCTGTAGGTCCCCGAAAACACCATCCACAGTACACTATATGAACAGAAGAAGTGAAGTAGGTAAAAATGGGGGGTTATAGAAGAAAGTAATTCAACATCAACTCGTGTCCACAGAAAATATCGTAAAGGGGGTATTTGGAAGTGTGAAAGGCGTTAAGAAAAAAAAAAAAAGGGCCGTCATCCTCTTCGAAAAAGGGTTCTCCAGCTAACCACAAGGAATCATAAAAAATGGAAGAAAGAAGAGAAATTATCTCAAAATAAAAATGGTAATCCCGGCTCTGCTGGAGAGGAACGGCAGGAGCTGAAGAGAGCACTGAGAAAGTCCAGGCGGATGGGACGAGCGTCGGCGAGCTGCAGTTATATGCCAGGCAGCAAGTCCACCGTCGATTGTTGAGACTCTGCCTGGTCTCAATGGCTGCCTCCATTGATCGCGTGCGCGATTACAGGGCCGCGCCCATAATCAGCGCGAAAGATCCTGCGACCAGAGCCGCTGGCATGCCAGCGCCGAGAGCAACGGCGCCGCCAGTCTTGGTGGCGGAGGCAGCAGCCTGGGTCGAGGACGGGGTGGCAGAAGAGGTGACCAGAGGAGTAGACTTCGCCGAGACGGTCATCACGCTTGCGCTGGAACTGGGGGTTGCAGTGACCGAGTTGACGCGGATCAGGGTGTTGGTGATGGTCGTGGTCGTCACGGAGGTGGTGACATCTTCCGCGGCCATGACCGGGGCGACAGCGATGCAAAGAAGAGAGACAATGGCGCTGAACTTCATTTTGTCGTTTGTTGGTTCAGTTGGATGAGCAATGAGATTTAGGTCGTGCGGTGACGAGAGAGTGTTTGGACTAGCACAGAAGTCTGGCAATGAACCGAGTCACTGCGAAGAGGAGAGAGAGAGAGAGACAGGCGCAAGGCGTAGTAGAGTAGAATAGAGAGAGTGAGAGCAGATCAGGCTTTGAGCACAAATGAGTGGGACTCAAAGACCAAGACTGTGAGGGTAGAGAGCGTTGAGTGCGTTGAAGGGAGTGTGGGCTCGAAATCGAGGGAGAGTGGAAGAGGTATAAACGAGTGACAGGGTACAGGAAGTACGAAGTACTAATACTAAATGAGTGACTGGGGGTGAAGAAGAGTTTTCCGCAAGGCCTAACAGGGGGAAGAAGAGGAAGGATGACAGGGTGTGGTATGCGCCCAGTCTAAATAAATTCCAGGCACGCGAGATTGGCCGCCAACCTGGGGAAAGGGTCATCCGGCCATTCAGGGTCCCCTAATTGAGCCCTCGCTGGCCAGAAATTCGAACTTTCTCGTTCATTTTGGCCATTAATTGATTTATTGCTTTTTTGGCTTTTTATTAAAATTATTCAAAGGATTGCCACTAGTCGATTTGGGGGTGGCATGAGGCTCCTATTGGGCCGATGAGGACGCCGTTCCTGGGACTATCCGAAATAGGGCCGGTCCAAAATCGAACTATGGAGAACGGGGGTGCAATCACGACCCTAACGATGGAGTCAATCCTGCAGTGCTGCCAAGAACCTTACGAAATATGGCCAGGGCCTGGCTGACTCGCACAGACTGTCTCCCACCCGTTCGGCGTCTCCCCGGAGAACTCGAACCTCGTTCTGCGAGGGAGCGGAAGGGGGTGTCCGCTCCAGGGACGTCAATCAGCACTGCACTACTGCAGCATAATCTCAATGCTGTATGACGGTCAATCACCCGGCGATTGGAGACGATCCCAGAGCTATCGGCAGACCAGAGTACATTTGTACTTTTGTTCTATACGGATTACCTGAACACGAAGTCTTCGCGAGTAATGAGAAAACTCAACGGGCAGCCATTATTTGTGACTGCGCGTTTGTTGTTCGAGGCGCAATACGAGATTCTTTCGCCACCCCTGGAGGATGCCATCGGGGGCCATTGGGGGGGTCGCCAGCAGGTCTACCTACCTAAAGTGGACTAGAGAGGCGTAACTGGGGGCGACCTCGATCCAACGGTTGAACGACAGCCACCTGACCAGGGCCCCCGCTGAAACCATTCAGGTATCGAATCGTGTTTCCATACGCGCTCGCAGTTTCTCTTTAATAACGATGCTCGTTGAGCAGCAGATGTGCAGCAGCGTCTCCAGGGCAGCGTCGTGACAGCTTTGGTATTGTTTTTGTTGTTCCGGTATGTTTCCTTTCCAGTCGATGCCCTGTGTGACCCCTGGCGTCATGGATGCAGGAACGGACAGCACGGATCTCTCAGGGCTGGTTGATTCTGATTCGCCCTTGAGTAGTGTAAGCAGCGTTGACGATTTTTTCAGGATGGGCGGCCACTCTCGTCACTGGGGACTGATCGGATTGGCTGGCGGGGTGAAGTACCCGAGATTGGAACCGAATTTGCGTCTCTGTTTTGCCTCGTTCGACTGCTGCCCGACTGCCAGTCCACTCTGCCAGGGCCGGAGTGGCACTTACCCACCAGCCCACAGTGTCGTCGCCCTCCTGCCCAGTGTCCACTAAACACGAGAATTCGCACAAGGCCTCTGGCGGAATTTCGACCGTCCAAAACCCCAGCTTGGCGGAAAACCCACCCGAACGAGTTCGAGCGACTCAGATGCCTGTGCCTGAGACGACCCATGGGACACCCTCCGAGGTCGATCCACTGCACTTGAAGATCGACCTTCTCGCCTTCTTTTTGCGGCTATTAGCGCTCACTGTTGTGAGTCTGGGGGGTTCGAGAACTTGATTGATCATCCCGTCTGGCCCTATGGTTCTGCTTGCAGAAATTTCAACGGTGACCAACGCGAAATGGACGCGAACATTGGAGGGGTGACTTGTCCAACCGCGTAGAGTTTTCAAAGCAAAGTCACTTTGCAGCTTGGGATGACCTGGCTGCCAGCAAACTATCAGGTTCCCAAACCTAAAGATCCATTACGTGAGTGAGTAGCCGTCATCGTTCTCGCGCCGAGGTCCAATGGGACGAAATGTTTCTTGTAGTAGTTGGGTCGGAAAGACGATCTCTGGCCGACTGGTGTCACATCACGCCGGTCACCGCTTGTTCTCCTTGTCCGATCTGTTGAACACGTAGGGGGATCCCGGGCCGGGTCGGGTTCAAGGTTCATGAATCTACTGATGCATATCTTAAGACATCCCCGAGTTACACAATTATATGGGCAAGGCAATCCTGGTAACCGAAATGGCAGTACAATGGCAGCAATACGATAGGTCAAAGTACAGACCATTATTAGGACAAGCTGAGGTCGGCGCAAACCGGCCTCTCCAATATGACCCGAAGGTCTATGGGCTGGCCAGATATGTACGACGTTCTCTATGCGCTAATTGATGGTGATCGGGATGACATCAGCCTTTCAGATCCGTACCTTCATCGGCGTGTTAGGAGATGACTGATGCTGGGATGTACTGCATGTCATCCGCTAATGCCCCTTGATACGAGATTCTTGTACTAAATAGTGCTCTTCGAGAGAAGAATCCATTGATAATGACTAGCAATAGTTGACATCTTTTACTACAGAGTTTCAGAGTCTACTGAAACATGCTAATGGCTCCTACCTAGTTTGACATTCCTGGAGGTTTCATGAAGACCAAACGAACTAGATATCAAGACCATATATCCGATTCCTCAAGGTCAAATTTCTCTGTTTCTATGAAAGTTTAAACGTCGAATGACGTTTCATTTGTCTACTACTCCTGCTAGGGTGAGTAGCGTGAAGAATCAGGAGTGCTGTCTACAGGACACATACATAAAACTCCGATAAAGGCCTGGCAAGACTGACACCCTGGACATTTATGGGAGTTAGGACCGTGAACAGGTGGACGTGAGTCTGTGCGAATTTGAGAATCTGACAAATACTCAGAAAGCAAGTGATGCCTTCTATTGGATGAGGCTTGATTGGTTCTCCTATTTGTAGCCTGTTTCCCTGTGTTTGGCATCACGATGAGTCAGTTTTCCTGATTAGTTATGTATATGACTCTCATCTGCCCTATTCTTGATCAAGCTCTTGAGGATGTATGGAACGCCATACAGTACTGAGTACGATTTGACAATCATCTCGATACAACAATCTTTAGTGTTGACCAGTTTCTGCTTCGTATTTAGTATGTCTTGTTCGCGACACCACCTCACTATCTTCGATCTCACCATCACTTTGGGCATCCCAAATTCATGCGTGGGCTTGCTATTGTTGTTGTGCCAGCCTTCTTGATGCTCAGTAGGTGATAAGGGATCTCATTTAGTGCAACCGAGGCACTAAGGTGTGTTATCTCGCTGTATTTTAACAAAAGACAGAACTCCACTAATCACTTTTCCAGAAAAACAAGTGCGATATAATTGTATGGAAACATCGCGTTCGGAATCAATCAGGCTTGATATAGGGCGTGTCTGCGTAAAGCCTTTTGATCTAGCTCCACCTTTCCAGGCAGGGTGGTTCCTCACCTGCCTCCAAACCGGCGCACTCATATGAGAACTCAACTCCTAATACAAAGCTCACGAAATGACTGCCAGAATACCCAGGTTATTCAATGGCTTTCAATGGCTTTCTCAATGGCTTTCCCAGCAGCCGATGCATACCAAGTTTGGTCTGACAACAAACTTGGGAGAATGATAGGATCCGAAACCTGCCCGCTCTAATCGCTTTAGCAACACTCTGTCACTGAATTCTAGAACCCATCCATGATATTCTGTCTAGGAATGTTCCTGGGCTAACGATGTCGATTTGTCTATTGACCAAGGTGTGAGACGGGGTTCATTGAGAAAGTATACGAGATGCTACATAGTGTAGACTTGGGGGTACTCTGCGTCCACAGCAACATGTCTAGTCCTATGTCGCTCCCAATGGAATGGGATTGAAGCACCTTAACGATTGAATCAGGCTATTCCTACGAGGAAGTGATGCTTCATTAGCAATTTCTTGGCAAAAGTGTTTCGCTGCTAGTTATACACGCCCTGGCCTAAGGTTCAGCACATCTACCGTGCTTTTGGCTAATTAGACCACTTCACTTCTACTTCTGAGCAAATGAAAGCAGCTTAGGTACCATGATATCGATGATGAACAGATGCAAGTGTACTGTCGACAGTACCTAGGGCACGAGCGTCAACGCCAGGACAAAATACCACCCTGCAGGCCCCAGAGGTGACTGGCATATGTACAGTGTAGGAGTGGAAAGCTAAGGCTTCGCATCCAGCCTGCAGCAGCCACTCTGCAGCCTCTCAACCACCAAAATCCTCGGCCCCAAGTCTGTCAGAACGCTCAAAAGAGAAATGACTATCGTACAAAAACTGCCCCCTTCGATTTGGTCATGTCGCATATCTTCTCGGACAACTGCTTAGAGATATTAGAGATTGACGAGATTATTGGCGCATCTGGCGCAGAGGGCTCTGGCGGGGGAGCATAATAGGCGGGCCTCGAGCGCGGAGCCAGGCATCGTTGTGGGGTCCCTCCGTACGGATAACGCTGCCGATGGACATAAAGAGACTGCATATCAAAAGAAAGCTTTGATTAGCTTGCTATACTCAGACCGAAGGCGGTGATGGGAGAAGAAGATAGAAATACCCGAAAGTGGCACCAGAACCCAGCATGTACTTGCCCAGAGTACGCATGACACCGTTGGGGCCTGCGCCGTACTGGAAGATGGTCACCGTTCCTTTGTTTGGTTAGCTGGTATGACTCCAAGCTTCACAAGTTGTTGGATTTTCATGTCACATACCGATAATGAAGCCCATGATTCCACCGACAGCTATTTGTTGAGTGTCGCATTAGCAGGAGCTTTTATAGTAGGTATTGAATTTTGAAGTTGGGCCAGGCCATCCTTTAGTCACGTACTGGATCCCATCATTGCACCCATTTTCACTAATCTCTTGTCAGCTATTTGATCTCTCAAACCCGGCGTTGAGCTGCTCCAAGCGTGAGCTCAGTTGACAACATACTCTTGTCGAAGGTCGAGGGACCAACGGGACCCCCTGCGGGAGGAGCTGCAACAACGGGCATCGTGAATGAACGATTGAAGCTCTGATTTGAAACCACAAAGTTAGAGCTTTTGATTGCAGCCCAAAGTATTGACACAACTCACGAGTGCGCTTCGATGATACTGTCAGACGAGAACAGGCGCTTTTTGCTCAAAGCGCATCACGGAACCTCCTCTCTCCACCTTTGACCTCACCGCCTTTCCACGTGACCATAACGGCCGCTCTCACAGCACGTGCTGATAATGCACGTGACCATGCTTGACTGGAGGCGTCAAGGGAGCAGGGACCAGACCACTCTCCTCTCCTTGGGCGATTTCCTCTATGGCCGACCATCCCGGATCCTTGATTTTACCCTCGTTACATCGCTGTTAGGGTGGCCTTTGAGCCTACAGCAAGGCGGCAGTCCGTCTTGTGCTTCATTCATTGCCCTGGGACGGTGTGAGACATCGGTCGCTGCTCACGTTTCGGCAAGACCTCACACGCCTCCTTGGCCTGGAGCACTGACTTTCTACCCCAGCCTGCGACTAGATCTACTTGAAACTACTATTTACGGGTAAGCTTGTCATCTATCGACATCTTTTAAACAGTCTGATGGCTCGACTCCGGGTCCTCGGGCCTGTGGACTCGATTAATTGTTTGGCTGCCGACCGAAAAGCGCTAACGCGACCGTTCTGGAACTAGCCGGCCGTCCACCAAAACCAAAAGCCCTTGCACGCGTATCACAGCCCTTCTCCTCCATAATCACTGCCGAATCTTCACGACTGCTTCTACATTCCTCTCGCCTTAACCCGGGGGCCTTCCATCAAGGCTCTCCCAATCCGTGACCGTCGATCCCTGCACAGATATCCCATTGTGTCCTATCAATCTCAGGCAACCTTCTCCATGACTGCTGTGGCATCTCCGCCTAGTGTGCAATCGGGGTCTCGCTTGGGATGGTATAGCACTGGCAACGGAGGACAAGGAGCCCTCTCTTCAGTGAATGCGGAAGAAGTGTCACGGATGTTCATGCCCAGGAAACACGTTCAGCGGTCCAACTCTTCGTCCTCATTGAACTCAAACTCTTCGACGTCTACGGTAGTAGCGACGACTGGCTCACAAGATACCCATTCTGGTCAGAGTTCCAACTCCGAAACAAGTACGTGGTCGTCAAAGAAGAAGCCTATTAGGAATCCTTGGCCAAGCTCGAAGGCCGAACCTGTTGCTGGAGTGACGAACACACGATCCCAGCCTGTTCCTGCGTTCTCATCTGGACCTACGGCCTCGTCAACTATGTCCGCCATGCACCAACCTAATATTGTACCCTCGCAGAATATGCTGCAATCCTCTCCACAGAATGGCGTAAGACAAACGAATGGGCAACCTGCAGCAGAACCACCCGCGATTTTGGCCCTTACCCCTATGAACGGCACTTTTGAAAAGAAACAGATCAATGTGCCATTCTACCCTGAAGTTCTGCGAATCGGCCGCCAAACCAATGCGAAGACAGTACCCACCCCAGTTAATGGGTTCTTTGATTCCAAGGTTCTCTCTCGTCAGCATGCTGAGATCTGGGCTGACAAGACCGGCAAAATCTGGATTCGTGACGTCAAGTCATCGAACGGCACATTTGTCAATGGCCACCGGTTATCGCTCGAAAACCGCGAGTCCGAACCTCACGAGCTCCGGGAGAATGATACCCTGGAACTGGGAATTGATATCGTCAGTGAAGATCAAAACACCATTGTTCACCACAAAGTCTCTGCAAAGGTTGAACATGCTGGTCTTTATGGAACAACACCCAATATCCTGGACCTCAATTTTGGAGACTTGGACCCTGCCTCAGGCGGGGGCCTGCTGCCTTCACCTCTTAGCCAGCCCCTCTCTCACCTGCGAGGTCGCTCCGGTAGTAATGTGAGCAATCGCAGCGCTCAAAGTAACGCTAGCAACCACATCAATGCCATGCACCAGCAGCGCCAGATGAATTACTGGAACTCCCCAATCTCTGTTGAGCAGGTCGTCAAGAGACTCACTGTGAGTTCCCCTGGTCATTCGCCCAAATCTTATGTCTGCTAACTGACACTTCACAGAGCGAGCTGAAACAAGCCAAACAACAGTCCCAAGACCTTCGTCAAACAGATGACTTCCTAAATGCGATCATGAAACCTGGCTATGCTGAGAAAGAAAAGGCTAGCAAGCCTTCTCCTCTTGAGAGCAGTGGCCCTCGCCAGTTGAATGGTCGTCCGAAAATGCCTCGTGTCGACTCCTTCTCCAGATTCTCCGATCCTCCCGCCCCCCTCCCCAGCAACCTCTACCAGAGAAGCCAGACGCGCCACCACGCGGTGGACCGGACGCATTCTCGCCCTTGAAACGTAGCGAGACCGAAAAGCCGAAATCGGCGTCGAATTCTCCAGTTTCCCGTGACTCCAGTCAGATTCTTGCCCTCCTTGAGACCTTGTCCACAACCAAGCGGGAACTCGAGACACAAGGGACTCGGATTAAGGAGCTTGAAGACCTTCTTCGTCGGGAGAAGGCTGCTCGTGAATCCGCAGAAGAGAAGGTCAAGAAGTTGGAAATGGACACGCTGTCAGAGAAGGTGGACAATGGGGATGCTCCCGCAGAGCGTGACCTTGATGCCTCTTTGGATCATGAACCTTCAGTCGACTCGGAACTTGATGGCCCGGAAGCAACAGTCCAGGCCAACGGATCAATTCTGTCTTCTGAGGTTCCTGTGGCCTTGGATCCTGAGAAGGCAGAGCTTTCTACTGAGGCACAACTCCAGCATCGCCTCGAGTCAGTGATGCAACAGATGGAGGAGATGAGCAAGCAGATGGCCTCTTTCAAGGAGCGCGCCGAAAGGGCCGATAATGAGAACGTTGAGCTACGCAAGTCATTGGCGGAGATGATCGAAACCATCCGCAAGGAGCGTGCCGAGAAGGCTCCGACTGCTCTCACCAACAACGAATCTCACACTCAGGCCCATGATTCAAGCAAGGTCATTTCAGGCCATGCAGGCTCTGCCGAGGATGGCGCAGTGGCGCGCATTGGCGACTCATCAGTGGAATGCTTTGAGCCAGTTTCCAAGGGTCAACAGATGGATGCTGCAGGCACGGCAATTGCGCAATGGCAACGTCGCCACTACCTAGAAGAAGCAAGCCCTTATGCATCTATGTTGGGAGTAGTCCTTCTTGGAGTAGGTTTGATGGCCTACCTCAATGGCTGGCAAAAGATGGACAAGTGATTGTGACCTGGCAATCTGTGTGCGCTCCCATTCTTGTACCCCACTTAACGACTCGTTTTCATCCCAAAAGTTGGCGCCTTAGACAAGGTTGCTCAGCATGACCTTCCTCATTCCCCGTGATTCTCTCTTCCTCCTTTGACGATTTGATTCCTTCATTGTTCTGTGGGCGTCGTCCGCCATTCGAGACGTCCTGACCGCGTGATCCATTCGTGTTTCTCGGTGTTGGGTTCAGAACCGGAACATCTTCTACTGCATACCTTGCATACTCTGACTCTCTCTCTTGTCTTTTGCCTTATCATGTTCCCCAATCCTAATTCGCACCAGTCATGATCTTGGCGCCGAATGTCCTGATCCTTACTACCCGATTCTCTCATCCAGTTTTGTCTTCCGACACCCCCTGTCACCATATCCAGTGTCTCATCGGCTCAGCCTACACGGTCCCTTGCCTCCTCTATCTTTTTTTTTCTTGTCATTACTAGCCTTTGCGTTCTCAACATTGGCATATGTCCCCTTCCCCTGTACATGATGGAAATTAGCAAGGCTGTGTTCATGGCTTGAGGTCCTTCGTTGATAGCCCTTTGACTAGGGTACTTCCTTTGCAAAGCTCCTGTTTTCATGTCATACCAGCGCGTTCTTTGTGGATGTATTCACGGGATTTGTTTTTCTGCGTCTGCTTTTTTAACGTTTAATGATTCATCTGGTCGGCGAGATCACCGATCACATTTGAAGTATCTCCTTCCTTACTAGGGAACTGTATAAACACTGCTGGGCACAACGAGTGCACCCGTATGAATCCATCTGGAGATTGATTCCAGATGGTTCATAGATGCGCCTCATTGATCGTAAACCGCGATGAGCTATGACCATCGCGTAAGGTCCTCGCTTGAGGACATGATCACGAAGAAACATTTCCATTCGTCAAATAGCCAAGATTGACTCCTCAAATCACCATGTTTGACTCAGCATTGATTTGCAGTTTTAGTGGCTCATGTTAGGGGCGGATTTAAGGGCAAGGCAGTTTCGCGCTGTGGAGCACAGGGCTGCGCTAGCTATCAACAACATGGCTTCATCTTTTCGTCCCTACGAGAAGATCCTGCCTCGAGAGAATGTGTTATTTGATGGTATATCTCAAACATTCGTTGGATTCGCTTTCCTTGACATGTGCTTCTAATCAGTGTCAGTACCGTGGGCAAAGCTTCGAGACCCAATTCTCGTCTCCTTTGGGCATGCGGCTCAACAAGGCTGGCGCACTAACATGTCTCCCTATGACCACTTGGCGGCGCATGGTGCCGGCTTAAGTTTGTGGGGAGGATCATCCTAGTCATTGGGCACTGCTCCTTGTTTGCGAAAGGATCAACAAATGAGCCTGCCCCCTCAGGCAATCCGAAACCCACTCACTGCAGCTAGCGGTCCTTTGGCCCCAAGCATCCCATATGGGGGCGGCTAATATTAGGGCTGTGCTTGGAAGATTGGTCTCCCTACAGACCTGGTATTCCCCTCAGCAAGTGGGTAGAAATAAAATAGCTGCTAGATCCTCTCTCTTCTTTCCGTTTTGTTCTCTTCTTAGAATAACTCTACTTGAACTTGTTGCAAACCAAAAAGACATTTTCTACCCCAGAACGCCCAGCATGCAGATCGTCTCTAGTATTGCACGATTCTTACAGGTATGTATCCCCTCAATGGACTCTTTTCTACAGTCTCCGAACAAAGCTAATTAGTTATTTACTAGATCCTCTTCAGCGTTGTTGTGCTGGGTCTCTCTATCACTTTGGCAAGACAACAAAAGTATGGAAAGGTCCCATCTCAGACCAGCTACGCTGCTTTCACTGGGGCTCTTGGTATCATTGCCTCAGTGATTGGTATTGTCTCTCTCTTCGTCGACCGGTTAAGAGGTGTCTTTACCTGGGTTCTTGACGGCGTCACTAGTATTGCCCTCTTAGCTGCGGGCGTGGTAGGTACACCTATGCATCTCTTGGCTTACGGTCCATATATTGACAGAAGCTCAGGCTTTCTCGGTGGCCCTCAAGGGTGTCGACTGCAATAATACTTCGACTGATGGGCCCAGTTGGGACAATCCCCTAATCAGCGGGGGGTGCTACGTGGATAAGGAGGGCACGAAGTGGTGTGCTGACAAGTACAAGGTGCATAGCCGTTGCGTTACTGCCGAGGCTGACGCTGCGTTTATGTTCCTTGCCTTCCTTGCTTGCATTGGTGTGCTTGTCGTTTCTTTCCTTTCCCGCCGCAACTAAGGAAACACTCTCTGGGCTGTGCTATGCATATTGGCTTGGTTTACTAGCCGGTAGCCGTGGCATTGGGGCAGGTTGTAAAACCTCCTTGCCATACTAGCTTGGTATTAAGTCATGATGTCGGCTTCCTCTTGTGGGCGAGACTTCTTTACGATCGTTTGATATTCGCTTGCTCTATACCCAAGCTAGCTTCACAATAATTAGGCTAGCAACGACACCATATTGAATTTTTTTTATCAAACGAAAATAGTTACAATTTTCATTTTCACGAATGGCAATTAAGAATAAGGAACCAAGTCGGGGCATCATATTAATAGCACAATTACGAGCACCATCGATAACCTAGTTTCCGCGCTGGTTAATGGCAGTAGTGTCTTCATAGTCTGATCTGTGGACGCGAGGATCCAGCTTGTTGAGCAAGTTGGAGCTGTGTGGACCAGAGCTTCTTCTTCTGCCAGAGGCCTTAGGCGCGTTGTAGCTGCTACCACCAGCCGCGGCACCACCGAAGTCCTGCTGGTCAGAGCGGTTCTCAATCTGGTTGGCCATGTTAGTGAAGCCGGTGTTGTAGGTGTTATCTCCGCTATCCATGGTGTTGCCCCCAACGGCGCCATAGTTGGAGCCGTAGCCGCCAAATTGGCCGGCAGGGTCGGTTGTGGAGGTCGTAGTGCCTCCATAGGTCCCGCGGTTACCTGAAACATGTCATGTCAGTCTCAATATTCGTGGGTGTGACCCGACAATGCTATCGTACCAAGACTGGTATCGGCAGGGGCGTTCATCTCGTTGGCCATCTTAGATTCATTGAGACGAGAGCCTGTGTTCATGTTTCCGGATCCGTAACCGCCTGGTTCAATATTCTGGTCCATTGTGGTGTCACGGTAGGGGTCAACGGAGCCCATGTTGTCCATACCAGCGCGAGTCGAACCGTAACTGCGAGTGGTGTCTATAAAAAGTTAGACAATGTTGCCAGTCTTGCGGACACATATGTACCATTCATTCCGCTGGCCATTCTGGTAGAGTCGGGGAGTCCGCTGGAAGCACCCAGACCCGCGGTAGTGGAACCGTAGTTGTCACTGGTCTTCATCGTATCCCTCATAGTGGGGTCACGAGTGGCCGAGTCGTAGTTGGTAGTGCCGGCAGTGGTTGCACCATAAGTGTTGTCAGAGCCTAATCATATATTAGTCGAAACAACGTGTGCTTGGGAGCTGTTCATATTCTCACCTTCCATTGTACCTCCCATGTTGGAAGGACGACTGGTGTCACTGGGATCTACTAGTCACATAAGACATAAGTATTCATTCAGCTCACCGCCAAGCACAGATAATCTGACCGTTGACGTTGACCCGGTTCTCCATCTTGGACGGATCATTCTGTGACCCTTTGTTCTGAGGGTGAAGATGGCCGTTGAAAGCATCCTTGACTTTGTGCATAAAGTTCGACATGATGGCGAAGACGTGGAATCGTTGAAAGTGGAATTAGGAGAAGAGGAGTGGTGGTCTGAGATCAAATGTACGTTTGTAGAATCCACAGACCTAGCGTTTGTAACTGTACGCAGGATGGGGTTCGTGGGTTATAAGTTTACCAGTATTCCCTGCCTCCACAGACGCCTGGCTGTTAATGGAGTTCTGTGACGACATTGTCAGAGGTAAAAAAGCGAATGGGAACCGTTGAGATACTGTAAAAGTTGGATCGATTGTCATGACGTGCTAGTAGAACCTTTCGAAACGTGGGATAAGCATCTATCTTGGGAGATGTTAAGCCTCCCGTGTCATGGGTCATCAGTTGCGGATGGACCAAGCTCACACTGACCACTAGGACAAGGGTCTTCAGTAGATCACTCCCCCCAAGAACTCAATTAATAGTACGGGAGTGGAAGAGTCTGCCCATCAACCAAGGACGGTTCTTAGCTTGCTCCCATGGGTGGTGCTGGGTTCTGCCAGTGAGTTCAGAATCTGCTGTTACGGTACCGTTACGGATCGGTACGGATAGTACAGTGGCAATTCAAAAGTCTGAAACCAGAGACCAAGAAAGAAGACCATCTAAATACGCTTCAACTTTATGTTTTTAAACAGATCTTTCTGAATGCCCTTTTTAGATAGTCCGCGTACTACTTCTCAACCTGCCTTGCAAAGTATGGCTGATGAGATGATTTCAAACTTTCCCGGGTATTGCAAACTTGTGGAACCCCACCGTACTATTGTATCCTACTCAGAAGTATTGTCTACTTTTGACCTTGATTCGAACACAAGACTTATCTGTAGATTTCTTGTTTTGCTGATAGCTTTTTGCGAGCTACAATAAAGTAGCTCGCCTTGGTGCGGATCCGACTCGATATCAATTTCCATTGTAACGAGTACCTACTGTCTGGGGCAAGTGGATCAGCAGCCCAAACTACTTTTCCTAAGCATAGTACATCTCGAACCTTCGAACGATATCATGCCTACCCTCATCATCATATTGAGCTGAAGCATCATACTATGCTATCGTTATACATGGAAGCTACAATTGCACATACAGCCTGCTGTTATTCATACCTAAATTTCCGCCCACGACGGCTTCAGTAAAGAGAAAGAACCGCGATTCCATCTACCGGGGGCCAAATACCCCCTAACTTCAGTGGAAAATGAGAGTATCTAGCCCAATGAGTGAGAGAGTCGTGAGCATCAACAAGACGGTACTGTGGCAGTTGTTAAACTAATTTTAAGCTTATCCATTTTGTTTACCTGAAACCGAGCTGAAACCGAGCAACAATTCATACTAAGAAGCTTTCTTCTTTAGTATTTATTCGGTCTTTGGAGTAAAAGATGGCAGTGATGTCAACTTCTCCCTTCTCAACATGAGTGATCGCTCGTGATTCGAACTAAAGTTAATGCCTGAAGGCCTGGCCTCTATCAAAGTGTGATGGCATGATCGGCAGAGAAAGCGGGCACCGACATCTTAGGCGGGCGGGGAGAACTGCAAGCCGATGGGGCCGGGGCCCAAACTTGGTACTGGAGGGGCTTTGATACAATGCTAATTAAACCCTGATCGCCCAAACCTATCACATGTTATTGTATTTAAGAAGATCGGAATATATCAGACGATAAATCATTTATAACTAATGACTATCTTGTACTAAGGGACTAAGACGTATTCTATAGTTCAGACCATCCAACCGAGCACAGCGTGCGTCATTGCCTAAGGCAGCAGACACATGACCAGAGGGTTATGCCGTCACTGGGTTACATAATCCATCAGTTCGTGGTCCTCTCCTTCTCCACCCCCGACTATCTTCATCATCCCCTGCCACCGTCCCCTATATTTCCCTTGTCGTTCGGCATCTGCGTGCCTTTTACCGCGTGTCGGTTTGTTTTGACCAGCGGTGCTGCTCAGTGTCCTCGATGAGTGGTCCCTCCTCTCTGTGCCGCCAACCGAGGGATTGGTACATAAAGATCTGAGTGTGTCAACGTTGTCAAACAGCGGATAGCTAGGCATCCTCAATCGTGTGCTATTCGAGCATCCATTATTCTCCGGCCCATTTGCCCTTTTGTCCACTCATCTATTTCTGTGCCTATACACCGGGCTTATTTGCTCAAAATGCGTCCACCACGTCTCCTCCTGATACTCTTCTGCCTAATCTTCTTCCCGATCTTCCTCACCCTCTTTTCCGCGCTTTCGTCGCCTACTGTAGCGACCCCCAATACGCTCGCTGGTCGGACGTCCCGGCTGCATGCCCTATTTTCATTCAACGTTCCATCGTCGCTCTTTCCTCCGTCGGCCATTATCAGCCTCACCGATGACAACTCGACCTTTTTCCTGGCCCGCCCTGCGGCATTTGGCCCGCTTCTACCCGGCAAAGGCCTAAGCGGCCAACTGTGGGTTGGAAGTGGCTTTGGTGAAGGTGGCTTGACTGCTGGGGTGGAAGGAGAGCTGGGTTGCTCTGATATTCCCGGCTGGGGCGAAGGCAACGGTGCCAAGAACCAAGACTCGGCTGCCAGGGGCAGCGAGCAGAAGTCCGGGAAATCTGGAAGTGGTGCAATGAACGACACGCCAGCCTCACAGAATCGCGCCCGCCTGCCCGCCCAGGCCGAAACCGCCAGACAAAACGATCGAGCCGACGTCGCGGCTCCTCCCTCGTTGAACGATGGGACCGACGATCATTTACATCATCCGCTGACTGATTCCGGTGTTTCGGATGCTGGGGCGGCTCAGAAATACGGAGACTACGTTCAAGTCAAGCAGTCTACGCACGCCGATATCCAGTCATTACAGGAGACTGCTGAGATTCAGGGCAACGTTGTGTTGCTCAGTCGTGGTGGCTGTGGCTTCCTTGAGAAGGTCATGTGGGCCCAACGCCGTGGAGCGATTGCAGTGATTGTTGGCGATGATACCCGGGGTGGTAACTTGGTTACCATGTATGCACGGGGTGATACTTCGAATGTTACCATTCCAGCCCTGTTCACATCCTATACTACTGCACACCTTTTGTCGTCGCTGATTCCCGCGCATTCTGGTGGAACTACTGGTCTGGGCGACGCCTTGAAATCCTTACATGCCAAGATTGCTGGCCAGGCCAACGCAGATACACAGAAACCGGCAACGGTCACGACTACTAAGGCTACCAACGTTCCCTCGTCGACTTCTACTTCCGTTTCCAAGGACCAGTCTGCCGTTCCTTCACATTCGAATGGGGGATTCTTCCGTACTCTCGGCTCATTGTTTGGCCTATGCAGCAAGCATGGAAGCTCAGGACATCAAGAGGACAGCCGTCGACCACCAAGCAGCGGCAATATTGATTGGCTCACACCGGGTTCGTGGGATAAGTCTGAGTCTTTATCAGGCTCCTCCAAAGGCTCGATGAATTCGAACCATCACAACCGCGGCAACGTTAATGATAATCCGATCTACCAAAAACTCGAGCTGTCATCTGAGGATGATATTGGTGGAGATGACTTTGTCATCGGCGTCCAGGACTGGAGAGATCCTGATTTGATGTTGCCAAAGAGCAACACGCTGCCCGCGCCGAGTACCTCAGTGAGTGGCAAAGATGGCACAAAAACCTCTGCTCCGGACGCAGACCCAGGGTCGCCGTCCAATTTGCTTCGAGGTGGCAGCATCACTCCGGGAAGTGGTGAATACCAGAGCATTGATAAGTTCACTGGTAATGTTCGTGACACGGACTCGAAAAATGCCGATAAGGACCCCAACACTGCAGGCACATCATCGGGTTCCTCTGGCAAGGGTTGGTTCTCAAGCCACTTCGGGTGGGGCGATGAGACAAAGCAGCCTGCACAGCCTTCTTCAGCCGCTACCCAGAGCGCTGCAGCAATGAATCAAAAGACTAAAAACGCGATTTCATCGTCAAGTCCCTCAGCCATCATGTTCTCAGAGCACGAGGGTCTTTGGGTTACATTGACCCCCACCAGCATGTCGACAAGCCCCTTCTTCGACACCCTCCTAGTTCTGGTCATCAGTCCATTGTTGACGCTCACCGTGGTATATGCCTTGTTGTTGCTTCGATCTCGAATTCGACGTCGCCGGTGGCGCGCACCCAAATCAGTCGTTGAGCGCCTTCCTGTCCGAACATACCACACAATTGCTCGTACATCTTCATCATCATCCAGCTCAAGCTCTCCAAGGCCCTCAAGTCCCGGAGCTGTCTCACCAACGTCACCGCTGCTCGGCCACGAACGTCGCTCGAATCATTCCCGTCCGACACGGTCGCGCTCTCAAACAGTTGCCGGTGTTCTGACAGACTCGTCTTCATTGCCCAAGGAAGAGAAATCGGCAAGTGTGCAATCGGGCTCAATATTGTGGAGACGCAAGTACACCGGGAGACAAGTGGAATGTGTGGTCTGCCTCGAGGAATACGTCGATGGACAGAGCCGCGTGATGAGCTTGCCATGTGGCCATGAATTCCATGCGGAATGCATGTAAGTATTCCAATTTGTCGTTTGTCTAATCGCTTCGTATACTAATTCAATTGTAGTACGCCATGGCTTACCACCCGCCGACGAACCTGTCCGATCTGCAAGGGCGATGTCGTTCGCTCAATGACCCATTCTCAACCTGAAGATTTCCATAACCAGAACGAATCTTCCACCAATCCCCAGTCCCAGGACGCAGACCACCGGTCTGATCCCACCGCTGCACCCGTTCTCATTGCCGGAGTCGACGAAGATGATGCCTCTGACGACGAACAGAACGTGGGCCTTCTTTCTGGCCACTCGAGCTCGACCCCACAGTCCAGCTGGCGAAACCTCGCTTCGCTCAGCTTCTCCGCCCTTAGTGGCGATACAATCTGGCACCAAGCCCGTGCGGACCGGAACCGCTAATCACACCCTTGATTTCTTGTGTCTATTCTTTTTCCCCTCTCTCTACTTATCTTGCCCAGCCGTTTGCAGGGCATCGGTCTGATTTCTTGGCGCATGCTGTATTAGCGATCGTTTTGATTCCCTTATGACTTGAAGGTGCAGGGCGTTTAGTGGGTACATCTCGGGGTGCTTGACGGTTACCACGCACTTGTGAGCATGGTTGAGGCGGCGGGACATACCGCGGGTCGATCGTTTAACCCCATTTTCTTTGGTTACTAGAGAGCCCTCGAATTGATACCATTGCTGTTCTAGTCATTCTTCTGGATTTTCTGTTGTAGATCCCTCACCGTGACTATAAGATAATGTTTCACGAAATGGTTTGAAACCCATGTTTACTACTACCTCCAACGTACATTCACAAAGCCTGACTGGTAAAATGTTGAAGATATACTGATCCTGATTGTAAGTCATCCATATTGTACCCACCTAAACTAGAGAGCAGTCTAGGTTACCCACCATGCTCTATCTCTCTTATCCGGTATAGACATTCCCAGCAACATCTGCAAATACATCCAACGCATGCGCAAATTGATCACGAACAAGGCCAACTCGCGAAACCATATCTCGGCCCATCGGCAGGAAGCGTTCAGTCTCGTGGCCAGCTCCAACCCCGTCACCGACCGCCACTTGGAAGATCGCCCTGGACGCCTTATCCTTATCGCCATCTCCGACAAATTCATCGCTCTTGACTGCATTCATCATCTGCTCCGCTACTGATCCCTTATAATCGTCCAGCAACGGGGCTTGCGCGATCGAAGAGGCATTGCCGATGTTTGTATTGAAAGTGCCCAACCACACTGTCAGTAGGCGAATGTTGAATGGAGAAACCTCTTTGGCGAGAACACGTGTCGAAGCTACTCAGATGATCGTAGTCAGTCTTTAGTCGTGCACTTGAATCTCCATGTCATGACGTACCATCCAGTGCAGCTTTCGCAGCCGCATACCCTCCCATACTATCGCGGCCATCCAACGCAGCACCGGAACTAATGTTCACAATGATTCCGAAGCGTCGCTGACGCATGCGAGGAACAAGCGCTTGGATCAGACGACTGGGTCCGAAGTACATTGTCTCCATTTGTCGCCGGCGCTCCTCATCCGAGAGTTGCTCCACGGCCCCGAACAGAACGTATCCAGCGTTATTAACCAGGACATCTATCTTGTGTCCCGATGCCTCCAATCTCCCCACGAGAACTCCTGCCGCGGTCGCATCGTCCACATCGAGCGCGTGCCATTCACCGCCATTCGCCTTGACTTCCGCGACGAGATCTGGGGTACGGGATGGCTGTCGAGATGTTGCAATGACCGTATGTCCATGCTGCTGAACTTCGCGAGTCAGTGCAAGACCAAGACCAGACGAGCAACCGGTAATGAGCCATGTCAGCGGGCGGGAAGGCTTGGCGAACATAGTAGTAGACATGATCAATATTCCGAATTTGTTGGACACGGTCGAGAATAAAATCTGCTTGTAGTAACAAAGAAAGCCCCTGTGATAATTCTTCACAATTCTCCTCATCAAACCCGGCCAAGCAAGTCCCTTTTATACTGCGAATCTGATCCCGCAGTGCCCGCCGCGTTCCTAGCAGGCCATTTGGGGTTCGGATGGATTTAGGGCTTCAAATGCGGAGTTTACGGTGGGGCCGCCGGCTAGATTGGAGTATGCTTAACTTTGCTCCAACGTCCTCCCATGGAGAGATAATGGCTTTCCCTTGTTGCAGAGTAATTATCTCCGCAATCTGCGTTTCCAATGCTGTGTTTTCAATGCTGGGTCCCTCGAATAGAATGCGTATTTCTGATTTGTGCATGGTTCTTGTCTGTGACTGTCCTCTTGCTATCTCTGTCTGAATGCGTTCCATGCCGTCTGCCTCAACCCGTGGAAGAACGACGGCACAGCGCCCATGAAGCTCGATAGATCGTTATGGAACGTCCACACTAGTTCAAAGCAGGTCAGCCAATTGAAATTCTAACAATTGCTCGAGTTCCAACTGTGAATATGGAGATGCTCGAATCATTTCTGTCTGTCTGTCAATGACACCAAGCTCCTTAGCATTGTAAGACCACTCAATGGTGCAAATAGGCCTTCGTAATCAATCTCCTGTAGAGAATTTCGTGAGATATTGCCTCCATCGTCTGGAAGTCGCTATTTTCGAGACCGGCAAGTATGAGTGGCCTCAGGAAGGCACTCCAGCACGCCCAATTCGGTCGTTGTGGCCTAAAGATGGTATGGCCCCGTAATGATGTCGTCCGTCGTGGGACCGTATTCACCATATAGATGAACATGAGGGAATACGTCGTCGCGACAGGCGGGCCCGTATTGTCGTCCAGCCGGTGACCCTTTTTATACGCCCTCAACTTTTCTTCCTCTCAATCTTTTCTTCTCTTCTCCAACTCTCACGACCAGACCTGCCGCCATGCGCCCCGGCCTCCGCAAGAAAAGTAAGTCAAAGACTCCCTGGTACCGAGTATCTCCTGCTACCAGGCTGATGTGACTCGGTTACTTGCATGGGCTGACAACCTTTCAGATAAGCAGCACAAGCAGCGGCGCCGCGAGCGCAAAAGGCCAGGCTCGCTGCTGAGAGCTTGCTGGCTGCCGGCCCTGGCGGTGATATCCAGGGACCACCAGAGGTACGTATAGTAGTTCTATATCCCGTTCATCAGGATTGCTGCTTGTTCCATCCAAACGTGATGCCTTTTGTCTGAACATGATACATTCCACGCCCACACTCAGGAGGCAGCGACTGTTGATCCCGTTTGATATGCCACTCATCCATGGATCTTCGGTCATGGCTACTTGAGCTAGGGATCGATTGGATTTAACCCAAGCTTGCCATGACTTGGAAGTATCACCTGAACATGCTACTTTCCGAAATGCGGGTTGCTTATAACAGGTTGTTTCTGACACAAGGCTTGTAGGAAGAGGGCAAGATGGCGTCCCAGCCACAGCCAGATGTTGGGGGGTCTGCTGTCCAGGTTAGTACACTTTGTTCTTAATATATGGATTGGACTTACAATGATTCTAATTATGTTGTGTATAGACCGTTGACCCGGTATGTTCATACCTCTTTGTTGTGTTATCATTATCAGACTACGGGTTTGGTAGCTCAAGCCCTAAGTCGATTATGATAATGATACAATGTTGCTGCTCATTGTTGTTGATGATATGTACTGACAAGATTCTTAGCAGCAGGGTGTGCATGCCGAGGATGCTGCATCTGTTCCAAGCGAGGAACCGGCCTCGAAGCAGCCAACACTGGGGGATGACAACCCGGAGACCTCATCGCGTGGCGATGGTGGTGTTGATGAGACGCGTACAACACGTCCACGTCCCCTTCGACCAGACGCAGCCTCGTTCAGGCCATCTGGTTCCCTTCGACCAGAGGCGCCCTCGTTCATGCCCTCTGCCTCCGCTCTGATTGTCTCCCCCTCTGTCTCTTCTTCGCGCCCTCCCAATCGGGTGATTGTTGATACCTCTGGTCGCCCACAACTGACCTCTTTTCTTCCCAACTCTTCTTCTTCTTCTCTTCCGCATCCCATCTTCCCACCATCCCCCGCGAGCCATTTTCTCCGGTTCTCTTCTCCTCGGCAGCCGTTCGACAGTTCTTCCGCGTCCTTTGGAAGCACTGTCTACAGCTCTCTGCCTTCATCTCAGAACCCGAGTGCTTCTCGCTCTCAGAATTTCCCTCACCCTTTCTCTTCCCGTCCTCCAGGCCACGCTCGGTTGCCATATCTGAACATATCCCAACAACCTGGCAGCTCCTCTTCGCTTGCGCGGATTCATCCCAACCGTCGTAAGCTCGGATTTTCCTCTGCCTTTGCGAGGAACACTCCTGTCGCCCCTCAGACGACTCGGCAGCCTCACCCAACTGCGAGTCAGACCACCATGCATCGCCAGGGCAGATACGACCAGCGTGCTCATCTTGGAGCCTCTCCAGTCTTCTTCCCCGGGTACCCCCCACCTGGGATGACCTTTTACCCCGGTCCAGTGCCGCCTTACACTGGGACCTTTTTCATGGGACCTCAGTTCCCTCAATTCATTCCCTTCCCTCACCCTCACCCTTACCCTTACCCCCAACCCTTCTTCGCTGGCCCATTTGGGCAGCCAATCCCATTCCCTGTCGGCCCCGGATTCCCTCAACCAGGAGCTGCTGCGTTCCCTGTCGGTCCTGCTGGACCTTACCCTTCCTTCGGCCCACAGTCACAGCCGCAAGGAAACCTGGTCATCAGCGCAACGGGCAACTTCTCGGCCGCATCGAGCAACTTCTGGGCCGCGCCGAACCAGTTCTGGGCCCCGCCTGGCCACATCGCCCTTGGCCCAACTCTCAGCATGCCGCGAGAGATGGCCGTCCCGCAGGCGCCTTCTCAACAGGGCCTGAACCAGTCCGCAGGCAACACTAGCCGCGGTACTGGAATGGGTGTTCCCACCGCAACTGGGACATCCACCACTCGAGGGGCTCGTCCTCTCATCCCAACAGCTGCGGAGTTTCGCCCCGCGTCGGCTCGTGACATGTCGACGAACGAAGAGCAAACTGCCCGGAGCAGTGAGAGCACCGTCTCTCAGAGACCATCTGCGGTGACCCCGCAAACGAGGCCTGGCCAGCCTCAGCGATCACGACTAGTGCCAGTTCCCTGGCAGGTGGCCGCTGCTCGCGCATCGAGCCGCCGTGGCTCGCAAGTTCCGCCGTCTGGTCCGTTCGGCCCATGGGTGAACAACCCAATGGGAGGACCATCGGGGCTCGCGCAACAACACGCAGCCCCCGCAATGGAGATTTTCGGCCGTCCTCAGAATACCGGAATCTCCCAGGCCGTCAACAAGGAGGACAACCAGCAGGGACCGCGTGACGGGCGTGGTGAACCCGTTACGCCCCCGAATGCTGGCCCCGTCACCCCTCAGGGTGCTGCTCCCGTCGTCCGTCAACTCGGCAGCCCCTTCGTGTACCGCCCATATCTGGGCCCCTCCGACAGCCGAACCCCTTGGACCACCCCTTCTCCTCCCCGCACCCCCACACGCAACAGCCTCATTGCGCATGAGGAGTGGCGGGTGCGGAGAAGTGTGGAGGTCCTGCCCGACCCCGAGCGCCTCGAGCGCCAGCTCCAGGCCTTGGAGGAGTACAGGGCACAAGTGGAACGCCGGGCTGAAGAACAGCCGGAGGATCGCGAGGCCAACGTTAGGCTCGCGAGTATGATGGCCGACTCAAGCCATCCTTTCTCGTCCTGGCCGCGCACACCCAGGACTGGCCAAGCAGGCCAAAGACGACTTGCTGATCCGACCGAGCAGCTGGCCGCACCGTTCGACCAGGTTTTCGAAAACCTGTCGAGCTACGTCAACGGGTACTCCAACTACCAGGGGTTACCCCGCGACGCCAACACCGTCGGCATTTCCGACGTCTCCGGGCGCCTCCCTCGCCACCAGCCCAGCTGGCAGCACCGCGCCTACGCCCAGCCTCCTGACTGGGAGAACCCCGAGGTCTTGAATGACCCAGAGATCCGGGGAAACTGGCCAAACAACGCCAGTACGGGGCCCGACAATGGCCCGTCAGGAACAGACCAAGCAACTCCCCCTTGGTCCCTCGCCCTTGGCCCGCCCGTCGTCTCGCAGAGAGACCGGGTCCGCCGCTGGCTGAGCCCCCGGGCCGGCCACGGCTTGAACGCCTCCCCTGAGGCGGCCGACGCCTACCACTGGCGTTTGGAGGACGTGAAAGCCTCGCCTTCGCGTTCGGCCCCTCAGGGTGGCCACCATTAAGACTGTTCGTTCAGTCTTTTGTCAAAGCTGGCTTGCCAGCTTTTGTTTGATTAGTGAAGATGTTGGAGTGGATCTGGAGGAGATCTGCACGGTGACGAAGCAACGACCTTGCAGTGATTCCTCTGAGATCTTTTGCTTTTCTCTGATTTTCGATCAATGTTGCCTTGAGCTTTGTTTTTGTTATTTCTCTTATTCTTATCTCCTTTCTCTGTGTGTGTGGTCCTTGGGAACGGCGCCGGGGCGTGTGCGAGGATGGGATTCGTCCCGTCTTTATACGTGCACTGGCGCTGATCCTGGAGACACACTCACACATTATTTGCTCATTGGCAACATGAGATTCGTTTCAGTAATTTCTTTTCGTATTTCCTTTTGTATTTCCTTTGTATCGTTGCATCGTTTCTCGCGTTCAAGTAGAGTGCATGAGTTGCTGACCCCCTTAGGAAACTCGAGATTGGGGTCGTTATGTCACAGTCGCAGCACGTGACATAGCTTGCCCTGATTACCGCAGCCTTGAATTCTTAACAAGGGCAGAAGCAAGTACTAATGGAAGATAGATGAGCGAGATTGTAACAACAGACTTCGAATAGTCCGAGGTAAATACGGCTCTTAGCGATGATGGCCCTAACATACACATTATTTTGGCATGGGATGAATACATGGAAGAAAATGACCGGTGATTAACGAACACGAAGATCACAGGGCACGATCTACACTAAGCCAGGTATAACGATTACAGCGCAGGGTGTCTCTCAAATCCTTCCTTTCGCCTTGGAGCTCGTTCTAAAGCAGGTGAGACTAAGCCGGGATATTCAAGGTTCAGAGCGAAAGGATCATTAGAAGGGCAACGAAGGATGCAATCTCAGAAGCAGAGGCGCTTCAATTCATCGAAGAAAGAAAGGTATTAGAGGAAGGACAGGTAAAAATACTGATTGGTTAGGCAAACAACAAGCTAGCAAAAGCTAGAAAACAGATTTGTGTATCCAAAAACTCGCCAAGACGCCATGTAGATTGTGCGGGATATGTGATCAAAGCCATATTACAGAGCAAGGGTCTCAGGGAATGAAGTAAGAATAAGTAAAAATAAAGAGAAAGAAGAATTCGTACAGCGAAGAAGTGGTGGAGGAAGGTCCGACTAGGTCTAGTCTAGCAAGACACGAGGTTGATGTGGTGGTCGTTGAGTGCCGCGCATGCGAGCATGGTGCGATGCGGGTGGAAGGCCGTGCCGGCGATGGGGGAGGAGCGGTTATGGTGAAGGAAGCTCGAGTACGGCTCAAAGGTAGAGAGGTATGTGCCATCGACATTGTATGTCTTGACTTCGTGGCGGTTGGTGCCCCTATTGAGAGAAGGTTAGTTATCAAAAGAGTGTAAGCCTGCTGAGGATGGGAATACATACATGCTGAAGACCGGGGCGTGTTCATGAACACTCAGGGTGCGAAGAGTGTCCTTGGTAGCAGAGATGGTCGAAAGGGCACCATTCATGCGAAGATCCCAGAGCCGAATCTCGCCATTGCGGCTGCCTGAGATAAGCTCTCGCAAACCACCTCGTTGCATGTGGACATTGGTGATCCACTGCTTGTGCTCACGCCAGACCTTTACCATGGATGTGGTTGGCTTGAGACGCTGGTCGAAAACACGGACGGCGCCATCACCGAAACCCGCGACGAAAATGTTGCCAGCGACCTGGTCAGATGTCAAGGATGTGATGCAGGAGCCGGAACGTGCGGGGATGTCCTGCAATTAAAAAATTCGGTGTCAACAAACAATTCCGAAGCTTGATGTGAAGTGCATCATGGACTTACATTAGTGCACACTTCGGTAGCTGCGTTCCAAACTCGAATCACCTTGACATCTCCTGCAACCAGAGCTTTTCCTTGTCCCTGTTGCCAGTCAAGCACAAGACCCGCATTACGATTGCTTGGAATCAAATCAGGCAAAGCTCGGAACGCCGTGACGACCTCAATGTTCTTCGCCGACTCATAATGGCGGAACAGTTTGAGCACACCATCAGAGGACCCAGTCAAGAGAAGAGCTTGGTCATCCTCATTGATGTAGCGAACTTCGTTGATCTTCGATCCCACGGGGTTTCCATTAGAGAACTGGTTGAGTCGCTTGTGGTTTTGCCAATCCCAGATCCTGTGCGAGGGAAACAGAGTTAATAGGGATTAACACGATCAGTATCTCTCGCTGGACTTACGCAATGGTATCCCGGTCATCAGCAACCGCAAGATGATCTTCGAATTGGTGGAAGCACATCTTCAACGGCTGGCTGCTGTTCGAGAGAAGGGTGATTGAACTATCCCACCGGCTTGTGCCAGCCTTACCCTTTAGGGGCTGTGTCTCTGAGATAATCTTCTCGTTGCGGCCGCGTCGCCAAAGTCGCTCGTTGTAATCGGAACTGCCGGGTTCGTCGGGTTCATTAGGTTTCATCTGGGGCTCGCGGAAGTACTTTTCGAGCGTAAGTATGGGATCATCGTAAATCTCCAGGGCCTCGTCATAGGTGAGGGATGTGTAAGTAAAAAGTGGGATTACCTCTGTGGACCAGGCTAGGAAATGGCTATGTAGCGGGATAACGGGTGCAACTTCTGGATTCCTAGGTTCAAAGCCTCGAGATGTAGGAGTAGGAGCTTGATGATAAGCGGTTGCTGGAGCGACATGGTCATTGACTTCAGGAGGACGGGTCCATTCTGGGGGAGCACGACCACGGGGTGTCATAGGCATCCGGCTCTTAGAGGTGGGCGAGGGAGGGGCTGAGTTTTCGGAGGAATCGGTCATTGCGCCGCCAAAGGCAAGATTCTTTAAAGAAGCGGCAACACTAGCGGTGCGCCTGAAGCCTAATGAAAGATAGCCTTCTTGTTTGGAGGGCGCTGTCGTTGATGATGGGGGTGTTGAGGGCGGTGCTGATTTCTTCGTCTCCGATCGATCCTGTACCTGATACCGTTGTGACATGCGGCTTGTAAGATCCAGTATCTCGATTCTAATTTTGTCAGCAAGAGCCGACATGGGTGACTCCAAAAGCGCGAGGTGAATGTAGTCAACGATGATACCAGCATCCTGGGCAATATCAGGATGTGGGTCAACGGAAAGGATAAGAACTTGTTTCCAAATTGTTCCGAACGTTGTGTTCCGAGCCAATTGAGTTTGCTTGGGCTCGGTAATAATTTCACCGTTCTGGCCCTCGATGCGGCTGGTGTGTGAGTTTTCACTCTGTAAACGATGCATCAGGGCTTGTTTCTCATCCTGCAGCTCCTCATACGCAGCAACCACAAACTTATTCTGGTGGCGTTTGACAAATGTCGAGAAGAAGACGGCAAGTTCCTTTCGAACAAGCACGCTGCCGTCGGCCGACATGGGCAGGACCGACAAAGCCAATGACTCCTCGATCTGGGCCACTTGGTCGGTCAGATCGGGGATGCCGAGGAATGTTGTAACCGCATGGAGCATAGCAGCACGAACTTCCGGTACTGGGTCGAAGTTCAATTCGCAAAGTCGTGTAGGAGCTGCACATCGAATTCCCATCCACTTTGCTTCTGGGAAGTCACACCATAGCATACTAAGACAGAGGCATGACCACTGACGAAGTAGGGGATTCTCAACGTCGCCAAGATGTCTTAAGCATGAGTCGAACAGATCACCAGAAAGACACACGTTCTGGCCTTGGGGATAGTTCTTGCAAAAGATGGAGACAATAAAGGCACACATGGCGCGGTGCTCGCTGGCATTTCCAACGGGGATAGGAGATGATGGGTTGAGAATCGAGATGAAGTAGTGAATACCGTTGTCCTTCAGCAGATCAACCTGAACCCCATTGTCCACGGCCATGATGCGAGCCCAAATGAAAACCATGACGGGTTTCAATTCTTGAGCAGCTGACTGCAACAGCTTCACGACGTAGGGGAAGATACCAATGCTAAGAGCCAGGTGGACAGCCCATGGGCCCAGATCCAGGAACTTGCTTAGCAAAATCAATGCACGCAGTCGGTGAGCTTGACTCAGAAGGACCTGCAAGACGATAGGCAATTGATCCGGGGGGTTCTTCTCCGTTGGACCGGACGATAAATACACCTCAAACGCGGTGAGTTGCTCGGCGAAGAACGTAGAATGCTGGTACTCATACTGTCGGCGGCCCTCCTCGTGATCGATTAGAGCAGGCAACTGCGAGAGCACCATCTCCACGGCAAGATCCCAGCTCTTCCAGAGCGCGTGCTGGTGGGTCCCAGGGAGCTCTGGCGAGGAAATGGGATGACATTTGTAGGTGCGCATGATACGCTCACTAAGTAGGAAGTTGCGGAAGAGTGCAGCAACCATCAAGTCCTGTCGGAAGAGCTTCTTGAAAAGAGCGCGCGGCAAGGTATTCCAAGCAATTGTGTCGGTGATCGCAGTGAAAATCCAGTTGAGCTCTCCAAGCGGACTGCGGCGATCCTGGAGGCGACCCGGGACTCGGAAATCGTCGATAGAGAGATCTGTTCGCAGCGGATTCTGCAAAACGAAGAAACGCAGAGCGATCTCAATGGGGGTGGTGAGACAACACGTGAAGAGATCAGCAGGCAGGTCTGGGTTCGTTGGGAGAGACTCGTTCTTTTGGCAGGCTGCGAGAAGAATGCAATCGCCATAGTTTTGCACAGTGGCATTGGGGTCACGTTTCTTTGCCTCCGCATTCTCTTTCTCGTGCTTTTCCACAAACGTATGGAAGTTCTGAACAATGTTCCCCGCATGTGATACGTCGAAAACGAAGAGACTGGGGCCAGCTAGCCACGATTGCAGGTCGTAAAGTGGCACGGGGATGTACTGGGTGTAGTTCTTGTTGAACACCCAGATTTCACCGGATTGAGTGGGCAATGGCACGCCGTGGCCATTGTAATGGAGCAGTACTCGCTCGTCCTTGGCGTTCCTGCGCAAAGACATACAGAACTTCTTGGTCTCGTCCACCGATGGATCCAGGTATTGCTTGTATCTGGTGCGCAGACTCAGTGTCTCGTATTGTTCCTGCAGCTTCTTGCCGATCTGTTCCATGATCTTATTCTGACCACCACCAGTAGTCGAGGTAGGGTCGACCCAACACTCGAGTTTCGAGGTCGGATTCGTCTTGACCACATCTGGAGGATCGACGCCGATGTTCAGACAAATCGCAAGGGCAGCGGAGACGGTCTTGAGTCTATCTTTCATGCGCCATTCCTGAGTTGGCCAGCTTCCGTCTGGGTCGCGTGGAATACCGTTGGTCTCGTGACGTTTCTCGGTGAAGTACATGTAGAAGTTCTTGAGGAAACATCAACCATCAGCTTTAGGCCTAAGCCATTCGTAGATCATGGTGGCATGCTTACCGAGTGCAAAATCTTGAGATATTCACTGGATGTGTATTCCTCCTGCCATCCATGGCGCATGGCAAAGTCCTCCTCGTCTTCTCCCGGCGATTTGTCGAACGTGACACGACTAGGTCCATAATCACTTCGTGCTCGTTTCAGCATGGCCGGTCGGCTGCTCTCTGACCTGCGAGGAGAGGGGCGCCGATGTGGTTCGTCTAGTGAAACCACCGCATTCTCTCCCCCAGAGCTCGTAGGGCGAGCGAGTGGAGCCAACGAGGAGGACATCTGCTCTACCGTAGTAAACGAACGATGGTGACTGCTCAATGGAGCAGGCGAGCGTTCCCGTGCGGGGATAGTTGTTTCTAGCTCGGGTCCAAAGGCGACTCGAACTGACTTGGTTGGGCGGCGGGGTTCGGTTGCCCCGTTGGTCGCCGGATGCTGGGAGATCTCTTCCATATCTGCGGTTGGGTCCCTCATGTTGTATGTTCGGTCATGGTGTTCCTTGAAGGGTGGGGCCTTAAAAGCCGCGGGGTCGAGGGTAGGCAGCTCAAAAGTGTGAGCGCCTCTAACCTCTATCTCTCCGGGAAATGGTTAGGCTCGAGGCAGGCACAGGTATCGCTTGCAGCGTAGGGACTGGGTTGATTGTTCGGATATGAGTCGGGCAGAACAGACCCAATTTGAATTTTTAGCCCTGACGAACACACGCTGACGAGTTGTCAAGAGCAGCCCAGAACAGCATGAAGGTCTGGAACCGCAAGCGACGCAACGGTGAGCTTCCGATGCTGAGCGCGCCCGGACTATTGATCCCCCGCGCCCTGGGCTTAGTCATCCCCGAGCTTCAGCCAGCTCTCCAAGGCAGTAAGTACTTGACCAAATCCGCTATAGACAAGAATCAGAATGCTACGTACGATCTAGAAGGACCCAATTGCATCCTTGTAATATCTTTTTCATATATCTACATGTCTTCCTGGATGTTGATTCTTGTCGCGCCTACCCATAGCTTACAATAGGCGATAGGTAGATAAGCATCTCTCTTGGGTCCGATCTAGCTTGGCAAGGAAGCTGTTCACCAAATTACGCCCAGAGGGATTGGACCTCAGTACCCAAGGAGAATCCATGGTGAACCCTGCACTAGACCTATGACCTTCTTGTTCATTTCCTTTTTCTCCCTGGTAATACGTCAATGTTGTTGGTAATGAACACATTGTCTGAGACAACAATACAGCGGGAGATCCAAAGATGGGCCCCGTACTTCCAGGGTCTCACCAGGAGGCGTCAAAGCATGCAAGATCTAGAAATCAAAATGATATCCGACCAGCATTAGGGGGCTAGTGTTGATGTATCCACCCATCCACTCATCCTCACTTTGACGAATGCTGTTGCTTACTACAGTATATGTTTACTGGGTAGACGCTCCTACGGGATACTGCTTGATGGCCTAGGTCTACCAAAAGTCAAACATTACATGGTTTTTCAATGGATTCAGAGGATCTGATTAGCCATTTCACTTGCAGGACCCTCTAGGCTTCTCGGGTAGGGATGGCAGATGATGGAAATCATCCCTAGCGAGCCTCAGGGTAACCAAGAACCGGGCAGGCGGGCGCTCAGGGACCTGTGGAAGTACGAAGGAAAGTCATCAGTGATCATCGCAATTCCGAATTCCTCTGATAGGCAGGAAAATCCTACGGCCAAATGCCCCAGCACCCCCTTTTTTTCATGTGGGATCCATGATTATTACGCTGCCTTTGATGGACAACCCGACTTACTGACAATATGTAGACAGGCCCGATGCGATTACATTGTATGTAACGGAGTACAGTTTGTACTGTGCCCCCGTACATCTCCACTCCTCAAGGAAAGCAATGCCGCTGACGAGCGACAGTTGGCAGCCACGGTGAGCCACCCCTGATTTTTTTTCTCCAAACTGCTGCACTGTGGGAACAGTTCGAAGACGATAGGTTCCCTGCACGTTGTGGAGAGTGGATCGTCGTGTGGGAATCGGGGCATCCAGGACCGCCATTGGGCACCTGCGGGCTTGGGACAGCCCCGCGGCTGGCCCTAATCATGGCCGTGATGCAATTATAATTAGAATTGGTTCTTCGAGCACACATGCAGGTCAAGGGCACGCATAGTAAGCATAGCAAGCATAGCAAGCATTGTGTAGACACTGGTGTTATACGATGGAGTCTATAGTCCCTATAGGGCTCGTCAAACAGGACATGGGCCAAGAGTGATGGATCCGCTTTGCTAGATCCTTCCCAGAGGCTGGCAAGCGAAGGAGATGATTATCTCAGACAGCGGCATGACTTGGACGATTCCTTGGTGGTCGTTGACTGCTCCGGACTTGGTTAAGAAATAATGATGGACCAAGGAAGATGAGTATATGCTCTGGTCTGGAACGGGGCCGATCTATGTGCATTGCGCATGGATCTGATGCGCGTGCAATCTCCCTCCGAAGAGCATGCCTTCGCATAGAACCACAAGGCATGAGGGATCGGGGGTTGATGATGTGAAATGGTCTGATCGCAGGATTGGGAATCCTCCAGACACCCCGAGGCAGTTGGATGGCTGGACGAGGACCATAGCAAGTGTAGGCTGGGAGACCAGAACCGCAGAGCCCAAGAATGAGGGCGCATAGTTACGCCGCACCCAACCCGTTTGGACGACGCAGTTGCTGGCCGTTGGAGCCGATGCCCCTGAGCCCTGAGTATGCAAGCCTCTTTGGCTTGTTCTCCCCCATACCAACACTGTCCTCCAGTGGATGCCGCTGGCTGGGCCACTAGCACTAGTTGGACTAGACCAACCTCCGAGAAATTGAAACCACCTTCGCTTCTCTCCTTCTCGACGATCAGCGGCTGCTTTCTTCTCCTTGTTTTCCGTTTCCCCCTCCCCCTCTGTTTTCACCTTATCCTCCCCCTCCCAGGGCCCTGTGGGCATCTATTTGACTTAACCTACTTTCCTTTCTATGCCCTGAGGGCTGCGATTGTTGGGGTGTACAGTGTTCCGTCCACTTCCAACGCTACCAACCACCACCCCCCTGGCCGCATAATTTTTTATTTCTGGAAAGCGCTGAGCGGCCCCTGTGAATGGGACTCTTTGAACGGTTCCCAGTGTGGTTCCTGGTTCCCGACTCCACATCCAACTGAAAATACACCCACCGCAACTTTCCCCTGGCTCCCGCCCCGGTCGCAGTGCCATTTCTACAACCACCTCCCCATCCAGACCCCCAAAACCACCAACCACCCCCGAACCGCTTGTCTGTGATACTGCTGGGGCCCGGATTTCCAGGATCGGGACAATCGCACCAGCCCGTCTGCGCAATCCGACCGGTGGGCGTCAATTTCTCCCCATTGCGCCGTTGAACGACCGCTTACGACACCCTCACGATGGCTTTTTTGTTTAAATCCAAGAAAACTCAACAAGGGACCGCGCTCCCTCCAGCGACGAGGAATATTCATACCTCCGAAGGCGCTCCATCCGCCGGTGGTCCCCTGCCAATGAGCAACGGGATCAAGGAAGGCAATGCCTTTGCGCAGCAGACGCCCACGCCGAGCAGCAGTTATAACAACTCCCTCAACTCAGCCACTAGTCCAACGAGCCCGGATCCCGTCAGAATGCGACAGCGGGCCGAATCAGAGTCACAGGTAAGTCGAAGCTCGACCCCCGTTCGCAGAAGTCGAACCGTACATCCCTGACCCTGGTGGTGTTTGTCGTTCCCTTAGGCCCAGCGACAACAGCAGCCTCTTAATGGCGTATCTCCGACGAGTCCGAACTCCTCTCTCTACCCTTGGTCCCAACGACGCCTGAATTTCTCCACTCCGCAAACGAACCCATTCCCACGATACGGAGCCGCAATCAATGCCGTGGCATCGAAGGAAGGTGACATCTACATGATGGGTGGGTTGATCGATGGTTCGACGGTCAAGGGCGACTTGTGGATGATCGAGAGCAGCGGTGGCAGTCTGTCATGTTTCCAAATTGCGACGGTTTCCGAAGGCCCGGGGCCTCGAGTTGGCCATGCTAGCTTGCTAGTTGGCAATGCGTACATTATATTTGGTGGTGACACTAAGATCAACGAGACGGACGCTTTGGACGACACACTTTATCTTTTGAACACTTGTACGTTGCCAGATACATGCTCTTCTGAAGGTCTTGGATTTCTAACTAGGAACTCTTTCTAGCTTCTCGCCAATGGTCTCGTGCGATTCCTCCTGGTCCTCGTCCTTCTGGCCGATATGGTCACACTCTCAACATTCTTGGCTCCAAACTTTACGTTTTTGGTGGTCAAGTGGAGGGTTTCTTTTTCAACGACTTGGTAGCATTCGACCTGAATCAGCTGCAGAACCCTACAAACAAATGGGAGCTGCTCGTTCAGAACAGTCACGAGGGTGGACCCCCAGAGGGTGAAATTCCGCCGGCTAGAACCAATCACTCTCTCGTCAGCCACAACGACAAATTATACCTGTGAGTGAAGAGAAAGTTGAACGAAAATACAAAAAGAGGCATCTGAGCTAACGCGAAACAGGTTTGGAGGAACCAATGGCGTGAAGTGGTTCAGCGATGTTTGGACATTCGACCCTCGTACTAATGCCTGGACCGAACTAGACTGCGTTGGCTTTATTCCAACGCCCCGAGAAGGCCATGCAGCTGCCCTTGTCAACGACGTCATGTATGTGTTTGGAGGCCGTACTGACGAAGGCATGGACCTGGGGGATCTATCTGCCTTCCGTATCACCACTCGCCGCTGGTATTCGTTCCAGAACATGGGCCCTGCGCCGTCTCCGCGATCCGGACACAGCATGACGGCCTTTGGTAAACAGATTATTGTCATGGCCGGAGAACCGAGCTCGGCCCCGAGGGACCCTGCAGAACTCAGCATGGCGTATATTCTCGACACTGGCAAGATTCGCTACCCCAATGATTCGCAGTCGAGCGAGCGAGCCCCAGTTCCGGCGGGCAGGAAGATCAGCACCGATAAGCAAGGATCCTCGTCCGGACGCACATCTCGCGAGGCTCAAAATGCAACCCCGGACCAACTGCGTCGTGGACCAACGCCTTCTCGCGAGAGCATGATTCAAGCTGCAGGTGCGAAGCCTGGAGAGCTGGGGCCAAACCCCAACCTTGGCCCTGGATCCAGACTACCCAGAGCTTCGATTGCGCAAGCTCCTGCGGGGCCACCACCGCCGGGTCAAGCCCCCTCTCCAGGTCCCCGGACTAATGGACCTCAACCCGGAATGAACCCTCGCAGCAAGACTCCTACCAAAAACGATCGTGGATTCACAGCCACAGTAGATGTTCGCGCCGCAAATGCCGATCGAAATGTCGAATCTCCCGTGGCCAAGGATATGCACGAGAGCGCAGGCTCTTCTGGCCAACGTACCCCAACCCAGCAATCACAAAAGATTACCGCGAAAGCAATGGAGGCTGGCGAGGCCGCTCCAATGATGACCCCTGCTCGCCAACGGTCATTGCGTCAACACTGGCAGCGAGGCTCGATGGACAGCGCGGAGGAATCTGTGCTAGGACGACAAGCTCCTAGCATCGACGGTTCTATCGAGTCTCGAAGCTTCCGTAACTCTAGGACCCTTGGCGATGAGCCCCGTTCGCCCAGACTGACTCCCCATCAAGAGGCCTTGATCAAGGAGCTGGAGGCAGCCAAAGCTCGCAATGCCTGGTACGCCTCCGAGCTGTCGCTGGCAAGAAAGGGTGGCTATGTTCCCAATCCAGCCAGCAGCCCTGCCATCGACGAGCGCATTAATGAGTCTGTCAATGACGAAGACCGTCCTCTCGTAGAGGCATTCCTTTCTATGAGGGCCGAGTTGGCGAAGATGCAGGCGACTGTGGATCGCCAAGCGGCAATCGCCTCCAAGCGGATCGCAGAGGTCGAACATCAGCGCGACGTGGCTGTTAGTGAGGCGGCGTACTCGCGCACTAGACTTGCCGCCCACGGTGGTAGCCAACGAGGTACTCCTCAGCCCGAAGGCCCCCGCGATGGAGAGGACGAGCGCCCCACTGACATGGGTCGCCGACTCGCATTAGCTCTGGCCTCTCAGTCTGAGTTGAAGGTCAAGCTAGAAGCGATGACCACCGAACTTCAGCAGGAAAAGCAAGCAAAGGAGTTGGCTGAGGATACGATTGAGGCCACTCGCAAGCGTCTTGCAGAGCTTGAGATGTCAAATAGCGCATTAGAGGCCGAGAATCTACGCGCCGAGCTCCACAAAGCAGAAGCGATCGCCAGAGAGGAGGCCTTGCTGCGCTCAGAGGCTGAGGCTTCCTTGAACCAGCTTACCATCGACAAAGAGGAGCTTCTCAAACACGCAGAGGAGTCTTCGGGACGTCTGAAGGACTTTAACAGCAACTTTGATGGCTTGCGGGAGGCTGTTGCGGCTTCCGCTGCAAAGACTGTCCTTGTTGAGAAGCAGCTGCATGAGGAGCGAGAACGCCGTGAAAGTTTGGAGCGCAAGCTCTTACAGCTCCGCTCTGAACATGAAGAGCGAACCACCGAGTTGGAGAACACTACTCGGCGCCTTCGGGATGCCGAGGAACTGGCTGAGATCCATGCAAGGGAGGCCGAGACGCACAAGCTGGCTTTCGTGTCTGGCCTCGAGCGTGCCGCATCGGTGGACCTGGAGAACTCGATCAGATCGCGTGCTGACCAACGGGTTGCAGCTTTGGAGGCTCAGGTCGAGCGGGCTACCACTCTGGCCAAGGCCAACCAAGCTGCTGCTGATGCTGCTGCCGACAAGTTGCGTCGGGCCGAGGAGAGAATCGCCGGACTGGAGGCTTACCAGGAGCAAGCTAGTCGCGAGGGGCTACAGCTGCGCAGACAGTTGCAGAGCGCTATGAAGGAGAGCCAGGCGGCTACTACGGAAAGCCGAGACTTGAAGTCTCAGCTTGAATCTCACCATCGAGATACGAATGCTCTGAACATTCAGCACGCCGCTCTGAAGGATCTTCTCGGTGAACGTGGCGTGAACACTGATAGTCGGCGATCCCCTCGTCTCGAGTCGCCAGGCTCTCGTTTCGGTACACCGGAGCAGAGCAAGCTGCGAGAACTCGAGCAGCAGCTGTCAAACAGCCTGAAGGCTCACGATGACCTCAAGAGCTCCTTTGAAATGCGGGAACAGGAAGCTGATCGCGCATTCCGGGAGAAACTGGAGCAGCTGGAGAATGATTACCAGTCGGCGGTGCACTACGTGAAGGGTACTGAGAAGATGCTCAAGCGCATGAAGGATGAGCTTGGCCGGTACAAGACCCAGAATGCCAAGTTGCAGTCTGAGCTTGAGACTTCTCAGAAGAGCATGGAGAGCGGCGGCGCCCAGTCCGAAGCAGCGGCCGCCGATTGGGAGAATGAGCGTGCTCGACTCCAAAAATCCATCGCCGATCTGGAGAGCCGCACCTCCTCTTCCCTCGAGGGCTTGGAGACTCAGCTCTCTGAAATGAAGGAGCAGCTCGCCGTGGCTGAAGCCGAGAAGGAAAAGGCCAAGGCCGAGCACGAGCGCTCTCAGCGAGAGCTCCTTGCAGCTGTTGACCGTAGCCGCTTTGAATTGGAGCAGCTTAAGCAGGAGAACGTTCACCTCGAAAGCCGTGCTACGGATGCGGAACAGAAGGTCAACATGCTCCTGGAGCAGGTGGAGACCTCGGTTGGCCACTACCGCCGCCAGTCTCAGCATGGTCAGGGAGCTAACGGCATCTCTCGCACTCACAGCAATGCGTCCAGTAACACAATCGGCGGTCGAGCTCGTGCCGACAGCAGTGTCTCGCAAGATTCGGTTGGTTTCCCCGATAACCGGGGTTCCATGGCGTTGGACTCACTTGCCAATGAGCTGGAGGCCCTGCGTACCCACTGGGAAAGCACCAACCGCAACTATCGCTTGAGCAGCCAGCTGGATCTGGAGCGGACTCCGACCAAGGAGAACAGCGATGGCCCTGCTTTGATGAGCGATAGCTTGGCGGAATGGCGGAGGCGCCTGGATGAGGAAGAACGGGTTGGAGGTACCAAGGCCAAGCCCGAGATTGCTTCGAACGTGATCTAAGTCTTGCATTCGCGCATCTCTTTTAACCCATTCTACGACCATGTGCACTTGAGATATGTCGATTCGCAACACCACTTCTTTTGAGCGCTTTTTTACACGTGTATTCATTTCGCGTTCCTTTCGTTTTCTTTTCTTTTTTTCTGTCTGTTTTTAACTGCGCGATGCATGGTCATTATTTGATGGAAGGTTCTTTGTGCCTTTTGATTTCCGTCTTGATCGCCGCGTTGAGGGACGGGATTCCCTTTGTTACTCTCTTACCCTCTTGTGCTTTGCTGGTTTTTATCTTCTCGACCGCTCTCTGTTCCCCCTATTTGTCTCTTTTCTTTTCTTTTTCTTTTCCCCCTCTCTTTCCTTTTATACCCCGGTTTTCCGATGTTTATTGGACCCTGGCTGTACCACTAGCACACTCTACACGAACCTGCCGTCTACTTTTATAGTCAGAGAAATCACTATCGTTGCCTCTCCAAAAGAGCTTGTATCGCTACTGCAGATTATTCTCATGTAGATTTCTATTTGAAGCATGGTCACGTCAACAGTGATTCAACCACGGCTTTATCATCGGTACGTTTTGCAAACAGATGCATGGCGCTCCTGATTTGCCCACCCGTTATTGCCACCCCCGGTCCCTGCGATAGGCAGGTAGAGATGCGGGTGTAGGGTGCCACGGGTGTTGGACAACCCGGGGCAAGGTAAGCAAACATGGCACTGCATGATAGGTATTTTAGCTTGGTCTCGGGGAGATGAGACATTACCCGTTTAGGCAGTTGGCTAACAGTGCTGGAATGGGGTTTCACTTTGGGGTCTGAGAACAGGGTAGATAGTCTGGATTGTAGTTACGAAAGTATACTAGAAAGGATTTGATCTCTATGTTATATCTGTGTAGAATAAAATCTGGACAATGCAGTATAGTTCAGGGCCCGCTTCCCAGGTTTCCTCCACAGCGGCTATCTGAAGTTATTTTTGGGATCCGCAGAGACGCGCCCTTGCCATGACAATCAATCAAATCCATCGGGGTAAAAGGGCGGCGCCCAGCGGGATTTCCGAACCCTTTTCAGAGGCGAAAACCAGCCATGTTTTTAAAAGTGTTAGGCGCCGATAGCATCAATGACTATTGATAGATACAGGATGAGGCGCTGGTCAGGCATTCATCTAGGACAGACTTACTGAATATCATTCATTTAGCAGTTTAACACTAATTAATCTTGAAGAAAAGCGAGAGAATTACCAACTGACTACTTTGCAGCCCAACATTTAAAGAATGACTGTGTATTGGCGTTACCATACACAGCCCAAATTCGCGCAAAACGTGCCTCGGGCGTGCCACCGCTCACTCACGCACCTCAGTGACGGGAGGCAGTAAGGACAGGGTATGGCGGTACGGCCAGTACAGCAATACCAGGCCAGCCACTCTTCTTCGCCTAATAAAAATTACCATCTCACCCTCACCGACTCCTCCAACGCCCCCCTCTCCTTTCTCTTCTCTCCCAACCCTCCTACTACCCTCCTCAGGCCCCGGTTATCAAGGCTTTGTCCTTGGTATTTCTTCGGTTTTCCTGATCCTTCACCTCTGCTCTGTCGTGACTATTTCGGCTCAGTCCGATCGTCCATTTTCCTCAACATCCAAATCTCTCGAATTGTCCGGTCCGCTCTACGGTCGGCATTGGACATCTCCGTCCCTCCTCCACACCCTTTCTCGTCGTTCCAGGTATGTGGCCTTCGTATCGGTTGTCCTCTCTCGCGTTCCGGTTTTGTTTGTTCTTGTTCTTGTGCTATTTCCTTCTTCTCTGGCCTTCCCCAGATCTGGCTCCTTCCATGTTATTTGCCAGGGAGGCAACTGCGGGTGGCCAAATGTGATAGGTAAAGGCCTGGGGCCCAGCCTCGATGGCCTGAGGCTTAGATGTCACCCCCCCCCTCCTTCAACCCTTCGTTGCTTCTACTCAGTATCACCCTTTCATCGACTCTCTCTTCCTCTTCACGTTGTGCCTCTTTCAGCTCGTCTCCCTGCCCAACCTTTTCTGACTCTAAATTCAAGTTCTTTAGGCATTTGCACGGCTAGCTGCTGTGCCCCCATCATACCGCAAACATGACTACCATGGTCAGTCCCGATTCCTCTCGACTCTCCCTTTCAACCTCCGGTGCCCTCCCGTGATACGAACATATTTGGATCAGGGGTTGTGTGCTTGTTGCTTCGAGTCGTTCCTCGTGAAGGTATCCGAGACCCCGGAATTGCTAACATCATACATAGGATTTGCGTGTCGGTAACAAGTACCGCATCGGCCGTAAGATCGGAAGCGGCTCTTTCGGTGACATCTACCTCGGTATGTAAATTGACCCATTGCATCCTCTGTGTTCTAGAGCTGACAAAGATGTATAGGCACCAACATCATCTCCGGTGAGGAGATCGCCATCAAGCTTGAGAGCGTCAAGGCCAAGCACCCTCAGCTCGAATATGAGGCTCGTGTTTACAAGTCTCTTGCCGGCGGTGTCGGTATCCCCTTCGTCCGCTGGTTCGGTACTGAGTGCGACTACAACGCCATGGTCATCGACCTCCTGGGTCCCAGTCTCGAGGACCTGTTCAACTTCTGCAACCGCAAGTTCTCTCTCAAGACCGTTCTTCTCCTCGCCGATCAGCTCATCTCCCGCATCGAATACATCCACGCCAAGTCCTTTATCCACCGTGATATCAAGCCCGACAACTTCCTGATGGGTATCGGCAAGCGGGGCAACCAGGTCAACGTGATCGATTTCGGTTTGGCCAAGAAGTACCGCGATCCCAAGACCCACTTCCACATTCCTTACCGCGAGAACAAGAACCTCACGGGTACTGCCCGTTACGCTAGTATCAACACTCACTTGGGTGTCGAGCAGTCTCGCCGTGATGATATGGAGTCACTGGGTTACGTGATGCTCTACTTCTGCCGTGGCTCTCTCCCCTGGCAGGGCCTAAAGGCTGCTACCAAGAAGCAGAAGTACGACCGTATCATGGAGAAGAAGATGACCACCCCCACCGAGGTTCTTTGCCGTGGTTTCCCCAACGAGTTTGCCATCTACTTGAACTACACTCGCTCGCTCCGCTTCGATGACAAGCCTGACTACTCGTACCTGCGCAAGATCTTCCGGGACCTCTTCGTCCGCGAGTCCTTCCAGTACGATTATGTGTTCGACTGGACCGTCTACAAGTACCAGAAGAACGCCGCCATGATCGTGGACGCCACCAAGAAGGACAAGGATGAAGAGCAGGTGCGCCGCCAGGGTGCCGCTGCCCCCATCGGTGCCAGCGCTGCGGCCGCCAAGCCCGGTGCCATCTCGGGCCAGCGTCGCAAGGTCATTGACCGTGGTGCCCTTGACAACACTCCGGACACCAACCGTGCCGTGGGAGGAAGTGACAGGATGTGAGTACTTTTGAAACCTGGTTCCGAGTAGGGAACCCCTTTTTCTCTTTAATCTTTCGCGTTTGGTGTTTTTCTGTGACGCTGGCGTGGAGGATCCTTCAGTTCCGAATCTGACTAATCGCATAGTCTTCGGCGTTAGGCTGCGTTCTGCCTCGAAAGGTGCTGCTTTAGGTTATGGACCTTCTGTTGGCCGTTCGAAGCGGGACGATGGATCAGGGGCTCAATGGTACTAATCCTGCTGGACTTGCAGCGAGACCTGTGATGGGTGGATATGATTTTGCTTGATTTCTTTCCCCTCTGCTTGTCTCCTGCTTGCTCCACGTCCTTCTTTCTCGACCATCATGAAACTCCGGGATTCCCATTGTCACCATCGCTGTGGACACGACCACTCTGTGCACACGACTCTTCTCGGACTTCATTTTTTTTTCTCCTTGGATCTCTCCGTTCATTCTGCAATCATCTCCGACAGCCCTTCCACCTGGTCCTCGATCCTATTTCGACCTTGGCCGTTTTTTCGTTCGCTCGCCCGTCTTCACCCCCGCCAAAACTGGATCTACGATCTGTAGTCCATCTTTTGTGCCGAGCTACCGATGAAACCTTTGGCTGCTGCGTTTTCTTTTCCCATTTCGGATTCTCGTGCCCGTCTTCTGCGGGTTACGACCGATATTTCAGTTTCGAAACGCTCTGATATGGTGGCTATTCTTACGTCTTGACCTTTTCGACCCTCTGCGTTTTTGGCATCTTGTCCACTCACCCGATACGCGCAACTGGAAAGGCAAGACTGAAGGAGAGATGCAAATGACGGCGGCAATTTGGACACTTGAACTTTAGGTTTCCCTATCTCTCTGATTGCTGGTACTGGACGTCCTGGAGACCGCATGATCTCATGCGTTATTCCCATCATTTTTCCCCTTTTGCCCATGACTGTTTTAACCCCCTTCTGCTTTTGGATTTATTTTCTGTGTTTTTGTTTACTGCATATCGACGCCGTATGGGGATGAGGGGACGACCGGCTTTGCCCGGTTGGATTTGAGGTTGTGGAGGTTGTGCTTCGGGATGGCTTTCTTCGAGTCATTGTTTGTAGGCTACGGATTATTGCATTGCTCTTCTTGCATGGATCCGGCTTACGGATGGATGTCTGCCCGCTCGGAGAGGGCTGGTTCTCGGCTGGTGATTGGCGACGGAAAATGGCTAGGGTCGCTTCCGGGGTGGTTTTGCGTCGATTTGCATCGTGTTTTCTCTCATTTACTAGCCCATTGCTCTTCCCAACTGCATGTTCTAACCCGTCTCTTGATTTGTCTTGCCCCTGATGACAGGCGTCTCTTCAGCGGCCTCGGAGGGAGACACGACCGGATCTCTTCAAGTCTTCTATCCGGTGGTTTCCACCCAGACCCTGACAGATACACTGTCCATTTCAACATCTAATATGAATTCTGCTTATCACATTTTCCGTTCTTTGCATAGAAACTTGGTAGTCTTCTCAATGGCCTATCCAGCTGTATTTCTTGGTGAGATCATCGAGGTTCCCTTGGCCACGTTCTGGCCTTCGTCTGGTAGACGGGTCGATCTCCACTCTGCGGGATTACACATCAGATCATCCGAGTACGGTTATGAGGGAATAACATAGCCGTCTGAAGGTGCATGAACTGGACAGGGTAGAGTATATGACAGTAATACTGTAGAATGGGATGTTCTTATTTTTAGTTTCTCGCTGTATAAGGGGTTTTTCCTCGTCCAGTCATCTAGTCGGTCAACGTCCGAGTCACGGGAGATCGGTCAAAACCCTCCGGGGGGTCAAAAAGAACTTAGGGGAACGGCAGTCAAGAGGAGTAGGGAATTTCCCGCCCATTCATTCCAAAGCTCACTTCTCTGCCCATCCAACCCTCCTCGACATCTGCTCTACACTTGAGTCGCTGTTCAGCGCAATGGACTATTCCAACTACCCCCCTCATCCAAACCAGCCATACACAACGCTATACGGGTTGCCCACCCCCGACCAACAGCGACAGGCACCCTCCGAAGATGCCCTCCACGACCCGTTTGCCCTGGTACGAGCCCTGCCCCCTATTCCGCAATGAGCATCCTCAGGACCTCTCTAACGAACACCTACAGAACGGCTCTTATAACCAGTATTATCCGGAGTTCGACCCCTCTTTCCGCATGGACCCCTCCTCGTCCTTCGGTCCGCCACCGCATTCGCCCCCGGACTCGTTCACGAAGCACTCGGTGTCGAGTAATGATGTGCACCATAGCACCAAACAAGAGCCCACATCAATTGATGGCGATGATAGCCAGTACCATGATCCGACCGGGCGGAGTAGCAGCGAGGAGAAGGACTCGGCGACACCAGCGCAAAGTAAGCGCAAGGCTCAAAATCGGGCAGCGTACGTGATTCCCGTTTGCCCCCATGGATGGTGTAGGATGTTTTCTATCTTGCAGTCGCAACCAAAGACCAAGCCGGATCGGTCCCGGTGAGAAAATGCTAATACGGGTGGACATATAGTCAGCGAGCATTCCGTGAACGAAAAGAGCGCCATGTCCGGGACCTTGAAGATAAAGTGACCACTCTCGAACAATCATCTTCTACCCTCCAAGCCGATAATGAGCGTCTAAAGCGCGAACTCGCCAAATACGCAACTGAAAATGAGATCCTCCGCGCAACCTCACACTCCCTGCACGGCGGCAACGGCGTTAAAGAACACCCCGCCCCAGCCGTCACAGGGCCAATGACATATTCTCCAACAGACTTCTACTCGACCTTAATGCCGGAGGCTGCTGGTCCTACTGGCCCGACTCCGCAAGGCCAACACCGAGTCACAGTGTGCCCTCTTACGGGCGAGAGGCTTCTTGATGCTAGCGCAACGTGGGATTTGATTCAGAGCCATGAGCTGTTTAAACGCGAGCAGATCAACATTGGCAACATTGCTGAGCGGCTGAAGGGTATGGCTCAGTGCAATGGACAGGGTCCTGCTTTTAAGGAGGGTCAGATTCTGAAGGCCATTGAGGAGAGCGTTGCTGATCGCGATGAGCTGATCTGAGACGTTTCATTCCATGATTATTTAATTTCATGGCCCTCTGGTTTTGATTTGATGATACGATGCTTTTATGTTTATACCTTTATGTTTCTGTTCTGTTTTTTTTATCTCTCCTTCTTTTTGCAGGGAGTTAGTCATGATGACAAATTTGGGAGTACTTTGGCGCTGGATCTGGAGATAGTGGAATGACAATGGATGGGCCTCAATCATGGTCTCTAGGGCATATCGACTTCGTGTTTATTAGGAATGTTTGAACACGTTTAACTGTTCCTGAATCTGAAACTTGGATGTTTTCGCATATATCAAGGCCTTGGCTCGAAGCGAATATATCTCATTTCTGACTTTCTTTGGGGTGAAGTAGATTGATTCATAAGCGTCATGAAATTTGCTACACGGGCAATCAGTCCCACATATATACTTCTTGCCAGGATCAACCGCGCAAGAATATCGCAACGTATCACAGCTGCCAGCTGGGATGCCGATCTGAAACGAATGTACAAGAAAAACTATCCACATCATTTTGCCTTTTTGTGTTTTTTGCCTCATCCTTTTCCATTCCCAGTGGAGTATCATATAGGCAGATCATAATATACACAACTTGCTGAAATCGACGAAGGTTCTCGGTCGTAGTCATTCAATAGTGTGAAGAAAATCAATCCCAGTCGTCATCATAATCTTCAACGTTGAGCTCCTCATCCTTGCCGCGGTCATCGTCCGAATCGGAGCGCTTCTTGAGACGAACATCACTCTCCTTCACCGCTCCAATATCAACGAGCATCCGCTCCAGGTCTTCCACCTTGGTCCGGGGACCATTAAGTTCTCGCAGCGTGACGAGCTGTCTCTTAATCTCGGTGTCTTTATAGACGAGAATGGTGGGTGTGTTTCTCTCCGGGTATCCCTCAATGCACATGTCGGCACGGATCTCGCAGAACTTGATATCGCCGAACTTGGCCGCCAATTGGCGCCAGAGCTCGGTTAGGACACGGGATTCGACGTTGCCGCCCTGGGAGGTCAGATTGACGAGGACGAAGGCGTTGTTGGAAGTTTCGGTTACTTCGCGGGCGTAATCGACTTTCTGGAGTGGGTAGACTTGGTTAAAGAGGCTGGTTTGTTGGAGTGTGGAGAGCTCAGCAAGGCGCTTTTGGCTGTTGGGGTTGGGTGTTAGCTTCAATTCTGTACACTTCTCAGCACATTGGATTACCTGGCTCACCGGTATTGCTGGATGAAGTGTTCGTCTTCTTCATCCTCGAGCGCATCCAGCTCATCCAGATCTTTGTCCTCCAATCGGTTCTCATACGCTCGGCGCTCGGCCTCGATCAGGGCCTCCTGGATCAGGGGTTCGGGGTCTTTCGGTTTCTCTGGGATGATTCCATGTTGACGAAGGATATCATTCCTGTATCAATTTGTATGTCAGAGGAAAGGTATGTGTGAGGTACCTCCAGGCGGGGAAGCCGGAATATATAGCTCAATGCCCCAAGTTGGTAGAGGCAGACATACCACTCCGTATCCTCGTTCGGATTGACTTGCACCTCCATTATGTCTTCAATGTAATTTGATTCAACCAATCCCCAATATCTGAGCGGTGGATGGGTTGTTTATCGAGGCAGAGAGGGGAGAGAAGGCAGCGCCGCAATGCATGATGCCACCTGTTTGCAGTGTTTGGTCCGGGCGCCACAGGTGGCTGCCAAACACACGGAAGGCCACCTTCAACTTAACTCCATAAACAGTGCCGTGGAGCTCGAGATCGAGATTCATCACCACCTCTTCTAGGGTTCTTTCTACTCCTCGCCTTCCTCTTCCCTTGTTGTCTGGGGGTTGAATATGCGAATGCAGTAGCTGCCTACACCGCCCTCCCCCTGCTGCTACTGTGTCCTCCCTCCCTCTCCACCCCCCAATTGCAACACCCAACCCCGACGAATTAAGGAGATCGTGACCACAATCCGCTGGTGCAACCCCAGCACCTGGGCAAAATGAGTTACATGAAGAAGGACGAGGATGCGGATCAGGTCATGATCAAGCTTGACCGGACCTCTGTTTTCCAAGATGGTAGGTTGCCCGCAATGCCCCTGGCCATGCGGCTTATTCGCGCACCTGTCCATTGCACGCTACTAACAAGACCAATTCTCCAGCTCGACTGTTCAATTCCTCGCCGATCTCGCCGCGGAAATGCCGTACCCTCCTGACCAAGATTGCGGTCCTCATGTTCACCGGAGAGCAGTTTCCCACGAACGAAGCCACCACCCTCTTCTTCGGCATCTCGAAGCTGTTCCAGAACAAAGACCCGTCATTGCGGCAGATGGTGTATCTTATCCTGAAGGAGCTGGCCAATACTGCGGAAGATGTGATCATGTCGACTAGTATCATAATGAAGGACACTGCGGTCGGGAGCGATGTTCTCTACCGGGCGAATGCTATTCGTGCCCTCTGCCGCATCATTGATGCCTCGACGGTTCAGGGTATCGAGCGATTGATCAAGACTGCTATTGTGGATAAGACTCCCTCGGTTTCCTCCGCTGCTTTGGTCTCTTCTTACCACCTTCTCCCTATCGCGCGCGATGTGGTTCGGAGGTGGCAGAGCGAAACCCAGGAGGCGGCTTCATCATCAAAGCAATCATCTGGTTTCCTGGGCTTCGCGTCTAGCTCCCAGACTCATGCTATCTCCCAGTCGAACTTCATGACCCAGTACCATGCAATTGGTCTTTTGTACCAGATGCGATCGCACGACCGCATGGCATTGGTCAAGATGGTGCAACAATACGGTGCTGCTGGTATGGTGAAGAGCCCAGCGGCTTTGGTGCTGTTGGTTCGTCTGGCGGCCAAGTTGGCGGAGGAAGACCATGGTCTCCGCAAACCCATGATGCAGATGCTGGATGGCTGGCTCCGTCACAAGCACGAAATGGTCAACTTCGAGGCCGCAAAGGCTATCTGCGATATGCGGGAGGTCACCGATGCCGAGGCCCAGCAAGCCGTTCATGTCCTACAGCTGTTCCTGTCCTCCCCACGATCCATCACCAAGTTCGCCGCAATTCGCATTCTCCACAACTTCGCTAGCTTCAAGCCCCATGTCGTGAACGTGTGCAACCCCGATATCGAGTCGCTGATCTCCAACTCCAACCGGTCTATTGCGACATTCGCTATTACTACGTTGCTGAAGACTGGAAACGAGGCCAGTGTCGACCGCCTGATGAAGCAGATCTCTGGATTCATGGCCGATATCACCGACGAGTTCAAGATCACAATCGTCGAGGCTATTCGCACATTGTGCCTGAAGTTCCCCAGCAAGCAGGCCGGTATGCTGACCTTCCTAAGCGGCATTCTGCGCGACGAGGGTGGTTACGAGTTCAAGCGCACGGTTGTTGAGAGCATGTTCGACCTGATCAAGTTCGTGCCCGAAAGCAAGGAAGAAGCTCTTGCCCACCTCTGTGAGTTCATCGAGGACTGCGAATTCACCAAGCTCTCCGTCCGCGTCCTGCACCTGCTTGGTGTTGAGGGACCCAAGACCTCACACCCCACCAAGTACATCCGGTATATCTACAACCGTGTCGTTCTGGAGAACGCCATTGTCCGTGCTGCCGCTGTCACTGCGCTGGCCAAGTTTGGTGTTGGCCAGAAGGACCCCGAAGTCAAGTCTAGTGTCCAGGTTCTGCTTACTCGTTGCGTTGACGACACTGATGATGAGGTTCGCGATCGTGCTGCCCTGAACCTGCGTTTGATGAGCGCCGAGGACGAGACTGCCTCGGCATTCATCAATAATGGTAAGTCTGATTCGTTGAAACAAATACATAAATGCGCACAGTGTACTAACAAGCATAGACTCGATGTACTCCCTTTCCACCTTTGAGCACCAGCTCGTCATGTACGTCACCTCGAACGACAAGCAAACCTTCGCCGCCGCCTTCGATGTTTCGACTGTCCCCGTTGTCTCCCACGAGCAAGCCTTGGCCGAGGAGCGCACCAAGAAGCTCACCACCGCCACACCTACCCTCAAAGCCCCATCTGCGGGCCCTCCCAAAGGCAAGTCCAACGGTGTCGCCGAGGCTGCTACCGCTGCTGCTACCCAGAAGTACGCCGAACAGCTTATGCAACATCCCGATATCAAGGAGTACGGCGCCTTGCTCAAGTCCTCTGTGCCTGTTGAGCTCACTGAAAGTGAGACCGAGTACGTCGTCACTGCTGTCAAGCATGTCTTCAAGGAGAACATCGTCGTGCAATACGATATTAAGAACACCCTGCCCGATACTGTCCTCGAGAACGTGACTGTGATCACTTCGCCATCAGAGGACGACGTGCTGGAGGACGACTTCATTATTCCGGCCCCGAAACTCTCTCCCAACGAGCCTGGCGTTGTCTACGTCGCTTTCAAGAAATTGGGTGGCGAGCACAGCGTTCCCATTACCTCATTTACCAATATCCTCAAGTTCACCAGCAAGGAGATCGATCCTACGACTGGCGAGCCAGAAGACGGAGGTTATGACGACGAGTACCAGGTGGAGGACCTCGAGCTTACTGGCAGTGACTACGTTATTCCCACTTTCGCTGGTAGCTTCGACCATGTCTGGGAGCAGACTGGCGCGAACGGCGAGGAAGAGAGCGAGACTCTGCAACTAAGCAGCATGAAGGGCATTGCCGGTATGTTTCTCACCCCTTTATCACGAAACCAGCACCGAACCATAATACTGATGACTTTCAGATGCCACCGAGCAACTTATTTCAGCCCTGTCTCTTCAACCCCTCGAGGGCACCGACGTTGCCCTCAACAACAGCACGCACACGCTCAAGCTCTTCGGCAAGACCGTGTCCGGTGGCCGTGTCGCTGCTCTCATTAAGATGGCCTATTCAAGCAAGAGCGGCGTCACAACTAAGATCACTGTGCGGGCAGAAGAGGAGGGCGTTGCTGCTGCGGTAATTGCATCTGTCACTTAATGTCTTCTTTCAACCTATTTCCCTTTTCTTTTTCTTTCCCCGCTTTTTATATCAAATTGTAGTAGACATGAGGATTTACTTTTGGTCCTACTCTCCCGCACACAAGTCTTCCACTTCCCCCTGTTGATGTTCCATTGGTGCCTGCTGTTTCTTAAGCTTCCAGGGCGATCCCTTTTTGTGTTTTCTTTGCTGGTTGTGACGAGTCCCATGATGACTGCTACAAAACTTGGAGGACTTGGTCTGTCTGTTGTCGAGCCAGTGTCGTTTTCTTTACCTTCTTCTTTTGATGTGTTTTAGGTGTCAAATAGATCGATCGGTGTGGAAAAGCACTATGGTCATATTCTCAATAGTGCTGCTGTTCTCTTGGGGACCTGTAACGGAAACGATCGCCAGAAGATATCCCTGCATGGTTGGAGAATAGAATTTTGAATGAATTGTAAGTGGTCGAGAGCGATAATCTGGTGGATTCTTGTCTATGCTATGCAACAAGGGCTGGTCCGTACCTCTTCATAAGACATGAAGTCGAGGTGATTTCTGGGAATAGCTTTAGCATCTCTTGCTGGAAAATTCTCCAGCTATACAACGGAAGGGAATTGCCGCGGCCTGATTGATTATGAATATCTTGACAGATCTGTAGTTGGTGGGCCTATCCATTTCCAGGCACCGTGACAAACCATCCTCATTCAATGTCTGGTTCATTAGGTGGAACTCTCCCCTTGTGCTTCAACACCTGCGTCGAAGAATGAGCAATCTTTCCTGACGCCACTCCTCTCCCAAATAAGAATGGGTGATTATCCCCAGACGGTCCAAATTTCCACCACCTTCTCTATACGCTACTTGTTTACATCTACCTACTTAAATAGACCTTAGGGTCCCGTCACCTTCTTTGAATTATACACAAGCCTCACAGACCAGTAGAATTCTCAGTCAGACTGCCGAAATCAAATTGATTTACCCTGAAACATGGAGTCTTGTTATGGGAACTATGAATATAACCACATACCATTTATATATAACTTCTGATTTTTACTATTCTCCTTGGGCCACTGGACTATTCCATGTCTGTTGCGAACTCAGCAACATCATGGCGATAAGATTGGTCAAAATCTTCCAAACATATCGACGAAACGGATGGAAGTTGTGGGTATGAGATAGTACAATCAAGGCTTAAAGTATACGGCAGACAATTTATCCAGAATGATCACTCAGCGACATTTAAGCTCTTAGATTATTACCTTTCAGTTGCTTTCCTCATCACCAACTTTTCCTTCCTCACCTCTAATCCTCCTCAGTTTACTGACATTCACACCCTGCCGCCCGGTGTAGGTGCCTACCTACCAACTGAGATCTTGTTTCTCATCATCGGTTTCCTCATTGAAAAGTGGCCGACTACCCCCGGCCACGGCACTCATCTGGCTTTAGACTGACTACCAATATGACCTCTACGACTTTTGCCTGGTGTCCCGCTGGTGGTACAAGGTAGGGGTTGCGATACTAGTATGCAACCTACCTCAACTCAAAGTTACACTTTGGCAGACCCGTCCGCTCAGTTTGTCATGAGGGTGGTCCGCCGGGTCTTGCGTCAATAATGGAACCAATCCATTGGGCCGCTTGCTTCTGGAGGGAACTGAGAGCTAGATGGCAAGCCTCTTCCAAAATCCCAAAGTTCTTGAGTGCTTCACAGTGCCACAATATCTCTTACGCAAATTCCCTCGTCATCCCAAGATGCCCCGGAAACTAATAATAAAACATTCATAATGCCTCTCAGATCGTGGAAATATCCAACTGTCAAGCTCTTGAGTATCCTGATCTGGGTGGTATTTGTGGTACAGGTGTCGAGTTTCGGCTCATCAAGAACGTCATGAGCAAGCTGAAACGGTTCTATGCGCCTGTCCTCCCTCACTCCCTCCGGATTCTCCGTGTCGATGTTATAAACAGTGATGAATGGCCAAGCAACTTGATCTCCATCACTATCGGTGGCCTCTTGAACTCAAAGCCTATGCTGCAGTTTAGCTCGCCTTCAAGTCTGCGTGATCTGGCATTCTCCGTTGCGAAAGCCTCGCAACCAACCTACGTCAGTACCAAACCCCGGGTGAAGAGATCGACGTTCTCTCGTAGATGAAGAATCTCGTCTATCTGAGCATTCCGGTCGATCTTGCGGGGTAGCTTGGCCTGTCAGCAAATTCTTCCTCGACGTATCCGAAGTACGGGTTATTGAGCATGGCAAGTGGTGGGTCTCTGTTGCCGGAGGTGCGACTCTATGGCTACAAGGAAAAGAGGCTCTGCTGGCCATGAATATTGATCGAAACTACGATCAAGACAGACAAATAGATGGGCTGGTTGACGAGATGGAAGGTCTCATGACGTTGTATGAGCCATGACTTTACCCTCTCGACTAGTCTCTGTCTTGCGGCACAACCATCGACGAAACGGTCCTTGATTTGGATAACAGGATACAATGATACTCCCAGATTTCGCAACAACTCTTATGAAAGGACCCAATGGGCAATAGTATAGAGAAAGTTTTAGCTATTTCTCTCCGAGCGAGATTTCGTGCATCTTCTAACAATCTACTGACGATTGCTACGGTCAGCTTGTGGACGGCCTATCTTGACGATTTCATTCCTAGGACTTTGAGATTGTACACCTTCTACGAGTCGCCATATCTTCTTCAGGGCTAGATAGTGTCAACATAACGAAGTCAATGACATCGCAGAATTGCATGCGCAAAGGTTTGGCAAGTATTTTGCCGGGCCATTACTCCAATTACGTAGTAGGGCATAGACAGAAGGTCAAAGACGGTAGATAGTGGCATTCAAGAAGCTGAAATAACGCTGAAAGGGGTATATTGCTATGGCTGATTTGAGAAATCATCACTGAAACAATCGGCTCGGATCTACAAGACAATGGGATCATCATCGATCGTATAAATCCCCAAATCTTCGATAGCCAGCTTGTCAAGTTCGTCATCCGAGCTTGTCTCCACGTGTTTCCAAATCTCGTCATCAATCTTTTGATAGACGTCTTGGATGTACTGCAGGGAGCTTTCACCAATTCCCAGAGCCCAGAGATTGCAGAGATTCTCATACATAGCTTTTTCAAGCTCGTCCGAAAATTCGACGGCGAGCTCGTTGTCGAAGTATGGACGCGTCAGCTCCAATATTCGGAGAGGCAGCGGTTGCATTCCATCGGGAACAGGAACTATGCACAGATATTCCATAAAGTCCAAGGGCATTCTGAGATATGTCAAATTTCGAAGGACATATAGAACAGTTGATTCCAATTCCGAGAACATGTTTGCATTCTCCCTGCTCAGATAAAGGGTTTCGAGTTTTTCAAGAAGCTGCTCGTTGCAAAGTATGCTCTCAAGAATTGGTGTATCCAGATTTTTGCAGCGTTTTAATTCCAATCGGCGGATGTTAGGGGGCCAGTTGAATGTTGACATGACCTCGGAGTCAAGGTAGCCTCCAACAGTCATAGAATAGAGCTTTGGAGGCCAATCTCCTGCCGAGCTATCGGTGCGGGTGATTTCCATGCTGGACGGCAATTGAAGGGTCCGAAGTTCCGGAAGATTGCTGACGGTCTTTTTCAGGCGCGAAAATTCGATTACGCCACCTCGAGCTAGCCTCAGATCGAGGTGCATCAGATTTCGGCATTTTGAGATTGATGCAAGGCTATTGACACTATTTAATGAGTCAGTTAGGGTCTTGGGTTCGAATGTTCACAGCAAAGCTTACCCAATACCAGTTTGCGGGGCAACAAATATGATCAAGCCTTTCTTGACGCGACTCAGTAGCCGTGACGTCTGGCTGTTTGAGCTCTGATGAACTAGGGAACCCAGATTCAAGACTTTCACCAATGATCCGAGGTCGACTTTGCCTTTTTTGACGCCAAGAGGCGGGCTCACAGTATTAGTGAACTGGACAAACTTGTTGCCTTGCCACAGTTGGGGAAAATCGTAAAGGTACGAGATGCCAACTGAGTACCACTGTCGAGAGACCAGGCAAAAGCTGTGGAAGCACTTTTGCCTGTCCACTAGCCGCATACCCTCAGGATCATACATCTGATCATGCCATAGCATGTCAGCAATGATAATGAGGATCTCCGAGGGGAGATGGGGGCTTTGCGTTGTCTGCATGATCGTCGGGTCTGGGCTTGGTCACTTCATTGTGATGCTGTGTTGCTTCCAGGGCGTGGTGTGTGGGAGATGGGAAAAATAAAAGTTGAGAGGTTCAAAGTGAAACGTGTGAAGCAGCTTGCAACAACGACATTGTCACTTTCTGATCTGGGATCTTTCTTGGAGAGCTGGATAAGGGCTCGTGTGTGGATCGACTTTGGATGTTGGAGCACGGCAAATCGGAGAAAGTGAGGAGGAGAGTGGGGCGAGAGCGGAAGTGGCTCGGAGATGAGGTCACCTCTTACCGTTGAGCCCCTTTCAGACCTTCCTTCACAACTCTACCGCATTTGCGTGACGAGACAGAATGCGATCTACTTCAGTGTGGCGATCACTGAGTCTTCTCCAGAGAGCACCTCTCAGGTGCAGCTCGAGTCGCCGAGGTTTCCAGACTGCAAGCAAACCCCGCATCCCGAACTTCGCTTTTGCCTTTGAGTGAGTGACGGCAATGTATGCTCGCGCCCAGCCCTTTATGTTCCAGGTCTAATGCTGTCCGATAGTATTGATGGCGTTCTCCTCCGAGCCTCGAAGCCTATCCCTGGCGCTGCCGAGTCATTGGGCCTTTTGAAAGAGCAAGGCATTCCATTTATCCTCCTCACCAACGGTGGAGGTAAGCACGAGACGGAACGCGTCGCGGAGATTAGCGAGAAGTTGAACGTGCCACTGGACCCGACACATATTATCCAAAGCCATTCGCCCTTTGCAGAGCTGGTAAAAGGCGTGGATGAAGCGAGTGCGTTGGAACATAAATGCGTGTTGGTAACCGGCGGCGATGGCGATAGCTGTCGGCGTGTTGCGGAACAGTATGTCGGCACTTTTCCAATCTATACAGGGCCGTTGATTGCTGACATCTGTTCTTAGATACGGTTTCAAGAATGTCGTGACTCCAGCAGATATCTTCATGGCCAATCCATCTATCTGGCCCTTTTCGAAGAATTTCAAAGACTATTACAAGACCTTCGCCCGGCCTCTTCCCAAGTCGCTGGACCCCACGGATCCCACAAAAGGTCTTAAGATTGACGCTATCTTCGTGTTCAATGATCCTCGGGACTGGGCTCTCGACACGCAGGTGATTATGGACTTTTTGCTTTCCTCGAACGGAATTATGGGTACTTTGTCGGAGAAGAACGGCCGGTCCGACCTTCCCAACCACGGGTATCAGCAGGATGGACAGCCACACCTCTACTTCTCCAATCCGGATCTTTGGTGGGCAGCTGCCTATCACCTCCCTCGTCTCGGCCAAGGAGGCTTCCGAGAGGCACTCGAAGGTGTTTGGGCTGCGACGACGGGAGGCCCCAGCAAAGGTATTGAGTTGAAGAAGACTGTGATTGGCAAGCCTCACCAGCCGACATATGAGTTTGCCGAGCGACAACTACTTCGGAATCGTGCCAGAACTTTTGGTGATACAACAGACCTGCCGCCTTTGCAGCGAGTTTACATGGTCGGAGATAATCCCGAGTCAGATATTCGGGGTGCAAACTCCTACCGCAGTGAGGTTGGTAGCAGCTGGCAGTCCATTTTGGTGCGGACTGGTGTCTATAGTGGTGGTGAGCCCGCTTGGACTCCACGGGTCATTGCGGATGATGTTCACAAGGCAGTGCAGTGGGCGCTGAAGGCTTCCAAGTGGACTTAGTTCATAGATCATCGTGGGCGTCGCGAGCAGCACTTTGGCTGTACTTGTTCATGGGCCCTGTAGAGTCGCAAATACCCATACAGTGCTGGTGCTGTATATATATCCCACAGCTCAAACTGAACAGTGATGATATTTCAAGCGCATTTATTGGCAATTTGAAATTGATGCGTACCATTTCCATGTAATTGCTGCTCAGTATACTTCTGTCGGAACAGCAGGATGGGTGGATCCCCAGGGAAAAGGAAATACTAAAACACCCGCCTAGCTTAGTCATGTTTTTGCCCATACAAATTGTTAGCAAAGGGGCATCGTAGCAATTCAGACCTGTTGATATCCGATTGGTGCGCGGTATGATTGACTAAGCAGTATTCGCGACTGTTATGAGCCCGATTCGCCAGTAAGAAGGCTATATTCGTCAAATCAAGCTATACGCAAGGTGTATCCGCGGTAGCGACCCGGCTAGACGTCTCCTTCTTACTCCTGACCTTCCTATCGATCGAATTGACTGCTAAAGAAGAACGCGATTAATATAGATTTAGTAGTAGTCTCCGCCCTAAAAGGCGAGAAACTGAAAGATCTACCGTAGTGGAGGAATTAGTTCGCACGAATCAAGATATATACACGCCAGAAGAGGGTATAGGACCTAGTCAACCCTTAGCTCGAAGAAGACTATCTTAAATAACCGATTCGCTAACTAAGAAGGCCGTAATACCCTGAAGACGGCAGCGAGTCGACGAAACGAGAATGGAGAGATCGTATAGATATATATAAGCTTGACTATGCTGAATAGGAGCAACAGAGCAAGGGCCTAGACGCTGTGAACGAATAGATCATCGCTAATTTGGATCCTATCTACTATACCTCTATGCTTAACTACTAAACCCCGTACGAACGGCTTGTGTATCTCTATACTCGATTTAGTCGATTAATAGCGGCGGAAGAAGATATACGTACGTAGTAGAAGAGGGTGTTAGTATTACCACCGAAGAAAGGTGCTGATATCGACTAGTAGATTAACGAATAGGATTCACTAAGAGAATAGGCGGTTAGCCTAGATCTACTAGAGATTAAGAGCGCTAATAAGGATTTCCTCCGTGTAGTGAAAGAGATACTCCTAGTATAGTAGTAGCTAAAATTTAAAGCGATCGTTTTGTATCAGGAAGAATAGGATACGCGCGATTTAATCAAGAACTTCCGAGGAACCTATCGCGAGCTATATCTATAGAGATCGAGCGTAGTTAGTACGATCTTAAAAGCATTATTTTCAATACTATAGGGCTTTAAGGAAGCTAGATTAGAGCCTTAGTAGCCGTAGTTATAGCTATAAGTATAGTAACTACCACGAGAGAGGTCCTTACCTCCGATTCCTAGGCGCTGGTGCCTCTATAGTAATAAAAGCTATAAGCCCTAGGACTACTAGACGATTAATAGAGAGGCTTTTCCTGATAAACCTCTCTTGAAATAGAAGGCTAAGTGTGAGCAAGCGATGCTGCGCAGGTTGGGTAAAGAGGAAGATAAATTAAAGATGATTAAATAAGATCGATTGATCTTTCTTCCTCTTGATTGAATAGGAAGGATAAGTTCAATTCGGCTTAGAATCATAAAGATGAGAGAAAAGTAAAGTAGGACTGAAGCTTGGTTGATTGTATTGAATCTTGCTTGTATGTCTTGAACATGATTTTTGTAGAGAAAACAGGGCTTATTTATAATCAATCTTTATCAAACCTCTTTTGCATGTGATCGTTCTAGATCCTAGATCTAGATGCATGATGATCTCATGCAGACAGATAGTGATCTCATGCAGTAGCTGTTTGATCGGTGGTTGCTTGATTGTACGATGTCATTGATCGTAGTGATGATGTAGATCGTATACAATAGTATACGTCTTCTACGATATCATTGACCGTAGTGATGATGGTATAGCGATGTCATTGACCGTAGTGATGATGGTATAGCATAAAGCTTATAGAGATTCAGCCATCTTGTATAGGCCTTATGAATCTGGCTTGATATGCTGCATGGCGGTCTGGCTTGATAACATCCTGCCCTATATCTCACACCCCCCCGTAATCTTTATACTATAGTGCAGATAGCAGTAGAGTATAGAGATTAGTATAGAGTAGATAGGATCGATATATATATATACTGCTATAAGATAGCTAGATATATATCTTCCTAAATCTCAATCTCACAGGGTTAAGTGGTTCCTTCCGCATTCGCGTATAGAGTATGGAAAAACCTATTTAGGTGAAAACCATACTCGAAGGTATCCATGATATTATATATCAAATTGGATATATATATAGCTAGATCTCATAGAGATTAGCTAGATTCTTCAGGTCTTCAAATATTTCTCTTCTGACATTTTTAGTCAGGAAATCTGCTAATTGCAGTTTAGTGGGGACGTATTGAACATCGACCCTTTCTTGTTTGACCTGATCTCTGATATAGTGATATTGTATATCAATATGCTTCGTCCTTTTGTGAAATTCAGGGTTTTCGGCTAGCTTAATAGCTGCCTTATTATCCACTAATATAGTAGGCTTGCTAGGCGTATAGCCTAGGCCTAATCTATCGTTTAGATAGTTGAAGAGATTAGCTAGATAAATAGCTTCTCGTATAGCTTCTTTCATAGCCATATATTCGGCCTCGCAGGTAGATAGAGCTACTGATTTTTGTAGCATCGAATTCCAGCTCACTATATTATTAGTGGCTAGATCTCCAGATAGGCTAAATATATAGCCAGTAGTGGATTTTCTACCATCGATATCGCCTGACCAATCAGCATCAGAGTAGCCTTTTATATATAGGTCATTCCCTGTGCAATCGTAGTGTAGGCCTAGATTTGGCCGATATTGTAGATATTGCCATATCTTCTTTAATTCAGAGATATGTGATTGGTCAGGATTGCTCATATATCTTGAGCAATAGGCAACTGGATAGGCTATATCAGGCCTAGTCTTTAGGCTGGTATAAAGTAATGAGCCAATCTCTTTTTGATAGAGATTAATAGTTTGCTCTGAAGCTTTTGATTGATTTTTTCTTAGGTGGATCCCTGCTTCACCCGGCGTTTTCTTTGGCCGTTTGCTAGTAGTAGCAAATTTTGACAAGATCTTTGATATATAATCATTTTGATCGATAGTTATCGATTGATCTTGATAATTCAGGCTGATATTATTGCCTAGGAAGGTGGCTAATTCGCCTATCTCTTCCAATTGGATATACTGCCTAGCCGCAGTAGCTAGCTTATTTATATAAGCTAGATCTTTGTGTATAATGATTATATCATCAACATGTGTGATGATAATGGCCTGGGTTTTGCCATTTATATATATTCCCTCGTCGATAGGAACTCTATCGAATCCGAGGTTCGCGATAGCCTTTGTAAAGAATTCAGACCAAAGCCTTGGTGCTTGCTTTAGGCCATATAGGGCCTTCTTTAGATAGCAGCACTTATTTTGATGATCTTTTGGCCTATATAGGCCAGTTGGCAAGATAGTATATATATCACTATCGATATCAGCATGTACGAATGCGTTTTTAACGTCGTATTGCCTGATATGCCATTTTTTATTCATCGCGATTATCAGCAATATATGCCAGGTTTCTGTTCTGGCAGTAGTAGAGAAGGTTTCTAGGAAATCAACACCTAATCGTTGATTAAATCCTTGTATAACCCATCTAGCCTTATAGCGAATCGTTTTGTTCGCATTAGTAATATAATTAGCCTGGATGCCTGTGGCATTCTTTATAGGCTTCTTTTTGAATACCCATCTGCCCCTAATAGGTGTTACACCAGGGGGTATATCAACGATTTCATAGGTTGCCTGATCTATCAGGCTTTGATTTTCGTCCTGACAGGCCCTATACCACTCATTCCTTTCAGCTGATTGCATAGCTTGATCAAAGGTAGAGGGTTCTTGATCAGTTCCTGCCGATAATATATAATCGGTAGGCTGATCGTTGATAATAGTCTTTATAAAATCTCCTAGTAGCGTATCTGATATAGTATATATATCTTCGCTATCTTTGGTAGATTTTAATGATGGGATTTGGATCTCTATCTTATGAGACGGATCCGCTGCTATAGCAGCTTCCTTACTAGCAGTTTGCTTAGTAGGCTTACTAGCTGATTTGCTAGTTTCTTTACTAGCTGATTTGCTAGTAGATAGGCTAGTAGATTTGCTAGTATATCTAGCAATCTTCTTTTTGATAGGGTTTGCTGCTTGTTTAGCAGATCTTTTCTTGATTCCTGGTTCCTGATTGGCTAGATCAGATTGATTCTTCAGGAATCTACCTTCTAAGATAGTAGGGTCTCTTGACCAAACTGTCTTCTTCTGCTTCAGATCATATAGCTTATAGTGCTTCTGCTCACTATAGCCAATAACAATAGCTATAGATTTTCTTGGCGATAGCTTGCTAGGCAGGTTTTTGTTTGTATGATAGTAGGCAATAGATCCCCAGGTCTTTATATGCCTGATAGCAGGTAAGCGCTTGTGATATATCTCATAGGGTGATTTGAACCCTAGAGCACTGTGTGGGGTTATATTATATAGATAGGTAGCAGCCAATAAGGCTTCTCCCCACATATCTTCTTTTAATCCTGATTGGATTAATAAACATCTGACCTTGTTCATAAGTGTCAGGTTTATGCGCTCAATTAGGCCATTTGGCTCTTTTGTATAGATAGGCGTAGTTCGGTGTATAATACCGTATCTTCCTAATAATATATGGAAGTTATCATTCACGTATTCAGTACCGTTATCGGTAAATATCTCTTTGATCTTCTTATTAAGCTGGTTTTCAACCAATTGCTTATATAAGGTAAATTTCTTAATAGCTTCGTCTTTTGATCGAAGTAGAGATATATGTAGATATCTTGATGTTTTATCAAGAAACGTGATGTAGTAGCGATAGCCATTATAGGTCTTAGGGCTAATAGGCCCTCCAATATCGCTATGTATTCTTTCGCCTATGCCGTATTCGGCAGCAGAAGTAGA